CTCCTTAATCTATTACTGCTACTGCCCATTTGTAGACGCCGCTTAAGAGTTTAAATTTAACCAATTATAGATTAGTACTCGTATGAAGTGCGCGATCACTAACACTATTGACGTGCTCACGGACATGTTTCCGTTAACCTTCAAATGGTACACTTCTTTCGAGCACCCACTAATGGAACAATGGTATGAATTTGAATTTGATATCTTAAATTGTACATCTATCCTGAAGAATAAACAGAAATGTTTTAAACATATTTAACGTACAGTGGAGATAAGCCGCGATAGATGTTTTTGTGCAAATGCCAGCAATTCGAAAATGTTCACGGTGCGAATTCGCACTCTTGTACCATTTAAAGGTTAATCTTAATTTATAATTGGCTAAATTTAAACTCTTATATCTCAAAAACTATTGCTTAAATTAAAAATTTACAAATAATTTCTTTACTTAATTGCTATTTTACTTTTTCGCTATATTTTGATTCGCGAATTTCGGAACATCCTGTATACATAAAACAACATTATTTAATCCCTCTTTTTTTCTTATATTTATCCGGATTTTCTTGCACGGATATTATACGTCCTCCAGTTATTTCTTAACTTCATATATAAATTGTTATACTCGCATATTTTTGTGAAATTTAAGCGCTGGTTTATTATAATAATTATAGTATAGTTTTCTGATGTATCATACGATACGATGAACCATATTGAAGCTATTGATGATATTTAAAATCCTCAACTATTTTGACACTTGTCACAAAAATAAATTATCTAATGATTTATTACTTTATGAGGTAGGTCATTCGGTTTCGCTGTCTGAATATTCTATTTTCGTAGTAGTGCGAGGTTTCCTTGAATATCTTAATCCTAACATGTCCGCAATCTCCTCGATATGCGTCAACACCTAGGATATACAATAAAATTGTAATTAAAATAACGAGCCTTTCGAGTCACTAACGTTACTTACATAATCTAATTGTTCCTTCGTATGCGCAGCGGAAAGACAAAATCTAATTCTGCCTTCCATTAATGGCGTCGCTGGGAATCCAACACCAACAGTTGCAATATTACGGGTTGTCAGGGTACGGATCACTGCACTGTTGTCGAACATCATACAGAGAAAAAAATATGAAATGACAAATTCAAATTTTGGAAATAATATCTTAACTCACTTACCCGATCTTAGAAAATAAGTAAACTAGCATAGGCACAACGGGCGAGTCCTCGTTTCCGTAAATTATAACTCCGATCTGATTCAATCTGCGTCTAAAGTATCTCGTATTCCTAGCTAATTGTTTGATACGCTTTTCACCAGCGTCAGTACCATCCTCTCCCGCAATAATTCGCATTGACGTGATAATTTGTTGTGTAACGGGCGGAGACATTGATGCTGCGTACGTATGCGCGTGACCGTATATCCTTATGTGATTTATCAGTGTCTAAAACAGATGTCTGATTAAAGATATACAGGTATTAAGTGTACTGAAGCTAAAAGACTATTAAAATATTACTTTCGTTCCAGCTATATATCCACCTGCTGAGCCAAAGCTTTTCGTAAATGTTCCCATAAGTATGTCTATTTCGCGCGGATCAATGTCGTAGTAGTCGCAAACTCCTCTTCCATGTTTTCCCATAGCTCCTGTGCTATGCGCTTCGTCCACATAGAGATAGGCCTGTCCGAATAAAATTTATATCAATCGTAATAAGATTTGAGAAAAAGAAAATAATGATAAGTTGACGATAATCAAGGTTACTTTTACGAACTTTGTATTTTTTCTTTAACTCCAACATCTCGGGCAAGTGGACAATTGAACCTTCCATAGAATAAACACCTTCGACAATGATAACTATCTTCTTCCAAGGCTTACCAGTCTTCGGTTGCCCGAAAACAATAGCTTTCTTCAAACATTCCTCCAAGTGCTTTACATCTATTGCAATGATGAACCATAAGTCTTTTGTACTTTCAATAGAAGATAATTGTATATATTAAATGACAATTAAATACAATGTGTTTATATAAGTTAAACATAATGTGCTTACTATTATGCTTAAAGATCTGTATCACTGCACCGGACAATCGCAATCCGAGAATGAGCGATGCATGATTCTTCTCATCACTGAGAACCAGACAGCCTTTACTGACCAAAGAAGGTAGGTTTAAAGAATTCGTGGCGAATCCCATTCCAAATACTATAGCATCTTCTACTCCCAAAAATTTTGCAGTCAATTTTTCGAGTTCATCATGTATCGGCATAGTACCTTAAAACAAAAATGGTTCTCTCAATTTCCTTTTATTGTATGTAGTCTTAAAAAAAAGGAATTTCTTTAATAAATCATGGCAGGGCAATATTACTAAATTTAAAAAAATTTTTTAATAAATTTTTAAACAATCAAGTTTAAACTTTGAATTCGGTATAAAAAAAGTTTCATCATCTATAAATGAATTTATAAACACTGGCTAGTAAAGCCAAAACTTATTAAAAACATTGTATGTTTTTAACGACTGGATACTTTGGTATTGTATTATTTGCCATATGATTATCATTAAAGACGTACAAAAGCTGTTCAAATACAAATCAAATTGAATTAGATAGAATTTGATTCGATTCGGATTTGAATCTTTATTTCCCGCTAATTGTAATTCAAAATAGCGTGAGCCTGTATTGAAGTAAGAGATGTTTTTATTATATCTGTACAGTTTTTCACATACATTGTGACCTTATGTTAAATTACAAATTTGAATATACGTGAAAAAAATAAGTTGTGAAAATTGAGATAATAAAATAAACTACATTTTAATTATTCTCTCTCTCTCTCTCTGTGTGTGTGCGTGTGCGTGTGTGTGTGTATAATATTGGATACATATACATTAAAGTACCTTAATAATTAATGATAATAATAATTGATTTGTTACCTAATTGTTTCGGTTAATATAACATTAACAATAAGTTAAGTATTTTATCAGTTACTTTATATTAAATATTTAAATATATGTATACATATATTTTTTAAAATAAACTTAGATAATCAATATTATATATATTTCTCTTACGTCAAAATTTTCTTTTGTTATTTATATGGTAAAATTCAATCCAACAATTATATTATTAATTAAAAATTATGTTTCAACGATTTGATTCGGATAAAATTTTATCGATTTAATTCGACAATGAATCTGAATCCGAAAAAAGAAATAAAATTTGATTCAATTTGGCGTTACATTTTGATTCGTACACTTTTAGTTGTTACACGGATATAAATATAAAATATTTATTAAGTAAATATTATATTAACTGTTCGAGTGTCAAGAAGCGGAGTCACTTTTTTGCTTTTTGTGTTTATTTTATTAACTTATTTCATAAAGATAAAGAAATGCATTGCATCTAGTAAGCTTAAGTGCTTGCGTGGGAATTAATCCACATTTAACCTAAATTTTAATCTATTCTTTATGCATAAACAAAATTTATTTTTATATATAAATAAATTATTAGTTTATTTATAAATAAACTGATTGTGAGACTTAGACAAGTACTTTGACGTTGTCCCAATCGAACGAGTGATTGAAATTTAAAATATGCTGTATAATAACTGTATGTTTAGATGCATTCAATCTAATGTTATTAATAACTGTACTTGACTTTGAACCAAATTATCACAAAAAATTGTTCTCCGAAATGATACACATAAAAGAGCAACCAAACGGACTTAATTTAAATAAGGATACAAAATTGCTTAACGGGATATTTCGATAGACTTGCCAAGGACTTTCATAATTAGAAACAAAAGATCTGTTTATAATTATATTATTATCAATATCATAGCGAGCATTTATGTGCCTATAATTTTATTCGCTTCCATCCAAAAGCTCTCACTTGCGTTGAGGAGCTCGTACAGTATAAAACATTACACACTATGTCTCAACAAGCTTGGTCTCACCAATTATAATAAGTGTTAAAATTCGACGAAACGAACTACCTTAGATATAAAAATTCGCAAACAAGTCTTTACCGGAAATTTCTTCTATCAGACAGATAAATTTTAAAAAATGGTTCTCGGCTTTTAAACTATTCGAATACAAAAAAAAATAAGACAACATCCAGACAAGGCACATTTTTGGAAACGACGAATCTGTGGCATTTTTTTAGAAACTAACTTATTTGATACCAAATTTTAATTTAGACTTTTACCGACTTAACCTTGTAACCTTTGACTCCGTTTTGACGCTATTTATTATTTTATGTTACTTTATATTTTATATTACCGAGCTATAACATCCATTATAAACGATATATCAACCTTATATTATTTCTTAAAATGTAATGTATTTTTAATTTTAATTTATTTACTTTGATTTAATGTATTAATCTACAAGACGACTGAAGAGAACCAAGCGTCAGGTCGAAACGTCTCGTTGCAAATTTTTGTTAAATTTAAAATATATTGATACTAACATTCAAAAAAGCTTTTGCTTGTTTATTGGCTAAATCAACGTACCGGTTTTTATAAAATAATAATTTTCAAGCATTAGAAATGAAAAAAATCCATATTTTTAAAAATATTTTATCACGTAATATTCTGATTAATAAATTTGTAGTTCGCAACTTATGCAGTAAAAATACTAAAAATGATCAAATAAATTTCAATTATTATTGTATTTAACGTTAAAGTATAGATAACACAACATAATTTTTATAAAGATTTTGGTATGTATTGCTTTTATAGATTTGAAAATCTTTTTCCTGAATTTAAGTATAGACAATAACACAGTGCGGACTGAATAATTTCATATAAAAAACAAAAAAAGGCATATTAGCTTCTGGCGACTAGTAACATTTGCTTTATGTAAAAATGTTATACTTTGTACGTATAAAACAAGCTTAGTCCGCGCTAGGGATTACATAAAAGAACAATACTGTGCTTTTATAAATGAGTTTAAGAGCTTCAGTATAAGACAAAAGTTTGCATGAAAATGTCGTGTGTATATGTGTATACGATATAAATGTAATAAAAGCTAAAGTATGTAGTGATATACTGATGTTTAATAAATAATATGTTTGTAATATTTGTATTGTAAATTATATGTGTGGAAATCACGTATAATTCAATCAGTAAAACAGACAATCTCATCGATCTTCTTTAGAATCCCCAACAATTACTTTTAGAAAACATAATAGTTAATTAAGCGCTATTGGTATATTCTCTTAGATTTATTATGGATCTAAGGGTCTACTCCAATCACAGGCAACAATAGTGATCGCCTCACCACTCAACTGTTGTGTTTTCTGAACGCTACTTTTTATTTTAGTTATGAAATAAATTTCTATTTTTCTTTGCATTAATATGTGTGTGGGACAGCATTAATATGTATATGCAGTAATACTTTAGTCTCGATCTTTTTAAATGTTTTAATATGTTTCTGTCTATTTGCTCGAGAGAAATGCTTTAAATAATAATCTCTCAAAGTATTTACCTAATTCAAGACGCGTACTGCAACTGGCACAACCAAACTTTCGGAGCGTTTTGATGCTCTCCTCGGCGCACTTACCACTTGCTTCGGCAAACCCTAAATAATTGTAAGAGCCCAAATTTATACATTGCGTTTCAGTTCCAGTAAATCTGTCAGGATTAAAAAATTCAGAATTCAATTCTATTGATACGTGACAATCGTGGCTTTCGTACGTAGTCAAACTTACTGAAACGTCCATCCGTAGTCGTGAGTTACCCGATCTTTTAATGTGACTGTTGCACCAGGAACAGAACAAATCGGCCTGTTCCAACAATCTCTGACTCTTCTGTAGACATATTTGAGATAAAATTTTTCGAAATTGTCGTAAAGCGAAGCATATCCCTAAAAACATATGTTCAGTATTTAAAAAAAAATTTACATATTACATGAAAAATAAAATATTATTGTTCATACAAAATCGATAAATATTTTACAGAGAAATGTATCTGTTACATGTGTACAAAATCCAAACATTTTTAAGATTATAATACAATAAAGATACCAATTGTACACAAAAATTACATTCTACAATAGAATATATAGAATAGAATTCTATAAACTATTTTTACATTATATCATGTGAGTTTTCTATATGTTAATGATATATAATATTTTTATTTACTCACACTTTTATTCACTCATATGACATTTATTGACTTTGATATGTTACTATGAATGTTGATTTCAAGTATTTCAAATAAAATTTAATGTTTTCGTTTAAATTTATTTTTTTTATTTCTTATTTAGTATATTGCAATTTGTATCAATGTTTAATAAAATATAAATGATTATCGCCATACTTCTCTATTTTTTTCGGTATCAATCTTCGGAAGAAAGAATATTTGATTGATAAATCCCAGGAACATGAGAATATAGAAACCGAGATGTGTAAGTGCCGCTGTGATGAACGGAACTTTTTCAAAGGATTCCTTTGATCGTGAAGCTTTTTGTAATTCCGCTTTTGTTGCACCATGGGTAGACTGCAATAAATTTGTACGCTGAATTGATAATCTATAAAAATATTATTGATCGATCAAGGTGTCTATTCAAATTTTCAAAATATAATGTCCAAAACATTTCATCTATTTTTCCTCAGAAAAAAATTTCTTTGTAATATATTACAAATTTCTTTGATTTTCTTTATATAATCTCATTTAAAATTTTCCGTAAAAATAGAGCCTTTTAGATGGAAATTTAAAATAAATATGTATAATTATTTGGATTAGTGTATCTTTGTTTATATTAACTTATATCATCAAGGATAAAAATTTAGAGCTACTCATTTCAAATAACAAATTTTAAAAAATTGGAAAGAAATAAAAAATTTTCATAAAATAAGTATTTTATATTGTACAATTTTATCTTTAAGGGATATTACAAGAAAATAAAATCTATCAATCAAAAAATTTTAATACTTAGATAATAAGAAAGTGGGCTAACGAGCCTGACTAGATGTTCTTGTTAATAACTACTATTCAAGTAACTTTAATAGGTTTTCTAATAATACATAAAAATATAAATATAAAACCAAACGTTTCGACCTTAAATGTGGTCCTTTTCAGTGGTTGACACAATATTAATTATAAGTTAAAAACAAACTCAACAAATATTTCTTCGTATATAATGTCAAGATTTTGTCGATTGTTAAAAGAATATACGATGGAAACGTGATAAAACAAAAATGAGATTTTTTCGCCACATAATATAATACTTGGGTATAGTCGATGTTAAATTAAGACGATGAGTACGTATCCGTATAAATCACATGGAGCATTCGGTAGTCCATATTCTTCTATTTCTTAACGTTATGAATAGTAGAATCTCTAGGATACAAATATATTAGGGCTATGAAGTCAAACGAGAGTTTGACTTGTTGTAAAGATAAACTATGAGACTGTTTTTTTAAAAAACAAAAGTAGTCTTGGTTATAAAAAATACTTGTTAACAAAGAATAAAGTCTAGATTATAAATTAAACAAAGGAATAAATAAAAGAATGAAAAGTAATAAATAAAGAAAATTAATAAAGATGATTTTATAGACCTGATATGTCAAAGGACCGAAAATTAAATGTGTATTTTTTATTATTTAAAATGTATTCATATTTAGTTTTACACGAAAAAAATAGCACCTAGACGTAAATGAATATAACACAGTCACTGACAGCAAAATGCTAGCAATTTACAGGCAGATTGGTAGCAAATTCGATCCGATTTTCAGCAAATCCATAGCTATATGTATCTTCATTAGACTCAGGATTTAACAAAGCTTGCTGAAATGCGATGCCAGCACATAGACGGAAAAAACCGAGTAAACTTTGTGTAGCGTTGTCTAACGACAAATGACGTTTATTGGTATTGAAAAATCTTTAAAAATGGTGTTTCTATTCCTTATTCAATTTTATTTTAAAGAACTGATTTTTAACTGTATTACTAATAAATAATTAATATATTTTACATTAAAGCATTTAATTCCGAAAATATTCTAAAAATATACATCACAAAAGTATCTTTGCCTTTCTCCTAGCGATCATTTTTAAGTACTTATTCTCATTATTAGTTTCTTTGTTACAAAAACATTATTCATATCTCGTACTAAGTGCACACGTGTGCACTTATTACGAGATATGAATAATGTTTTTACAGCAAAGAAGCTGAGCGTTGTTTCAAACATTAAATTTACAATGCGTAACATTTGTGGATACTAACACATTTTGTTTTGTCAGCATATGTCATACACATTATTAGGCATATATTGTCGTCATGTTGCTGTTAACATGCTTTTGATTGAGTGCAGATGTACCAATGATGACAAAAGTTACTTAACGTTGCCGATAATTTGCTGACAATATATGCTATTAATTGTGTATGACAAATTGTCAACACAAATTGTCATTAAATTGCTGTTACAAATTGATGCTGACATATTGCCATTAATTTGCGGTCATTTGAATTTAAATTCACGTGAAAACAATACGACAGGCGTCTCACCTTGTCCTAAGTTTGTCAAAATTAATTGCTGCAACGATTGATGACAACACCATAGCAAACTCACTGCATTTGGCTAATCTGGATTGTAAGTATTCAGTGACAGCGGAAATTCTACTCGCTTGCCCAATTTCTGAAGACAATTTATCATCAGATAACGCTACGCAAAGCTTGGTCAATTTTTAGGTGCGTTCAGCTTCATGTATTGATGATACATTATGACGCACATAATGTATCATCTTATCTTTATTGTTCACTAAATGTTAAATAAGGATGAAATAATGCGCATTATGTATGAAACAAATCAACGCATCTCTATAGTCGTCAATTTATCGTTAGATAAACAGCGCTGCGCATATCTTGTACGATTTTTTTGCAACACAATTTATCGTCAGATAGCACTACGCAGAACTTGCTCAGTTTTTTGCGACAATTTGTTGTCAGATAGCGGTATACGCAAATCTTGCTCGGTTTTTGATGACAATTTGCTGTCAACAATCTGGTAATAAAATACATTATTTTGCCACCAATTTGCAGTCAAATTATGTCAGCGAATTTTATTATATATTTGTTACCATATTATCGACATCATTTGATAAATCAAATTCTATATTAAATTTGTATCCTTCTTGTCAACGAAATTTGTAACAAGATTTTATAAGATCCTGTTTTCGACAGACTTGGCTCTTAGGGAAAAATCTTCGGGAAAAATATTATTATTTTAAATTAGAGAGAAAAAAAAAGTATTTTTTATCGCACTATGTAATATGTTCGGACTCTTTCACAATACTATCGGAAAAAGTCTGAGCAGAAGTTTTTACAAACTTACATACATACATACATTACAGATTCCAAATGATTATCAAGCATTATATTAGCAATTATTATGTAGTAATTAGCGATTATTATGTAGTAACCGTTAACTTTGTGTTAATTACAGTATATTATTATTTATTATGTACATTAATTATATTAAACAATGCATTTGAAAGTCTATTTTTAAAAGGTAAACATTTTACAGAAATAATTAATATTCAATTTTAAAATAAAACTTGTTGCAAACAAAACAAAGTTTTATAATGTAAATAAAGTAAATCATTCAATAAATATTCAACAAATTACTTATCATAGTCCAATTTAATCCTTTTATTTTACTTGTAAGTAAAACGCTCACTCCTTTGCATTATTTTGTTAAACAAAACTAGAGAGACAACATATATATATTACGACCTGTATAAGTATTTTAAACACAATAAATTAAGAAAAGACCAATAAACGATCAATATTTCTAATATTTCAGTATGAATTTTACATATATATTCTAGTTTCAATGAACTGCGAAAACTAGAAAGAAATTAATGGAAAATAAATGTTTGGGCTGTATCGTCACACATAGATCAGGATTCGTCAATATATGTGCGCTATGTCAGCGTAATTGTGATTTATATCAATACTGGCCTGTCAATTATGAATAACGATAAGGCCTCTGCAATGCACAAATCTGATCTAATATTTATGTTGTCTTTTATAAATTTAAATTGAAAGCAATTTAATAAATCAAAGTAATGCCAATGCAAGCCCACACCACGGAGTGTATAATTATTTAGTGTGTATGATATTTTTTATTGTTACAATATACCAGCAACACACAAACACGGCGCACTTTTTTCGGTCTTAAAACACAGTTCTTTACACGAAGCCGGAATCTACACTAACATCTGTATCAGCTCATATTGGCAAACAATTTAATAAGTATGTAGTATCTGGTGAGATAATTGCTTTCTGTTGGCCTGCATGAAAAGACAATCGCATAGAAAAATTCGTATCCAATGACACGTGTCTTTCATACCATTACACGATGCAATTGCTAAAGCATGCTTGAAAAAACAAATTAAAAATAAAATTAAACAAAATTTTCATTGACAAGCATTAATACTTAGATATTATTTAAGATGTACTCTTTTGTACATTTTTGAAACATTTAACAATAATAACAAGATTTTTCATTACATATAATTCATAACTTTTAAATTATATTTAAAATATATATAATTTTATATAAGTTTATGTAAATTAATATTTTACCAAATGATATTATATAGTTTCACTATTAATTAATACTTTATCGAGGAAACGTACGATCGTGAAAAAATAAAAACTTACATATTCCATATCATAAAGTGATGCATATGAAATATTTTGAAAATGCTGATCCAGCAATATTGGACTAGGCAATAATGGTAAAAAGAATATCACAACAAGAGTGTCACTTGTTACTATAAAGAACAGTATTGTAAAGATCAATTTTCTTCATTGAGAATGATCTACGATGAATCTAATACCGGTTTTACTATCAGATGTAGTACAGGAAAAATTGTGCAATTGGTACCTAAGGCTAATGGTGAAAAACATCTAATTGTTTTTCGTAAACTGGAATATCTCTGGGTTTTATAAATATCTATAAATATCTTTGGGATTTACTCTTGGGAACCTAATTGCTTTCAATTTCAATTTATATTTTATGTTGCCTGAAAAATGTGTTAACACATTAATTATATTGGTTATTGCGAAAAATATCACATGCCTCTCAGTCTCTCGTAGTCGAATGGTACGTAGGATACCCATCTAACAAGTAGGAAAATCTCGGTTCGAATTCTGAGGTGATATTTCTCGCAATAAATTCTTTACAGGTTTGGAAGGAGCTAGGGGGATTCTAATAGATTCTTGTTAGAATTAAAATATTAAATTGCTTATCAATTTAATTCGTTACAGTAGATTCTGACTACATGTAAAGAGCTGTTTTTTAAAACCGACAAAAAGTGTGGCCCGCAAAAAAAGTTTGTGCATGGCTAAATATTGTAACAATAAAAATTATCGTACACACTAATATCGGTGTCGGCTCGCATTAACATTACTTTGTTATTTCTGATTTATTCTTGGGAGCCTATAATTGCTTTCGATTTCAATTTATATTTCACTCTGCCTCAAAAATGAGTCAACACATTAATTGTATATTGATTATTGCGAAGACACATACTTCGATAGTCAAATGATAGTACGTAAGTAGACAAATCTAAATTCGAATCCTGGCTAAGATGATTTTTTGCAATAAATTCTTTACAGGTTCGGGAGGGGATGAGGAACTTTAAATAGATGCTTGTTAACATTAAAAATTTAACTAAATTTAATTAATTATTTAATAATTTCAGTTCCTGGAAAACCACTGCAACACTTGAATTTCCATGAATAAAGCGCATCTGTGCGCAGATACAAATTCGAACGCAGGCGACGATAAAATCTTATCTTGCTGCACAGCTAATTTTGTGACTCATCCGTGTAACTGTGCCACTTACCAATGTTATAATCTATCCTCTGCTGCATGCAGCGACGTCCGTTAATATGTACGAGTAATAATATTCATGGCTAATTTATGTTAATAACAATTGCTACGTTAATAAAAAGAAAAAGAATAAGAGCGAGTGCGATGAGAACACGATTGCGGCATTACTGTGTAATGAATAGTATGACTCATTTGCACGTGTACGTAAACCATAAGTTCTGATCGAACGTTGAAGTAAATTATCCAGTTAAAAAGATATGCGGGAGAAGATAAAACGAATAAATTATACTTCTGTCAGCCGTAAACGAATTGATCGCGAAGCACAAAGCAAAACTTCTTCTCCCGTAAGAAGTTTTCTTTGACACGCAATCTTTCTCTTTATGATTAAGATATACATCGATATTAACGAGTATTTATTAGCGAAAGGTTAATAATGTATAATGAATGATAAATCAATTTGCCATCTAATACTCATAAATTCAGTTCTATGTGTTCTTCGACAAGGAGGTAATGAAAAACGCGCTGCATGTGCTAGATTGTTAATTGAAACAGAGGCTTCTTAAGAAATGTCTGATATTCATAAAGCTGAAAAATAGACATTACAAGAAGTTAAAAGTTCTGAGGAAGAAGCTAATCACAAAAAATAAACAAACAAATAAACAAACATAGACAAACATTTTTACGAAAATATGATTTTAATGCAACTTATTATTAGAGAATCCTTCTTTAATTCCATAAGAGCTCTTTAGAACGTTTTCCCTATTAAAACCGCAAGAAATTCTATCATAGTTTCTCTCTCTTTCTCTCTCTCTCTTTCTTCTTCTTCTTCTTCTTTTTCTCAGCATGATTCGCCGTCACTTTCGTAACGCAACACGCATCGTGTGCGCGTATTACGCAGAAGTCTCTCATTGTGTCTTTCTCTCTTTCTCTCTCTTTCTCTTTCTTTCTCCCTCTTTCTCTCTCTTCCTCTCTCTTCCTCTCCCACCAGATTTGATGATTCTAGCTCCCCGTATACTTGGACTTTACGTCGGATCGGCGCTGGGTATCACCAGCTACGCGTGATACATGCCACTGAACAGTCAGAAGCTTCGTTCGGTCGACCGTCGTTCATCCGTCTCGTTCGGGATTCGCGGGCTTTCATGTTCAGTGCGGTTACTTTAAACTCGCGATCGCGTGTCAGATGATATTTTCAACCGCGAGTTCTCGCGGTCTTCTCACAGGCGTATTCTCAGCGGAACACGCGTCTCTCGCGTTCGCCTGCCCACGGGAACGCCACGGATTAAGCAAGAAGAGCGAGAAACCGCGGAGAAGCATGGCGAGAATCTCGGTGGAAAGGCACGCGATGGGAGAACGGAGAGATTAAACGCGAATCTTCAAGTCGGATCAGCATTCCTCGCAATCGGAGTGACAGAAGAAGCGAGCATCTCTTCGTAAACTCAGGCATTTAAATCTGAGAATTTTTGGAGTATTTCAAGCAATTTGACGGTACCTAGTTGAGAATTTGCCGAGGAATATATTTTGGAGCTTAGGCCGATGTAAATGTTTAATCGGTAAATAGCTTCATGAAACAAAATTAATTTTAGTTTTTTAATTATAATCGGCCGCGGATTCTATGTGGATTCAGCAATACGAGCAGTTTGGTCGGTTCTACAAAAAGGCATTCCTTACGTCGACAAAAAGTCTCAAGGACAGAAAGCGAAAGTGTGCGATTCCACCAACCACATTTCGGCACCGGTATAGAACGCGTGCTCTAAACACAAGAAATCACGTTGTCGATCCTACTCGTCCCGCGAAAATTATTACATATATCATTGAAAAAACGATGCATTTTTTAACAATAGTCTCAACGACTAATCCGGTTTTTATATGCCAAGGAAAACACGTGCTTCGCGGCGCTGCATTATTTTACATTTTTATTATTGGCTATTTTATTTTACATATTCATGTCTCGACCATACCTCTGCTATTCTAGAAAGATAACGTTTCCATTTGAAGCTTATTTGTTTCGCTGATTAAATGCCGTATGAATATTTGGGATGTGTATTTAGAAATCAATATTATTATTTCGAATTCCGAATATTATTTTGAACGTCCTTCTTACAAGTTATCCTTGATAAATGTATTGAAAGATTTTTCAATTTTTGAAAATAAAACGACGATGTTTGGTCGCACAAAATGTTGAACTAAACGGATAATAATTTATTGTAATTAAATATATGTGATGTGTTTAGAGTGCAGGCGACTCCGATTCGCGCGTGTTGGTTCAGCAAAATATAACTCGGTGATAACTATATCGTGTAGCACAGCGCGATTACTGTATGGATGTTCTTCGCATGATAACAGTGACCGCGTCAAATAAATCATGCGAGTGCGATGACGTTAATTGGAAAATCTCTTTTTGGGAAATTCTGTTAAACGCAAGATTCTTTCATTAAAAAAGGAACGGTGCAGCACAGAGCGAAGGTCGACTATGGATCTTCGTATCTCTTGTTGGCTCATTTTCTCTCTCGTCACAGCTTTCGTAAATAGCTACGAATATATCAGTGCTGCTAACAAGTGTAAGTAAGACGACAATCTTAAGAAACTAATAATAATTATTCTATTGTCATACAACGAGATTTTTTGAAAATATACAGAATACAAAACGGAATGTAATATTTTTCGAAATATTGTCCAAGTAAAACAGTTAGAGAAAAAGCTAATTCTCCATTCTTCGGTTAAATTGCTAAACTGTATAATCACTATGTAATTACACACAAGTTTCGTAAAAGGAAATTGCAAGTGCATGCGTACACCGTGTTTGCGTGCGTGCGTGCGTGCGTGCGTGCGTGTGTGTGTGTGTGTGTGCATGTGTGTGTGTGCGTTTTACTATTTTTACATACTTCTTGAGTAGTAAGTAACCGTTTGAAATATTTTTTCTGAAAAATTTATAAAACTACATCAGGTAGCTTTTTTATATCAATAAAATTATTTTTATTTAATATTGTTACAAATCAAGAATACAGCTCAAGTAGCACACGTACGATTGTCACGAGAAGGTCAAAATGATGTTATCTTAACTGAACTTTGATGAAAAAATTCGTCAAATCTTAGTCAAGATGACATCATCTTGATCTTCTCGTGACAATCGTGTGTTACTTGGAAGTAACAATGAACTGTTTCTATTCACAAATATTGACGGATTTGCTTTTTCGAACGTGTGAAAAAATAAGTAATACATATTAATTAATATAAAATACATATGCTCGGAAATATCAGTAAAATATTTCATGTCTATTAAAAAACTCTATGTATACTAAAAATGAAATTGTAAAATGTTTTAGGGACGTTGTGCTTAGTCGATAGTGTACATACTACACCAAGAATTCTTTCACTCTGCCCGAAACTGGCTAAGAGTCCGATAGAATGTGTCACAGAAACTGATAGGCAAGTATGACGCATAATAAAATTTTCTAACGATGAAAGTTTCTTTCGATTTTAATTTTAAAGCTTTTGTTTTTTTTCTTACAAAATCACATTTCCAGTCTTCTTTTCTTTATTAGGTTATACGCTTGCAAACAAGTTTTTCAAAGATTACGTTTCATAATAGTACATATAATAATAACACTTACGTATCTTATATAACACGAGTCGGTTGGAAAAGTTTTCTGTTCCTGAAAGATCCTTGAAGATGTGACTCTGTCAGAAATATCAATTCGCAAAAATCGCAAATCGACCAATTTTCCCGAATGCGAATGTATTGGAGAATATATTTTTTATATGAAAATAATTCTAATTTATGAATTTGGTTATTTACGTTTATGGTACGTAATAATAATACTTAGGTATTATATAATACGAACCGTTTGGAAAACAGTTTTCTATTCCTGAAAGATCCGTTGAAGATACGGCTCTTTCAGAAAGACCGATGCGATCGCAAGACTCGCAAATCGATCAATTTCCTGAATACGAATGCGTGTTGGAGAATATATTTTTCATATGAAAATAATTCTAATTTATAGATTTGCTTGTTTACGTCGAGTAGCCAATGGTGACGTCGATGTCACCGTATTGGAGCCAGAAGAACTCGTGGCGATAAGAAACTACAAACTATACAGTGTTCTAGTCACGAATGAATTAAGACTCTTCCCAGACGGTAATTAAGCTGAAATTGAGTGAGGAACACATAAAGTGTCTCAACTTAGTCGAATTAAATTTCAATCACTGATTTTGGGACGAATTAGAATTATAATTAATTGAGAAATCTTTCTATTTATTTGAAGATTAATTATATATTATACTACTTTCAAATTGCTACTAAAATTAATAATTTCGAAATTTTCATTTCCAAATAAAATTAATCGGAACCGATTTAATGCCAATAAAATTTAACACACTAAAATTGTTACTCAAATTCAAATAAGACTTTTTTTTAGATGATCATCGTTTTCAAATAGTGGCCATAGCGCACAAAAATGTGCAACGCATATGGGACGTTAAGGGCAAGCGATTGTGTCATCCCGGTTTAGATAATACGGATGATATGACTAAAATTTTCTCGACGGTTGGTGATCTCTTTATTTTGTATCAACGTACGAATTGAAATCATGCTTAACCATCGATTTCGTATTTCAGTACTTCGAGAATCTAATAATTAAAAAAGAATGCGACGCAAACATGACGCTGTTCGAGAACAGAATGCATGCTCTGTCCAACTACTTCGAAACGGCTTGCATCGCTGGTCCTTGGTCAGCAGACACAGTATTTGATTATCAGTTGAGTACGTATTCAATTACAAACATATACAAATATGAACATTCCATTTTTAATGCGAGTATATGTGCGTATGTATATGATTTATAATATTTATAATCGCGATTTATACAGCACATAATGCATAAAAGTTTACGTTTCTTCTTGTAGCACGAATTAGTGGAATCAAAAATCCTTATTATTATTTGCAGAAACGAAATACAGGAATCTATGCGCAGCTTGCGAGAGACCAGCTAGCTGTTACAACAGCGACAAGTATTACGGACGGGAGGGTGCCCTATTGTGCCTCACCGATGGCATGGGTGACGTTGCCTGGGTCAGATTGGGCGACGCTCGCGTACACTTCAAGGTAATTGGCAAATCAGTTTATGGACAATTCAATCACAATGCCCTTCAGACAACGAATTCAGAAAGAATTAATCTCGCTCTAAAAGATTATAATTAAAACACGGTTTGCAACGCGCGACTTGCGATACTATAATAACGTTTACCGTAACTTGACGCAGATGATCGACGTGCAAGATTACAAGTTTCTATGCCCGGACGGCACCACGAAACCGCTCAATTTCAAGGAACCTTGCGTCTGGATATCAAAACCGTGGCCGGTCATCGTAGCTAAACCGTAAGCGCTTTACGTCGCTTCTCGATCGCGATGAAGTCATTTCGTGTAACGGGTGTAAATTGGATTGAAAGATTAAAAAAAAAATCTTTTTTTTTTCGCTAGATCGAATGCCGAAAATATCGCCCACATTATGAATTCGATGATGAACAGAACGTTCAGTTGGGAATCGAACGTCTTGCAGCTGATGGAGAACTATTACATCACCTCGACTGACGTGAAAGAACTACAAACGCCCGACGACTATTTACATCGATGTAATGTATATACAGCGCAGCTATTTATTTTAAACTTCTTGCAATAAGACACTGTAACAAGTAATCCGTTAAAATATGTAACCTGCTTTTTACTAATCGCTGAACAACTATATAATAATTAATTATCAGTTTCATGAACTTTCCATGCACCGTGTAATATCCAATATAATAATGTAACACGACTGTATATGTAATTTTTTAAACATAAATTCTTAAACTACACACATTTCAACGTATAATTTGTTAGTCTATTATTAAAAATATCTGTTAACAATTTAATTATTAACTATTAATTTAATGACGGAATAAACTTGAAAGTAATGTCGATAGAAAAAAGTTTTCTACAAAGTAAGTGTTTAGAAGTGTTTAGAAAAATTATGTGATAGATTCATAGATAATATGTCTCGTTTGTTTTAATAACGTGGGTATTCTGATCAAAGATCCAAATTTCCTGAGTGCCAACGTTCGAACGGGCTGTCAGCCATCAAGAGAAATACGTTGGTGTCTGGTATCCAGTCTCGAGAAGCGTAAATGCAGCTGGCTAAGAGACGCTTCTGTTGTTTACGGCGTGGAACCGTTGATCTCCTGCCTTGAGGAAGAAAGCAGAGAAGCATGCGTGGAGGCCATACGGAAAGGAAGGATGGACATTTTCTTGGCGCGACCCGACGAGCTTTTCGAGAACAGAATGTAAGCGAGGAGCGGGCCAGCGTGGACGCGGCAAATAAAATGAAATTGAAAATATTTTCCCGATGTAACTCAAATCGTTATTTCTCTCGCAGGATGGGTCTGAAGCCTATTATCCACGCGATGGCGAACAGCCGGCAAGAATTAAACAGGATCGTGGCGGTTGTCAAGAGAAATTCCAGATTCAGAGTTATGAAGGATCTCAAAGGTGCCAAGGCGGCCTTCACGGGCTACAGAAGCGTCGGTGCGATTATATAAATATAATTTCGTATCTCGCAGTTTCAGTTGCACCAGAATTGCTTCTAATCGATTTCGCCGTTGTGGTCTCTCTTGGTCCCAGGTTGGAACGCATTTGTAACGTTAATGAGGAACGAGTCGGACGGAAATTGGGATTGCTCGGACGCGCAGGCCGTTTCGAAATTCTTCAAAGATAGCTGTGTCCTCGGTTGGAACAACAAAAATAATGGCAACGAGCTCCCGGCCAATTTATACTCGTTATGCAAAGAAGGTGAGACACATGAAGGACACATGTAATCATGATAAAGCATGCAGGTGCTCGTTAAATGAACTGCAATTATAAAGATATGAATGTACGATGCATGATATATACAAACATCGTGGTAGATCATTTAAATTCTCACGACCCGCTAAGAACAATATATGTGTGCAAGATATAAAACGCGATATAATCGCGAAGGAAACGAGTAATCAAAAATTGCGATCTCTTTGCAGGTGCGGAGCATGCGGGCGACGATCTAAGTACCTTTAACTACTTGGCTTCTGGTGTTGTCGACGTTGCTTTCGTCAATCTGAAGATCATAGAAAACAAAACGGAAGCCGGTGAGTTAATTGCGTCGATTGTTCCGATTTAACTGTCTCCTCTGCATTATATTTCTGTGTATTATCTAACGCCTTCTGATGTCGTAGGTGATTTTTATTACGAGAAAATTGATACCAAGTATACAAATCGGTTGCCCAAGTACAGAGTATTAGGCCCGACCTTGGCAGAAGCTATAAAAAGAGTACCATATTTGCTCGCATGGACGCCTCTCGGCTCGGTATAATTCTTTCCTTTTTAATTAATATTATACATATATACGTATAAATTTAAATTGAAAGAAATATATATATTGCAAATTAAATAGATATTACAAATATGGATATTTCTTGTCTTGGCAGATAATGGCGCACGAGAATATCACGGATCTGAGACGCCAGGAAATCTATACGATGTTGCTTGAAATGGATAAGATATTTGGAAGGAAATTCAACGGACAGGCACCCACATTCTTGTTATACGGACCTTACGAGGATAATCACGGTGTTATCTTTCCCGTAAGTTGAGCACGAAAAGTTTTTGCAATAGTTTTATCGGGAAAAAAGTTTATGTAACTCTGAGAAACCCAAAGAGGCAAAGTCAAAATGAAGACATTGTCGTAGAAAAATCGATAGACTTATACTAAATCGATTTGGTAAAGTTGGCTCTGTGTGCAGATAATAGAAAAAAAGAGTTAAATTATATTTCGGATATTAAAAATATAAACAAATTAGAATGTAAAAAATTGAATTATATTGATCAGAGATGCGCCAATTGAGTTTGCTGCAGTCTCTATAGCTAAAATCGATAGCGGTTCTTTGAACGGCGCATTTCGCCTAATTGGAATCTTCGCACATGCAATCATACGGTCGTTCGATGACATCGATCTTCTCCGAGAATTTCTCATTCCTCGCGCATCCGTAGTACACGTAGCCCTTGTCGCAATACGCCCAGGGAAAATGTAAGCACTTGAAGGACACCGACGGCATTCCTTCGCTGGTCAACGCGATCACGCCCACATCAGATTCCGGCGGAGATGCTCCTCCGGTTTCTTCCTCGAAGTCCTTCAGCACCTCGGTGACCGCTTCGTCGATCGACGTCGCCTTTCGCTGCAGTCGCTGTAAGATCCACTGAGCTGGCGCGTGTCTGTAGATAGCTTTGTCGCAACCCGAGACGGACACGCAGCCGTTTTGATCAACGTAAATGCCGCAACCGATCGCCGTGCCGGTCGCGCTCACGATTCCGTGCAGCTTTCCTGATTCTCCAGCCGTTGAGGTACCGCTGGCGAGACGTTTCTTCCGATCGTAAGCCACTGCTCCGACCGCGCCGAGCTACATAATGCAGCTTTTCTTTGAAAATCTCATTTGAAATCTTCGCGCGATAGTCATAATACAAAAATAATTATGTGAAACATTCAGAGTAAAAATATATTAGGTTCGTAAAAAACGAAAGAGAGAAATTTAAATCTAAAAGACATGTTTCTTTCTTTTATCTCTTTATCACTTTTCCATAAATTATAGTACTATACAAGTAAAAATATATAATAAGTTTAGGTGTAAAATTTTACATTAGATACGTGTTTATATTTAAAATCTGAATTTAGGAAATCTTAGATATAAAAAGATTAAAAATAGATTTAAAAAATTCGTGATTTACTACATATTTTTGCCTAAATATTTCACATATATTAATTCGCCATAAATTCGTGATGAATTTAACAACCTGTATAAAATCAGGCTCAATTTCCAAAGATTCGTCTAATGCAGCGACCTCGAGGGTAGCGCCTTCTTCCTTATCTCCGTATCTTTCAATTACACATTCCGGTATGCATTCCTTTTTATCAGATTGTTTGTCCTCATCTTGTAGAAGCTCTTGCGTCTTTCTCACATCTTGCACTTCTTTATGTTTATCAGTATTGCGATTAATATTTTTAAAGTAGCTCGTTATTCCCGTTTTCTCTCTACCCTTTACCGTTATTTCCTTCTTCGTGCAAGGATGTCTTCGAATCGGACGTAACGATCAATTGGCCAGGTGACAAAGTGGGAACGCCCGACTCCAAGGCGAATTTTTGCGCTCCAGCTTCGACTATTAGCACATGCTCCGTTTGCTGCAGGACCATTTTGGCTGCAAGAGTGTCAAGCGTTCTTGAGCTCTGAACAGGTTGTTAGACAAATAAATATCTGATTTCCTCGGAGTAAGCGTTCTGCTAAGAAAGACATAGAGACCTAACGATATGGGATGTGCTATATTACGAACGGCACCCACGCAACCCGCACGAAGATTATTCGTCATTACCGCGGCGTCCATCACGACCTCTCCGTTGGCGTCCAAGGAGCCTCCGTATGCACAGTTGAAATACTTTTTGCTCTCCATGTGACAAATCGCACGCTCAACCGCGTCCAGCGAACAGCGTCCTTTCAGTAGATCGCGATATGCCGCTACCGCGGCTTTCTTCACCTATATCCGTTCATTATGCATGAACAGACTCATTATTAAACAAAAATATTTTTTTGTTTCTACAAAAAAGAATGATCTTTTTTCGATTTTTTTTCGATGTTTAATCTCAAAATATTAAAAAAAAAGCACCAAGTAATACTGGAGTAATGGACTATCTTAGACATTTCTTGCGCTCTGCAAAATTATTTTTCCAGAGTCTCTGTTTAACGTAAATAATAACGAATAGTTTAACCTCGTCGAGCATAAATGTTCGTGCGTATCGGGGTATCCTGCCGGCACCTCCGTGAACAATGACAATCGGATCCACCAGCGGCTCCTTTTTCTTTTTGATCTGCGTCTCGGCGCTGACTCTAGCCAGGATCTCATTGATCCAGGCGCAATAGTCGCACGTTATGTTAGCATTTTCAAAATATTCATTGCCTCTTAACATTTTTCTTTGCAAAAATCTCCCGAAGCGTCTGTCGAACGAGAGCCAAGCACCAACGATTTTTGCTCGAATTTGATTGCTCAAAAGTGAATTTTTTTCACGTGTGTCATTCGTGTATAAAAAAATTGTGACGATGTTATTTTATTTTTTCGATAGTAAAATACGCAACGTTAATGTATAAGAGCGCAGATACGCAATTGTAGATTGCATATGAATACGAAAATAGATGGAAATTTTGTTGTTGCAGGATGGCACACGCTACTTACAGTTACACGGTCATCAGACATTAAAGGGACGTAGTTACGACGAAATCGTGGAAGAGCTCGTGCAACAAGAAGCTTGCAGTACTGCTAATGCATGGATGTCTGATTCAGAAGTTCTTTTCCTATCCATTGTAATCTTCGTTCTAAGCCGATTATTGCACTGCTGACGATGGATGGATGGACTATGCTCTCTACATACGTAAATAGAGTAGTTCATTATTGGTAATGTAACAATTTTGCATAAATTTTTTTTTTAAGCAGAGTTTCTCTTTCGAGAAAAATCATATTTGGAGATTGCAAAATGAATAATTAATAACAATTAAGTTTGCATAATTTTCTATGACACGGTGCCATATATATATACTAAAAGATAATCAAGAACAATTATTACGACATATAAATGTAAAAATTCTTATAAGAAACATTTTTCTATTTGACAATCTTAACACACATGTGTTTTCAATATTTGTCTAAGTTATTATAAATAATAATTTACACAAATAATTTTTAAAATATTTGTATAAAATATATTCACATATTGTATATTTATATTTTTTTGTACATATATATATGGTGTATATTATATACGTATATACACGATATATGCGTACATAATGTATATATACATATATATATTGTGGATATATATAAAAATATAATATACATACGTATATATTATTTATACAATATGTACTTCATTCAACACTTCAATAATTTTCTTTTATTTCTCTGAATATTTTCTTTTATATAATTTTTTATATAATTGCTGTTTAAAATGTGAATTATGTAGAAAAGTAATTTAAAATTATACAAGCTTGACAAAAACAGTTGTTTAATAATAGATCTCAAAAACAAAATTATTATTGAAGTTGTTGAACGATTTCATCAATCAATCGATCAAACATATTGAAGTATTAAAGAACATATCGAAGAACGACTGATATTGAATGATTACTGAAGTTATTAAACGAAAAAGTTTTTTATAAAAAATTTTTTTCTACATTTATTTTTAAGATAAAATCATATCATCTGTTGTATTATCAATAATGGCCGACCTAAATTAAAAAGCGCGATATCAAATCGGCTAAACTATGTATAAAATTCTATGTATATTTCAATTGTACAATCTTATCATTTAGCCTTATTTATATACGACACACTATATAAATGTATGTATAAATATGTTATGAATAGTATTTTTTTTTCTACATCTATTGGTACTTATTTTCCCTGGACGGAATATTGTGATATGTATATTATAGAAAGATACGAATAAGTGCACAAAAATCTCATTCGTTATACATATAAGATATATAAAATTATAACAATTTAAATGTACTTGATTGCACATTGAAAAAATTCAATATCATTTAAAGTTATCAAAGATAATTACCACTACATATTACTTTGCAAATCTTACAATTACAATTTCGGGATATACATAAAAAGCTGTACATCCCTTGTCAATTAAGAGAACAAATTTCAACTTGTGTTTAAATATTATTTTCTATGACTAGTCTCAATTATCTATTGCAATAATTGCAAGTACACACTGGAAGTATAAAATCTGTGAATATCTTTCTATATCCAATTTCTAGAAATAACAATTGTAATTCTAGAGAAACTATTAGTGCCTATACGATTCTTGCTTTATTAACGATATATCTATTTTCGTTTATGATACCGAAACGTATCGCGAAAATACGTTTAATTCTTGTAAAAATTCCTCCTTCTTTGAGTAGTAGAAATCTTTTCTCAGCTTATGTACCTCCACATTACCAGACTCCGTGCCAACAGCCTGCCAAAAAAATACATATTAAAATTTATAGCATATAAAAATCTCTTTCGAGCCCCGAGACGCAGCTTATCAACTCACCAGGTATTGATTCGCCATATCTTGATCTATTATGCAAGGGGACAGCTGCATGCTGCTTATCTTTCCCCACTTTTTCATAGATAATGTGTATATAGGACAAATATCGCTCTTACTCAAATCCCATACGTGAATTCTGTTAAATTTATATAATTTGTAATTGCGCCATCTTATTTTTCTTTTATTTGCAATTTTGTTCATTTCGTGAATTCTTACCGAGAATTACTATCCAGAGTATATATAGTCAACGGTTTCGTTTTCGACCATTGCAAAACTTTAATCTCATCCGTATACTGTTCGTTTTTCAGTTGTACGATCGGTTTCTCCACATTTATGTAATGAAGTCGAATCGTTCCATCGCCACAGCCGATCTGATGGACATAAAAATCAAATTGATGAGAATAAAATAAAGCTTTTAAAGCTAAAAAAAGTCTGCAAAAGAAGTCTTACCCAGAAAAAGGATTGATTGAAAGGACAAACGTCGATACAAGTTGAAGTACCGCATTCACCTGTAATATTTAATTGAAATAAGTCTAACGTTACTACAATGCACGTTCAATGCACAGAAATGACAAGACACTATTTTCACTCACTTATCTCAGTTGGTTTATATGTCACTGGATTAGTTCTGTTACCGATGTAAGTGGCATGCAAGACATCGGTACTGTTAGTCGCGATATAAATGTTATTTGTGTTCGCGCTGTCCACATGCATATCGACAAACGTATTCATGCTAAAAGAAAATCGAACAGTTAGACGAATCTCAGACATATACCGAGTCTTCGGAAAAAAAAAAAAAAACGATTCTCAAATTATTGTATTTACATTTCTGCGTCTTTTTTCGTCAAAAATGTTTTCTGATTCTTTACAAATCTTATGTCACCCCAGTGAGAGAGTCCCAGATCGTCAATATTTATACCCATGTTATGCACAATACTCCATATTATGAAGCAGCCATCCTCATCTAAACTACATATCTATCAAATTCATTTAAAGATAAGCGTGGATTAGTAGGGTTAAATTTTATCAGGTCAATGTCAATACTGTGATAATGACAACCTGGATAGGGACGAACTTGTTGCTCTCTTTAGCAGACGTAGTCTCGATCTTGGACAGTACGCGTATCGCAACAACTTGAGACGTATGCGCATCCAACTCCGCCGTTGTCGTGTAAGTAGGCGTTCTGATCACCCAATCTAACCCGTTAGCTTTATCCGTGATCTTCTGATGCCACATCTCGTCCTCCTTGAGGTCCCAGAGACTCAACGACCTAGTTTCAATATTTCATTTTTTAATGACAAAAACAAAAAAGCTTTAAGGAGAACTCAAGTTGCATACCCATCCTCGAGTCCAGCGAACACGGTGTTGCAACTCGTTAAGTGAAAACAACAGGCGGTAATAGGACATTGCGAGTAGAATAATTTCTTCGGCATCGAAGGTTCGGAAATATTCCAAACGCATCCGATGCAGCAATCGGTGATGTAATCCTGTTTGCTTATGGTTTCTATCTCCTGTGTTGTTTAATATAACACATTAATTACATTTCATTTTGAACCATATTAAGTAATATAGTAGCCACGCACGTACCTCATCTGCAGAAGCGTGTATAGTGAGCAGAACCTTATTTAAGATGTTCGAATAATGTATAATCTTAACCGATCTGCTAGCTAAGAATGTTACTGTATCTATAGAGAGCTTCACGAAACCGTCGCTGAACGATAATTCGCCTACGTCATTTTGAAAAACGGTACCACCGCGTTCCCTCTCTTCCAGCAATGACAATACAACCGCGCCAGCGCGATTGAGAAAATCATTTAATCGCAATACATCATAAGACGGCCGTGACAAAAAACTTATATCGTCCATCTCGTCAAAATCACTTCCAACGCCGATTTGTTCCTGCAAATTTTTAGAAAATTTAGAATTATAATTTATCGATATTTTATACAGGCAACAACGTAAATTATTACCATTTTAAATAAATTTATATCTTGTTTGTCACGCAATTCTTTTCTACAAGTTACGGGAAACTGCGTCCACTTGTTCTTACAAGGCACATCGTCCGTTTGTATCTCGATGTCTATATTGTCGTCGCCGGTTTGGGTGAATACCTGTAGAATACGGTATGCAGTAGTCAATCGATCACGCTACAGTTTATCATAACGTGTCACATACTTGTTGCGTATTTAATTTTCCGTAGTTTCTTATGAATTCATCATAAGGTATAGGACTGCATTCTAGTAACGACCATTCCATAAAGTCCAGCTTTATCATTTCCAATAATTCTTCGCCTCTGCTTCGAGGCTTGCGCGAGGTGATCTGCAAAAAACAAGATGTGTATCGATTTAGGTATACAATAATATATCCAATATTATAACACGTGTGTTCTCGTAAAGTGAATTACCTCCTCACGTCGATTCTCTTTCGGTTTACGAAAATCGATAAATGGTATTTGTGACAGCGGCGGAGATCGAGTAAAGTCCTCAGAGCGGCTATCCTCGAAGCCTTCATCGGTAGACGACGGCAAAGATTTATTTTCCGCCGGTCTATCGTCGCTGCGCCAAATAAATGTAAACACGTTAAACAATCCATGTATATTACTTTATTCTTTTAAAAACAAAACGTTTTGGAGAAAAGCATGCAAAATAAAAGCGTAACAATCACACATGACAAGAAAGACGTGCGAGTAATAATAAGATTACAAGTATCGTATTTATTCGTCCTGATACTTGATCTTAGTTATCACAAACCTAAACGTTTTGCCAACTGGCTCTCTTAATTCAGGTAACGGCGGCGTGTTGGATTGCGTTAAAAGCACAGATTCCACCCGCGCTGCCCGTTTTCTCGCTTCCGCGAGATCGTAATGTCCCGAATCGAGCATACGTTCCTCTTCGACCTTCACGTGTTCCGTGCTCCTCTGCAAGAATCGTTCTTATAAAATTATGCGTTTCGAACATATAGAATAAATGGTAATAGTTAAACGAGCGAGTTACCTTCTCTCGGATGCGCAATTCGATAGGTTCTAAGTGAGAATTGCTTCCACTGCTATCTGATTTTTCGCTAATTGAGGGAGTATCGCTGTCAGTGCATTCTTGAAAGTCCGACTCGTAATCCTGAAGGACGACACAGAGTAGCATAATTATATGTATGTAACTTTATTTAAATTTTCCCTCCTTTTTTTTTACCTCAAAATCGTCTTCATAATCGTAATCTGCCTCATCCGAGTCTGCTTGCGTATGAGAACGGCTGTCCGTTAAAACACCTTTCTTCCGCTCTACTTTTTCCACGACGTCCGGTCTCCTTACGGCGCTGTGCAGCATCCTTACCTCGCTCGGACTTAACGTTCTGGATTTCCTACGTTCTCTGGACGACATGCGTGACTTAGTTCGGTCAGGTGCAGAAGAGTCTTGCGATTTTTCCTTATCCCTTGACGTCCGATGCACAATCTTCTCGTTGGATTTAACATTAAGCTTATCTGTGGTCGATCTTGGCACATATATCGTACTCTGACCTCTCTTCTCCGAATATCCCACTTGTTCTCTGGACTTTCTCTTTTTCATCATACTGTCGTCGCTTGATTTGACTGCATTTTCGAGTCTTGTCTTGGAGATTGTCTTCTTCGTTAATGAATGACTGGACGAAACGTTAAGTGAACTAGATTTCGACGTTGAGGATACTTGCTTGACAGTCTTATTTCGAGAGGATTCAACGGGCGGCTTGTTAGCATTCTTAATCGATTGTGTCCTCGTTAAGGTATTCTGTAACGATTTGGACACTCTGTCTCCGTCTCCTCTGTGCCCGACAGTCTGGGACTTCCTCGGAAGATTAGAATCCGATTTTTTCGACGTTTCCGCATTGCTTTCATTGCCGGTTGACGTTTTCGATTTCGACCGCACGCGTGCCTTGACTTCGTCTTTAGGTCCAGTTTTTTTAGTTGCTCCCTAAGGAGAAATAAATCGTTACTAAAGCAATATAAAACTTATATATACTTAATAAAATTTAAGTTAAAATAAATGGTAATATCTAATTGACAAAAAATTATAATTTACAATAACTTAATGAGAAGAATAAATTGACGTTTTAAAATAAGAAATTTTTATTTTAGCATTATTATGTGCGCTCACGTTACTTCCGTATTCTTCGAATGCAAAACAAATTGTTGTACAAGTGATATTAAATTTTTCTAGAGTTAATTCTAGTGTCATCGAAGCGTACGAATAAAACATTACGAAATTGAGTCATGTCGTAATTAATAAAGGATGCGCATAACGAAGATCTTTTTGTAATGATAATAAATTATACGGAATCAATACACTCTTTTTCTCTCATACACTATCATATCATAACGTATTCTTTACGTAGCATCGCGAAAAATGTCAATAGTTTCGAGGTTGACGTAAGTGCAGTGTAGAGCCTTGACCGTGTAAAATGTCAAATTCCCGCGCTGATTAAAACGAACAAGTGGGAATAAAATTCGCGGACCTTCGTCTCTGCATTCGAGAATGCAGCACACGACACGGCAATCGAATTAATACGTTAAAAACTATTGAGACACTCACTTTATTGGACATTATGCCGCTAATTGATCGACGTTGACAGTTCAGAGGATTCTAGGGCAACCATGATGTAAACTAATGCGATTGTAACGCTACGAGAGGCTTTCTGTTGCAATTGCAAGCCGAATGTTATTTTTTTATTACCGGCAGAGGCCAAAGGCGATTTCTGCCCTTCGTGTTTTACCCGGCCGTAAATTCTTCGCGTTGCGATGTGCACTTGAAGATTTCTCTTTTACCAAAACGATAAAATATATATATATGTATATAAAATTGAATAGACGAAAAAAGAATTTCTTTCGCTTTATTCGCAATTTTTTGCACTTTTATCTTTTTCTCTCTTTTCTCTTTTCTCGCCATGCTCTCGCACATTGTTTGTTATAGAAAGTGAATACAGAACTGAGATGAAACAAAATACTGTTCCACGACTACGCATTTTAATTACACCTAAATTTTGGTCTTCTTTCGCGGCAGTTTTTACGAACAGAGATTGATGCCTAATTTATAATTATTGCGTATCTTGTCGCTGCGTCATGCCCGGAGATCGGAAACATCCAAAAAGCGTGCGCCGACATCGCGCTGCGTTCGATCGCGCACACAGGTCAAGCTATACACACGCCAATCTTCTTGACACGAGAATATTAGATTGATCAAAAAGTTTTCATTCGCTTTTTTTTTCTATACACAAGACCTGAACTGGAACGAGCGATCGTGTGATAATTATGGCATTAAAACAAAGTCGTAATTAGGTAATATAGTTTAGTTTTATTTATTGTAATTTTGCGTCTTTGGCCGCATGATTTAGGTCAGCTGTCTCGGCGCGACGCGACGACGAGGAGCAACGTTTCCCTCGGCGGGACGTTGAAAAGTCGACGGTGTTCGATTTGGTGTACAAATATCTGAGCAAATGCGCCAACAAGGACATGAAGTGGAGGCAGCGAAACTGCGCGTGTAACAAATTCAATAAGCGACACGCGAGGAAGAAAGACATTCGTGATCGTGACGTAGCGACAATTCATGCGAATCTCGACGAGGGAATTTCGGACGATTACGTGCGCCGGTCTCGATCACGCGCGGATAAAAATATGCTTCTCAAGAGAGCATCTAGAAGCTCGTCGAGAGAATGTATTGCCGATTACACGAAAGCTGTTCGCGATGGTACAAATTTCATTTACATGCGCAACGATCGAATATATAAGCACGAATATTAAAACATATTCGCGGGCATAAATTCGGAGAGTCTGAGCTTTTAATTTTATCAGAGAAGGAATATATAAATATAAAAACAAGAAATGTGTAAATCGATTATTATAATGTTTACCGATTCCTTCCGCTTAGGACGAAGACGCGCGAAAATCTACATGCGGGAAGCGCTTACATACGGTTTGCAATCCGGATTATTAATTCCGACTGATGGACGGAGAAATGTGCTGCGCGTTTCACGAAAACTGGGATCGTTTTCGAGAAACGCGAGAAAAGACAATGAAGACCCGTCGAATATCGCGACCAGCGATACTGAGTATTCTGAGGAAGATTGACGGCTTGATCGTAATAAATTTAATCGTCAAAAGCATAAATGTGATATGGTTTGTAATATTTCCTAATTCCTGTAATTCCATACTTTAAATTATTTAATAAATTTAAATAATTGAATACATATAATAAAAAGTGTAAATAAAAATAATAAAATCAAACCAATAGAAAAAATATTACATTCTTATTTCTATTCATTTTAATAATTTAATTCAAAATTTAACACAGGCTTTATTTTATTTGTAAAGGACAACACAAACTGTTATTGTTAAAACGACGACACAAAATTTTTATATTGGACAAAAAAGTTAACACAAGATTTTTTATTTCAAATTTAAGACTTAGAACCACGAATTTATATTAATTTTATTTCCATATGCTATTATTTATGGATGTTTTTTAATTATCTAGATAAAGGAGTAACTTTTTTTTTCAAGCTGTTAAAAGTGTATTCATACAATCCTGAATTTTCGTATTATCGCCCTCTCCGCATTTGTCGTTCGCATTCTTGACGACATCGCCGAATCCACCTTTTCAACTCTCGTTCACGTGCCGCGGTTCTCCTGCGGGGAACTCGCACCCTCAATTCTTCGTACACACTATCTTCCGCATCATCATCCTCCTCTTCTTCCATCCTTTCCTCTTCATCCTCCCCGCCATCTTCATCCATCCGTTTCTCTTCATCTTCTTGGTCTTCCACGGCGTCGTCGCGACGACGTCGTCCGTTCCGCTGATTCCTAATGATAACGCGAGGACAATCAGGAGGTTGGACCCTCGAATATTCATCTTGAGTGACAACTTCGTCACAAGTGCAGTCCACATCCTCCTCCGTCGTGGTCTCATCGTCTTCCTCATCGGCGCGTTGCACACCTCGATCATCCACTCGCGCTTTCTTTGCATTTCTGGCCGGGGCTGGCGAGAGAGCCCTCACGATTTCTCTGGAAGGCCCGGGAATCGGTTCCGCGTAATCGTCACGTTGCTCCATCCCGATGACGTCACGTCGTCGACGATAGTCTCGGATATCCGAGACATCGGCGTTAAACTCCCTGACGCGACGGTCCGCGTTATCCTTTTCGTCAGCTGATATGCTGGTCGAATGAAAAATCGGTTCCTCGGCGAGGCGATCGATAGTGAAGGTCCTGAGGGTTTCTTCGCGCGGAACTCCCGGAACTTGGCGAGAATCTCTTCTGCGTAATCGCGCGCAATCACATACGCCGTTTCTCCGATCATCGATTCTCTCCCGTCTCCTCGACGCGTCGTCTACCGTGCGACCTGTGCAATTCAAGGAACAGCCATTCCACTTCGTCGGGCTAATGGGACCGACCAAGTAATACTCGTTGCTCAGCAATTCCTTGACAAATCTATTAATGTTGTGACCGTTATTAATTTATAGTAAACCGCGAGAAATGTTTTTAAAAAAAATTGCATGAGCGGAAAAGGAAACACATGGCGTATTGTCAATAAGCTATTCCTAAAACTAAGAAAGCGCGTTATTTATCAGGATACCAAGCAAAAAAGAAGAAAAAAAAAGATGTCAAATGTCGCATATAATTCTTCTGGCATTTTACACCGCAATTTCGTGAGTCAAGTGGATATCTGTCATTTTTTATCGTTCTACGATCATATCTTCCAAACGCTAAATTGAAACAATTTTGTAGATTATACGGCACAGCGTCTACCATATGAGTCTGTTATACATAATTAACACGACCGAAATATCGGTCGATTATATAAATCTACAGTCTAGAAACAAGATATTAGGTCACGTAATAATAAAGCAATTGCCTAAGTGAAACACAATTGTCTTCCTATAATACACCCAAGAGAAAAAGAGAAACGTCGTTATTTATTGAATGTTCTAAGATAGTGTCCTCCCAAACACATTACATACACATTGTTTTAAATATAAAGTATAACAGTACGTGCGCGCGTGTACGTGTGAGTATGTGTTAGTTTAAAATAATAAAAATAACAATAATAAAATTGATATCATGAGAATTGTATGAGTGCACGATTTTGTGTGCGAGAGACCGCGTTTCATCCGATCTGTCTAACCTTCGAGGAAGCGACACCGAGAACTAACCCTTGAGAACAGACCTGTCTCAGCGCGGTCCGCACCTGAGCGTAAAGGTCGCCGTCGTAGCGATAATGCGTCCGGATGTAGTCGGCGATCTCCTCAGCGGTGGACGTGGACGGCTGGTCCACGTCGCGCTGCAGCGAGCGCATCGCCTCCATCACGCGCAGCGAGAACCTCGACGAGTTCTCCACGCCGCATTTACACTGCCGGGGTGTCTGCGGCGAAAGGAATTTTTTGTCTCCTGGGTCTTTTTCGTTGTAATCGAATACAACAGATTGTCACGATTAATGTGATTCTATTTAGCGTCGCCAAAAATTTTGACGGCATCCATTTCACGAATATTTTCGAATAATGCTCATATTTATGACAGCATAGTTTAATTGATAATATACAAAAAAAATAGAGGTTTAGCAAACTATACGTTTAATATAATTTTTTATATAATTTAACAACACTTAAAAAATCGATTAAAATAATTAATATGCGAATAAAAAAATTGATATTCTTTGCGCGTAGCTTACTTCTTCAGGAGTGTCACCTAAGTTCTCGCAACCTCCTGGACAAGTTTCAGCTTGTGTCGCACCGAAATTGTTTTCCTGATCTTCGTCAAGGATTTCCTCGATTATCGCATTGACTTTTCTTTCCGTTTGTCTAGCATTCATTTCATCATCGATTTAATAAATTTAATCTATCCGAAAGGTTAGTGAAAAATGTCATTAAGAGCATTGAGACACACGTGTGTATGTCAGAAAATTGTTCTAACCGAACATTTCCAACTGCTTGAAGTATCCAATCTCGTCAGCATTCTGAAGTTTCAGAGAAGAAAGATCTTTCGAAGAAAATTGTTCGTGCAAATATCTGATAAACATTATCCTCAATAATGATTATAACACAATATTAACATCTTCTACATACAATATATAATACAAATTATACATTTAATAATATTTGAATTTATAAACACGCATGTTGAAATTTCGTGCCAATTGAAACCGTTTCGCGTGTGTCCCGTGTGTTAATTTTGACTTTAAGATTTTAATAAGAAGCTGCGTGTTCCTCGCGAGGAGTGCGAGGACTTGCGATCTTGGTATCGATTTGCAATCGAAATAATACCACGAAGAAGTGCTACGGTCAAGGGGCGTAAATAGATGTGTGGAGAGAAAAAAGTAGGAGGAGCAGTCGACCCGCGGCGTAAGTGGCTAGGACGAGTACATACGTGAAATCACGTGAAATATTAATAGAGCGGGCAGTCGGCGAACGTGACTCTGCGCTGCACGCGGAAGTGCTTTTACACACGTCGTCGGTTATACGCGATATACTCCTCGGCTTCCTCGACTAGAGATTATACTCACGCTGTGTATATAAATTGCCGATATAAAATTGCTGTTCCGCGAACGCAATGAAACACGCGCCGACACGATAGATCCAATGATAACGAAATTATACACGCTATCATTGTTTTTCCATAATAACATCGCAATCCCTTCTCTCGACTTGAGATAAGAATTCACAAAAAGATTTCATTCATGTCCCCGTCAATCCGCATATGTTGACGCATTATCACCTGGATCTCTTCCTTGTAGAGAACCGAAAAAACGGGAGATTCTAATTTATCTAGGAAAAATTGGCTAATGTCCATTCTATGATTTCTGATTCAATTGTAACGCGTTATTAAAAACTATACATTTAATAGTACTTATATTATTAAAAAAAAGAAAATTTATACTGTTAAATCTATATAGTATCAAATTTAACCTTATTTAAGTCGCCACTGCTTTTACTAATACATAATTATTTGTAACTAAAACAATATAGTTATTTTTAAATAAAATAATGGAATTTAACCTAAATTTTGGTTAAATTGAACTGTTTTTGAACTGTTTTCAATTATTTAACTCCATTTTTTTAGTTAAAAAGAACTATTTATTAAATAGCAGTGCCGACTTAACTAGGGTTATTAAATTTGATTTAACAGCGTTATAAATTGTATCTTTTTCTATATTTCTCTTGCAACAACAGCCATTATATCGTACCTCGGGAAACGGCTCGCGGTAAAAATAAGATTACGCGGGCGGAGCGCAGGTGAATCAGTATAGAAGAGATTGAGACTCGCGGCTTGGGCAGGCACCGCGCTCCACTTTTTCCTCGACGGAGGGACGACGCGGCGGTGGGTGTGAGCGATTCCGCTTGTTGTTTCACGCCGTTTCCGATAAGAACGACGTTAGCCGGGCCCGCCAAGAATTACCTGGACGAGTGCGCGGCAGGATAAGAATACCGGTGCCGGCGCGGTAAGCCGCAATTTGCCAACGGCCTGGGAACCGAAAGGCTGTAGATGGCCTGGCGTGCTCCAACGGGCAAATAAGTCTAAATGATTAAACTCATCCCCTCCCCTCCCCTTGCCGGTAGGTACCCTTCTTGTAGGTGCAGGCGTTACTTGGAGCACGTCGTCCGCTCGAGAAATCGGCGATCTCCTTCACCACGCAAACTGTATCTCTTCTCAACTATACGCGATCTATCGATCCGCACTCGATTACATTTTGAATTACATTGTGAATGCTCTCATCCGGAAAATCATCCTTTCTCGAAATGGCACGAGGTCCAGCTTCTATCTAAACTCAGGATACGATGAGTCGTTTCTTTCTTTGGTGACAGAGGTAACACTACGCCTGCCACGTCGAACGCGGGCATTAAAGTCTATCTTGCGCGAATCCTCACATTAACTCAATTTCGATATTCCGATACGATATATATACACAACTGAGAGAACAGTTTTTTTTTCTTTAAAAAAAGAAAACGAAAAGAGACGCAAGAATATTTTTTTTTAGCCCGTGTCATAATTATTTTCCATATGCTCTTAATTGCTCTCTCTCTCATTTTATAATCTTGAACGCTTAAATTAGGCATTTATGAAATAAACAAATGATTTTTTTGCGACCCACCAAATTTTCGTTTATCCAATAACGTTTCGGGAATTAAACGCCAAATTATAAAGGAATTAAGCGAATCCTACCGTACCGGTACTTACTTAGTACTTTGATGAATTTTTTCGCCGAAACACTGCTAATTAGTTAAGTCCTGATAACGATTCTGCGGTTCTGAGTGGGCGCGGAGCGAGCGCGAGATTATAAATACCCGCCGGAGCCGCAAAAGTAAGAAAAGTTTAATCAGGACTTGGAGAAAGAGGGTGAGAGAGGGACTAAGGAGGGAAAGAAGGAGGAAAGGGAAGCGTCCTCGTGACGACTTGATGAGATAACTTTGCCCAAGTTGTGAAACAACGGGCGTCACGATACGTGACTTCGTGCGAGGGTGAAAGGAGAATCCGTGCTCCGTGTACACGGGGGCGGGGGGAGGGGGAACGAGACTAAGGGGCCAGACACGCGACCACCTTGGATACCGGCCTGTCCTGTGTTCCTGAGGTGTACGACGACGATCGTATACACCAGCGTTTACGCTGCGTGAAAGGCGCGGCGCTTCGTTCCGCTTTCGTGCGAGGAAACGGGGCGCCTTTTTTTTACGTGCGAAAACGCCTGTAAACCCTTCAGCGCTGGTGCGGGATGCTAACAACCACGTGACATTTCGCGTAAAGTTTGGGCAATCCTATCGCGAGCGTTTGACACGAAATACCAATGCAGAAGCAGTTGAAATAAGTAGGACGCTGCTTCGTTTTTGCACATGTAATAGCCCTTTCAAAGATAGCAATATTAATGTCGCAAGAGGAAGAGTGCGCACACTTGAGTGCGGCAAACGCGATCTACGCGAAATGAAAAATCGCCACCCGCGAATCCTTGACGCATGTATCAAAGGACGTGTCTACACGTACGTCGCGAGCCTCCATGCGGGGGGACGTCGATTAGACCGATTACCTCCGGGGTCGTCGGGGGCGGGTTCGGGGGTGCGTCCGCCAGTTCGCCGGCTTATCACGTGACGTGATGTCACGTTACCTGGTGGTCGTCGACCACAGGTGTACAGGTTCGCACGACCAGGTCCGATCGCGAGCGAGGACTATAGGTGCGGAAGCGCGGCCCGTTATCGGCACAAATCCAGCCACATAATGGTAACGAGCACATCCGAGCGATGGGCGACAAGAAACGCGCTCGTAACGTTAATGCTCTCGATCGATCTCTCTCCACAAGGGTTGGGTTTCATTAAAAAAATATATAAAAAAAAAAGAACTTTGACAGAAAAATGCGAATGTCTTTCCGTCTGCGACGAGACTCGGTCAGACGTCTAAAGAGAGACGGGAAGATCTCGAGATATTTTCCGGAAGAAAGGAATCTAGAGATTTCTTCAAAGTAGAGATAAAACGGATACAAATCACATCTTGCGAAGTAAAAAAGGTTTTCTACATGGACGGAAGAGCACAATGCGACGTTACTCAAATGTGCATTTAATTTCTCTCACAGAGCACGCTGAATTCGCATGAGAGGGACACACGATTGTTTCGAAGGCGCCTGTAATTGCGGCGCCGTGGGATCACGACCACGTGGCCCCCGGTCCCTCGCTTCGCCCTTTTCCTCCCCCCGTATCCATCCGAGGCTCGTCGCTCCCTTCCGCAGTAAATTAGATATTACGATACTAAATGACGTTATTTAACCCGCCCGTGCGTGCCCTGCCGTCCGGGAGTTGAATTTATGCGGGTCTATGACATTGTTGCGCGAACGACGCGCAGGTGTGTGCCACGAAGTCGCTTGCGATCATCGCGATCTTCACCGTTACGATTTTAGCACGCGGATTCCCGTTCAGGCATTAAGCCCGTTCAGCATCAAGTGTAACACGAATAGAAAAATTTGACTGTCGTGCGAGAATTTAAAACACATTTAAAAGAAAACTTTCTTTACATTCTTTACGCCAATAACTTTGTGACTTTTCTCGACTCTTATCGGCGTTATCTGTCTGGATAAACGCGATCGAGCGGTATACAACGCGCACGTGGAAACGATCGCGAAGGTCAAAGGACGCGGAACACAATCGCGAGACGAAGGTAATCGATCTCTTGACCGTTAATCGTGGGCTAGAGGATAATTACAGGACAGGCATGTTGCAACATTAATGAGAACGATGATAAAGGGAGAAGCGGGGGCGGAAGGCGGAAAACGCTTGGGGGAGGGGGAGCGATCTAGTACAGCACGCGCCGCCAGCTAATTTACTTCATAATAATTACCGGCGGCGCATTAAACATTCGTACGTAGGTAACGTGAAAGTGTCAGGTGCTGACTGTCCCAGAGGCAACATTAGAAGGCAAACGTAGTTATATGTACGTACGTTAAGCTACATTGGTGGGTCTATTGCGAGACCGCGCGCCGCCGAGGCGCGCGTGTATATAACGCGCCTTTCTCCGCCTCGCATGTGTAAGACTCGCACCTGCATCGCCGCCCGAGGTCTCCCAGAAAGGACGGAGGGAAGAAGATCGTAATTTCTCTGAAAATAGAGCGGCCGAAGAATCGCGTTAACTCGCCGCCCCGTCCGTGCGAAAGTTTCCTGTAAATTTCCGTACCGATTCGATCAAACTTGCCGCTCGAGGTTCGACCTCGCGCGATCTATCTCGTGATTTTTCCCCATATTTTCAGAAGTCCGCGTTTACTTCTAAATTATTCGGAGGAAGATTTTTTTTTGCTACCACTTGCGGTGATTTCTCTCCTACTACACTCATAATTTTTCGAACTCTAAGCTAAAAAAATACTACACGCGTTGATTGACGATCAATCGATAGTCAATCAACGCGTGCAGTATTTTTTTAGTATTCTTTAGCATTCTTTTCTCTCTCTCTCTCTCTCTCTTTCTCTTTCTCTCGCGCTACTTTTATTTTATTGTTACTATCCATTTTTTTCCTTCTTAAAAAATTTACGCTAGGACTGTATGATAAACGCGTGTTTTCCTCAATCCTACTCCCTTTTTTTTCATATTAAATGCGATGAAGTGTGCGTACGATGAGAAATAGATGACGAATGACTTTAAAAATTATGCATGTTATAAGAATTACAGATCGAGGCCGTGTATGTGCGATAAGCGCCGGTGATCAGTCATCGCAAGACCGCGACGTGTGTCGTCGAGCGATGAACCACGTGAATCATAGATAATACGGGCATAATGATTGGAAGATCAAAATCTCTCCGGTTACCTGAAATTGCGGTACTGATCGTTACTTTTTCGCGACAATGAATATTTTATATTGCGCTATAGCGTACCGTCATTACGGACTAAATTTGTAATCTGTATAAAATCAATATTGAATATACATTTTACATTGGAAATGAATTCTACAGTTCTGAAGAACGTACTGGATTACTCGAGATCTGATAAAGAGAACTCTATCTTTCTTTACTTCTTGCTAAATATACAAATTAATTTATAACTAGTTGTACAATTAATTATAATGCGATTTATGTAAAATAAATAAATACTATTTCGTTTAAAATTCGAATTCGAAGTGAGCTATATTTAAAACGAAACCTCGCAAATTATAGACTCGATCAACTCTCGACGCTGCGCAATGTCTCTGGAAGGGAGGAGGGGGGGGGAGGGGTAAAACAATTCGCGACAGGGAAATAAAATAGTAACGCATTAATATCCATTAGTAGTGAAGAGCACGAGAACATTATACAGAGTTTCTTGTCGCGGGTTGTCTACGCGCGTCCTTTCGCACATCGTATTCACGTGACCTATTATGTGCCGCGGATTGCAGATTACAGTGATAAAACGAAAGGCGAAAGGAAAGAGGGGTGGCATACCGCGATTGGTTAGAAGATTCCGCGCCCGCGTTTCACCTTGTCCAACAACCAACGATCACATCGACGGCGGCAACGAATCAGTCGACGTTATAACAATGCGCATGCACTTGGAGGCGGGATGTTTGATCACCTTCAACGAATCGAGTGGCCCCCGTGTGCGCTTCGTGACCGCGTTGCCGCAACACGTAACGTGACGCGGCGCGTTATCGCACTTGATAGTAGCCGAGTAGTCAGGACAAACAGCTGCTAGTCCGATCGCCGCCAGGGAGTTCGTTACGGGAGATCCTTTCGGGAGGCCTTTCGTGAGAAAGTTCGAATCTTCGCGGAAGATCGTAGTCTTCGCATCGACTTCGATTAATTCTTTCGATTAATATCGTTTCGATCGAGACGCGACCAGTGATTCACGAACGTGCGCGGAAGGATATAAGCAAAACGTCGAGTTTCAGAGATCCCGACGAGATTATTCAACGCCTATAATGAATACAAAACGCATTTGAATAGTGAAAAAAAAATCAGGTTGTAATGCAAATCACCGAAGAAATCCTACGTGAATGAGGAATTTGTCAATGATATATATGAAACGTCGAATTTAAAATCTTCTGTTTCGACATTGTTTAAAACATCTTTATATATTTTAATAGTTTCTTACGTAAAAAAAAAACGCGCGCATAAGTAGTGAAATATATCATAAAACAGGGAAACGAGTACATGTTGCCGAGGAAAGACTCCCTCGCCGTGTTCGGGTATGGTTCACTGAACGAAATCTTTCGATTTCACGAAAGATGTAATTGTCATCGACAACTGCGGCACAAGTTATGCCTGAAGCGACTCTCAAGGTTTGATTGATTTTAAAGATCGTTCACCTTTATGTGTACAACTCGTATAACGCTTGTACTTCTTCGCTTATACTTCTCGATAATTAAAGAGCATGCTGTTCGAGAATCGGGGAGATGCGTAAAACTTACCTCGCGCATTGAGAGACACTTTTTTGAGAAATGAGTTCGCACTCTCATGCGAGGACGTTGTGCTCCGGAAATGCAGTCTCTGGCGCATTCTCAGCGCTCCATCTCCTGCGGAGTTACAGCCTCTTCGCTCCGAACTCAGGTGTGTAAATCGTACGTGAAGTCTCTTTACCAGAGGGAGGAGAAACATGCCCCGAAAAGTCCGTCATACGTTATTCATCGTGGATTCTTCGGTTGTTCCAAACACTCTGAAATTAAAAAATTAAATGTTCTTTTTATATTCTTCTGCATCACTTTAAAAAAGAATTTGGGATATAACGTGTAATATTATCTTCTTTCGCATCGCGAAAAATCGTAACACATATAGAAAAATCATCAATATTATTTTTCTGCTTTTCGATATTTTAAAAATATAATTAAAAAATCTTCAATATTATTTGAAAATAATATATAACCGAAGACAATCTTCGGTTCAGACTATCCTGCATAGGTGAGATTAAAATTTTATCTTTAATATAAAATATGAGAAATATCATTTACGTCAATTCATTTTGCATTAAAAATATAAAATTAATAATTAATTTATTATTAATTAATTAATAGAAATTTCCAAATTTTATGTTGTGTGTTTTTAAATTTCAACTTTGTTATGCATTATATATTTTTTATTTGCTTCATATTTTTGAATCAATGTTTTATACTAGATACAGAGATATTTTAAATGTTTCGTGCGATATTCTTTATTTGCCACTTATTAGCTTCGTTATGCATAAGTGAGCAAGTTGACCGATATCTCGATTGATCTTGAATACTTTCCAAGTCTCTCCCAACTCCTCCAGTAGCCGTGATCGTCTAGTGGTTAGGACCCTACGTTGTGGCCGTAGTAACCCAGGTTCGAATCCTGGTCACGGCAATGTGAAAACATTGTCACGGTGGAGGTTTTTTTTACACAAATTTTGTCTCTTATATATTTTTTTATTGATATCCAAAATTATTATAACGATATATGTTAATAAAATGCGTGTTATATTAAATTTCAGCAATTTTTCTGAGTAAATAATAAATTCAAAATCGAAACAAGCCTAGCCATTTATTACGGAATTTATGCAAAATGAAATGACTAAATAATAATTTTTATAATTTAAAATATCCATTACGAGTCCCATATGTTCATACCACCCAGGCAGTAATATTCCTTATTATCTCCGTTAAAAAAGATGTCGAGGAACGAATCGTTCGCCTCGTTAAGTCTGTTTGATTTTTACGCGAGCGCGCATTCTCGTTACGAACGGTCGTCTTATTCGTAGCATCGCCATTACATCGGTATTTTCTTCCTTAAAATTGGTAACTGCCGCGCTCGAGCAGTTAATGTCCGAAACGAATTTTACGGCTTGGCTTAACAGCCGCGGCGATTCACGCGAACGGTTAACGTTTTGCACAGTTTCGCACGACGAGTCGTGTGTCGTGCATTATCATCACGACACATTTCGGGACCCCGATATTTCATCGTCGGTAGCATGCACATAAGTATATAGCGGTAGCCGGACGGGGTAAAAGTTTCAGTTTCGCCCTGGCAAAGTATCCAAGTGTCAAATAAATCTTGCATCGATCAAGCGAACCAACAAACTACTATTTCACATGCAGCTAATTAATCGTGCGGACAAAAAGGAGGGAAAGGAACGAGTGTTCGTTACAGTTTATCACCTACATTATAAGAATTAATTTGTATAAAAAGTTGCAAATGAGAAATTAACGGGGCATTATGTTATTACGGGAAAAGATACAAAATGGTATTTCGCATTTAATAAAATTAATTGCATGAAAATTTTTTGTCGACAAAATGGAATTTTTAATTTTAATTTTTATTTTATAGATTATATGTCAACGATACGTACGATATACCGTTCTCCTAATACAAAAAAAATTATAAATGTACCCCTGGTGGGACTCGAACCCACAATCCCCGGTTTAGGAGACCGATGCCTTATCCATTAGGCCACAGGGGCGGTCGATGGCGAAGAGTCTCTAAATCCCATAAACCCTTCCGTTCGACGATTCAATTTTTTTTTCTTCTCAAATTTTATGATACAAGACCGATAGAACGCAATCGATTAAATGCGCAATACCTTCGTGTTAAATCAATAAAATTACCGTTTTTATTCAGCAGATCTATGCAGGTACGAAGCGTACCCGCCTCGGGACTACGGCTTCGTCGAGCCGGATATTCTGTCGAGTTCCGTGTCGGCGGATTCCCCGTCCTCGCCGTTAACGTCCTCCCCGTTGTCGGCGACGTTCCCGCTCCCAGGGACTCTGCTCCAGCCACCCTTTCTAGCGATGCCACCCTTGATGCAATCCCTGAGCGTGCCTCAATCCTTCTCGACTTCTCCCACAGGTAAGCTGGAATATTTCAAATCTTCGTTTTTATAATGTTCCTTCTCTTCTTGAAAATTATCGAGCTTTTTTTATTTACAATCTACCAATGTTATACATTCATTTGCACGTAGGCGCTCTCTATTTATTAACTGATTAATACTACAGAGGCAACAGCCTCGGTAGCGCAGTAGGTAGCGCGTAAGTCTCATAATCTTAAGGTCGTGAGTTCGATCCTCACCCGGGGCATTTTTTTTTCCTCCCGTAAAAATTTACGTTAGTCGTTGCGTCTCGTTAATGTAATGTACGAAATAATAAAGAAAAAAATACACAATAAATATTTTTTATCATCTCTGGCCGAAACAGGTGCTGTGAATCGTCACTTCGTCACTACAAATGGCATAACCGCTCTTCACAGAAGACCCAGAAGCGAGAAGAAACCGATCCCGGACGATCAGAAGGACGAGAAATATTTCGAGAGACGTAAACGGAATAATCAGGCGGCGAAAAAATCGCGGGACGCCCGCAAGATCAGGGAGGACCACGTAAGGACGCGGCATGCATAGATCGATCGAAGGGACGCGACCTCGGTCAAACTAATTAATTAATTCGGTCGGGGCAACTATTCGCGTCACAATTATTCGAACTACATAATTTCTCTTTTCATGAAAAAAAAATATTGACTGTTAATTCGTTAATTAACAAAATACTCGACAAATCGATATCAATCGCCGATTCTCTTATTCCTCATACAAATTTCGACATGCAGCGCGCGATGTAGATAATTTTAGATTAAATTCAAGCATTGGCAAATTTTTTTTCCCCCCTTTTACTCCACCGGCTGGCGGATAGCGCCTTTCAACTACCTTCTCGCAAGGTTATATAGCGCACGTATTGGCGAGTTGATATATATATATATATATATATATGACAATTCGTTTCTATTTACCTTTTTTCGTTGCAGATTGCACTAAGGGCGACGATGCTGGAGCACGAGAACGCGATCCTGAAGGCGCAGATCGTGACCCTTCGGGAGGAGGCGCAATCGTTGCGGCATATGCTGATCAAGCAACACACCCCGGCGATACAGTCGATCGAACGATCGCTCTCGTCGATGACACCCGTAACGCTCTCCCCTCCGCACACGGCCGCCAGTCTAGATTGTTAATTCTCGGAGATCCCTCCGAAAAGCGTGTACCTAAGAATGTTTATATACATAACGAAAAACTCAAATCTATGTAATTTACACGGAGTCACACGTTCACGTAGCAAACACACGCGCGAAAATGATCCTTTATATATACGTATATTAATTACATTCGTGACGATCGATTTCATAAAGTACAACAATTCGAAAAGTATATTAGCTATACGAATTGTTAAATATTTCTCTCTCGCTCTCTTTCTGCGTTAACAACGGAAAATCGATTTTATAGTAGTTTCGGAGGCGATAAAATATCCGAAGAGACTTCGAGATTATATTTATTGTTGGAATTATTATCATCAGTTTTAAGTGTAATTATATATAACTGTTGCTTGAATACTAATAAAAGAGATGATTCAAGAAATATATGTAAACGGAAACCGAAAACTGTATTTTATATACGAGATCAGTCCGAAAATTACCTCATCAATATCCTGCGAAAGCAGTTCACGAAATCAATGGTCGCGATACTGATCAATACTGATTAACTGATCGCGATTGTCGTGTAACGCGTTCAGCGAGGACGGCGAGTACAGTCGCGTTTCTCAATTTAAAAAACGAGACATCTAGCGGCAGAACATTAAAATCTAACCGACAATCAGTATGCTTAAAAGGTACAAACTCTAAAAATTATAATTTATATTTATATTTATAAAATTATAATTTCTAATTTATTATATTCTTACGCTTTTATACTTGAAACGAAAAAAACATATCTACACTTTAGAAATGAGAAGATAGAAAATCTAAACAAAAGGATTTAGATAAAGAATATATATGATGCTATTTTGCAAAATAGACACACTATTTGTGAAAAATTCTTCAACGTCCAATTTTAACTATAACAGTATATTCCAATTAATTTTAATTTCAATTCTTCGTTTTTGGAAAAATTTTTAGAACCGAGACAATGATAAAAAATAACTATGATAAATAATAACATAGCACAGCAGTGATCTTAATTATATACATATGTATGTATACACACATGTATGTACGCATATTTATGTATATTCATATTCTCTATCGATTCTCTTTTCACAGTGTGTATGTAAATAGGGATGAAGTTTATATACAAAAAGAATAATGAATTATTCGCCCCACACGCCTAGTCTTATTTACCGTATAAAAAGTACTTTAATTACAATACAATAAGAAACATTGCGACGTACATTTGTTGAATTATGTATATATATAAACCTTCTCGGTGTGCGTCCTACGCTAGTTTAAACTACTTATACGAGTACAGGCTACTCCTACAAGGAGAACGTAGATACAGAGACTCATAAAGGTGATACATAGACGCTCTATAAGTGGATAGAAACGCGCAACTACTTTCATTAAGGAAAAAAATAGGAAAAAAAAAGGAAGAGAACAATGTGTACGTCCATCTGTCTGTCATTTACGCACATCTACGTGTGTGTATTTGCGTCGAGTGGCGCAAGTTGTCCGACCTTCGCCAGTGCGAGACTTTGCAAAGCTGCAAACGCAGTATATATCCTCTCTCGTGACTTTTCCCTTTAACGACACTGTCACGTTCACAACTTTACAACCATACTTATATCCCTAAAGTGCCAGCGAGATCAAATTTTTACAAATGCCGTTGACCTCGTTTAGGACGACGCTTCGAAAGACGACGTTTTCGCGAGACGTAAACTTCATTGTTTGTATTTGTGAAGGAAACTTATATCCCTAATTACATTTAACGATATACATATACAATGACACCCCCGTCATCGATCGTTTCACGATCGTTCCGTCATCGCTCAGAGTTCCTACCTCCGGTTTCTTCACCTCTAATACGCTAACATTTAAATATTCATCCTACGAAGGCATTACACACTTGTCTCTCTCGTAAAAACTCGGAATCGATGACGACGACGATGTCGACGAAGACACGCAAATCGTTCGCAATGCGATCTAGATCGCGGTGCGTCGAATCGTCGAAAAATGGCAGTAATCGCGTGCCAGGGCACGCGGATGATTAACGCAGAATCATTAATATTATTATACAAATCAATTGGCTGCTATTACAGCGGCCGCCGCCGCCGCCGTCGCTGCTGCCGACGATGACGACGTTGACGAGGATGACGACGAGGACGATGACGATTTCTTTTTCAGCACGATGTCCTTGATATTGAGATTGACCTTCTCCTTGTGCAGCGGCGGTACCGATTGCAGGCAAAATCGCTTGAAGGCCTCCAGCTCGCGTTCATCATCGTCCATCTCTTCGTCGTTCTCGAGGTCTATATCTTTGGGCGTGAATACCTCTGCAAAAGACACGCTCTGAATACTGGATAACACCGACAAGCCCGCCTGCGAGCGCGGCAATGATTGGCAAAATCTGCTGTGCATTAATTCTCTCTCTCTATCTCTCTTGTCTACTGTGTGAGTAGTATAGATAGTACATAAGAGTAAAAAAAAAAGGTAAGGTACGACTACATCAACGTCTCGGAAATCGTCCAAACAATGTCGACACCCGCCACGCATTCGCGGAGTAAATAAATTTCGGCAAATTCGTGCCGGGTTCCCTTCTCGATGACACCAGTGAGCAACAGTGAACGCAGAATCGGTACAATTGTTAATATTCATTGTATCTCTTTCCTAACTTTTTTTTTGACATTATAATTAATAAGATACTCATAAATGTTTTTGAGGAAACTCTGTCCTGGGAAAATTTGTCTTGTGTCTTTGCTAAATTTATTACAAAGGCAGTAAAGTGACTTTGACATATTGAACGGAAGGGAAAAAGAAGAAAAAGAAATAAAGACTAGTGTGATCACCCGTACTCATGCAGCATTTCGGGAAACGTCTACTCCGACAAAGGGGAAAAGAGAGTATAACATTGAAAAAAGTAACTTGCTCTTTTATTTAATGTTATCAGAAGATTAAAAAACATCGTATACTATAGTATCACATTCGTGTATCATTCATCACAATAATACGACCCCTATATATTGTCAATATAAATCTAGTCGAGCAATTTGTCCATTTATTTTCGTCGGTCGATCGCGTTTGAAACAAAAGTCGAAAAGGGTGTAATAAAAAATATTGATTATATTATATTCGATTATAAAGTAAACGTCCTAGTGACTGGACATGTATCTAAGTCCGGATGTACACAAAACTTATTATTATTAATCTCGAATGCTTTTTTCATTATAATATTATGTTATATTTTTATAATTAAGTTTTGATATTATAATAAAATAAGATTTGAGATTAATAAGTTTTGTGTAAATGTCCGGACATAAGTCACACAATGTCCGATCACTGAGATGTTTACCTTACACCGATTTAGTGCTATATTTATATTAATTTGTATAGTAAAAACTAATCGATATAAATGTGGATACACTGTACATATCAATCTATACCAGTATACAGATAATTTTACGATAATACTGGTATTATAGACTGTAGTAAATTTTTCACATATTTAAAAAAATATAACTTTAATCTGAAGTTTATTGGTTGTCTAATATGTTCTAATTAAATAATCCGATATATTTATAAATTTCTAATTACGGTTTTATCAAAACAAAAGTGTGCGATATTGATACAGTTACCTGCAAAATATGTTCGATATTCAGTCCTTGATTTAAGATAATCTTGTATTGTGTATGGATCCCCCCCTTCCGCCGCCCTCTTTCTACTATTATACATTTGTTTGTTTTTATATATTCATGCTAAATCGTGGTACTTTGATTCATCCGAATCGGAAATCTAAAGGCAAGGAAGAATATATTCACGCGGCGTCTTATCGAGACGGCACTGCTTCACGTTCTACATTCGAATGGAAAAAAAACCAAAGATCACAAGAATCCGCGTATAAATCCAGAAACAATTAATTACTCTTTAAGAAACAAAGAGCAAAGTGATTTAAATTTGGAGTCTCGCATGGCTCTAGAAAAAAAATATAGGAAAGAAGATGATCACCATTTGTCTTCTTTGCTTCCTAAAAGCAATTTCCTGAAAAAAGGAGAGCCAATTTTCAAAGATATCTTTCTCTGTTTCCCATTCTCTCTTCCTTCTTTCATTTGAGATTATATAATTTCTGATATCTCAAAAATCTTTTGATCTAGCAAATGACGTAGGATCCTAACGCAACGCAGTGCATTCTCCTGACGGCACGGAGTGAAATAAAAAAAAATCGTCTTTAGCGCGACGAACCTACATGCATCCAAAAGAGATACGTATGGGTAGTTTTCTTCATGAAAAAAAAAAAAAAAGAAACGAGATATAGCCACTGCAAGCGTGAGAAACAACCCGGGGAGGATGCGTGCCTGTGTAATGTACTTGTGTAATGTATAACATGTGTTAAAGAAAAGAAACAAAATGAAAGAAGCAGATTTACATGTTAAAGTCTGATTATTGTTGTTTCTCACCAACGAGATCCAAGTCATCTCCGCACTGCCCGGTGCCGCTTCCGCGTTTTTTCTTTTTCTTGCTCTTGCCGCCGCCGCCGCCGCCGCCGTTGGCCGCTGTTAACGTGGTGGCGTTTACCGCCGCCTCCTTCCCCGCGGCGCACTTCGCTGACGCCTGTCGCGCGTCCTCCATGCTCGTTGCCTCAGGTCTCACCTTTGTCAGGGTGACGCTGGTACCCTTGAGATTGATGCCGTTCTCCGGTATCGGTTGGCCGTTCGTCATCTGGCTGATCTGGATGTTGGCGAGCTCGGACAAGGACGACGCGCAATCCGGTTGCGCGCTCAACCGACTGCGCAATTCCGCCAGGCTCGACGATATGACACCGTTAGCATGTTTCACGCTCAGCTGACCGCAATCAGGCGTCGTCGACGTTCTGCCCGCCGATGACGACGACAGATCGCCTTTGACTATGTAATCCGGCTTAGGCGGTGACGTCAAGCCCGCATTGATCGCCTGCTGCAATGCCGGACTTCGGATCGTCACCATGCCGTTTTCCGAAACTTTAATTATCGCGGCCTGCTGTGTCGGTGGCACTTTCATCGGTCCGAATGACGGGTTCCTAATAGTCACCATATTCGTCCCGGGATTATGCAAGATCCTCGCCGGTTCGTCTATCACGTGATCGCTTACGAACGCATCGTTGTTTTGCACTGGCGACGCGACCGTTGCGTTACCCGAATTGGCTGAATTCTTATTTTTCTTCTTCTTCTTTTTACTAGTAGTAGTACTTTGAGGCTGCGAATCCTTCGACGAATCTATATAGAAAAAAAATAAAAAATTCGTATGAACCAAGAAAGGCCAACATTTTCTATTGGAAAAAAAAGAAGCATTTAGAAATTTATGATAAAAAGATCTATTCTTATTAATCATAATCATTATTTTTTTAATTTATTGTTGCATAAAAAATGTATTAAATGAAAAAAACATTTAAAAAATTAGATATCGTAACTTCAAACAAAAATTACTAAATTCTTATTCACAGCAGAATATTAATAAGCTAATCTTGCATGCGCTCTTCTCTCATATCTCAGTTTATCCGTACTAATTTCAGCCTACCTTTCTCATTGGCTTTTGGCAATAGGTCTTGCTTAAGCTTGCCCGTGTCCACCACTATGACATTTCCACCTGCCTGCGGATTCGCGTAGCTCGACTGAACGCCGCTCATCGGCGCGGCGATAATGGTAGTTTGCTTGGGCGGATTCACTGGTTTTGGCAAAGGAGCCGTTTTGATTGGAAGCGGTTTTGGCGGCGCGTCGACCTTCGTAATCGTGATGCCCGGTGGTAACTTAAGATTTTCAATGTTAATCTTGGAATTCGGTCCGATGTCTTTAAACTGGCTACTAAGCGATGGCGAACTAACTCGTTCGGAACACGTATTTTGGACCTCTGTGGGCGCACGTTGTTTACTTACGGTAGTTTGATTCGTTTTATTTACATTATTACTTTTTTGAGAATCGCTCTTATTCGATACGTTCTTATTATTCGCGTTGTTATTATTATTTTTATTGCTCTTACTGGTGTTCGATTGCGAGTTTTTATCTTGCTGCTGTTGCTTCTTCGCCTTCTTACCAATCGTGGATTCATTTATGATCTGATTCTGTTGCTGCTTGTGCGACGCCGGTGTCTGAGGAGGAGTACTCGCTTTGTTTTGCTTTTTGTTGGTCGCGTTTTGTTGGCTCTTACTCTTGTTCACTGCATTTTGCTGCTGCAATACATTTTCCTTGTTCTCTGTATTTTTTTTATCCTTCTTTGATTTGGAATTTTTGCCATCGTTGACGCTCTGCTGTTGGACCTTCCTCTCATCCACCTGTTTACCATTTTTCGATTTCTCGTTATTTGCTTGTTGCTTCAAGTTCTTACCGTCGCTAGCTTTAGTTTGAGCCTGCTGCTTCGAATTATTCGATTGCTGCAACTTATTTCCCTGCTGCAAGGTATTATTGTTGTTAATCGCTTTGACTTTTTTCTTTTTTCCGTTGTTACTTTGGTTTTGTTCTTGCTCCGACTTATGAGAAGGCTCCTTAGTCTGTCCATTCACCAACGTAAATAAAACTTTATCCTCAGCTGGAGTTTGGCCTTTCAAAGTAATCGTGACTGTAGGTTCAGCGCTGTTCGAATTTATTTCCCTCCTAATAGTAACTATTTGCGGTTGAGATTCTGTATGCGCTGCACTTTCGGTTTCCTTTGCCTTCGCTTCTTCCAGTTTCTTCATTTCCTTCTTCAATTTTTTCCTTTCTTTCTTCGTCAATTTCTTGTCGAGTAAATCGACGTCGGACAACTTATTTGCATTATTATTCGAACTATTTTTCGTACCCGTAATATTATTAATACTTGCTGGTAGCTTGTTGCCTTTATTGCTATCGATTTTATCATTTTTCGCATTACTCTTATTCCCTTGGCTAGAGTTTGTATTTCGCACTTCGCACTTTTCCGTGCTATTAATACTCTTACTTTTTGCGTTTGAACTTGCAGACGCCGTCTTCGTCTTGTTACTCAAATTAGTAATACTATTATTACCGCAATTATTACCGCTATTGCTACAGACTTCTTGCCTATCCTTTTTTCTATTGTTTAATGGTTTTATCGTGGGTACAGATACTGATGGCGACGTTGGCAAAATGGAAACTTCCGGTAAATTACACTGAGGCAATAATCTTTGAGGTATGGGCTTCTGAGGGTCGACAACAGTGATCGTCACCTCCGGTGTCTTTTTCTGTAATTCTATCAACTTTTGCCTTTCCGCTTCTTGTCTATCCTTTTTCAATTTTTCGTCAAGCTGTTAGAAAAGTTAATATTAATTAACATTATATAAAACTGAATACGGAATATAGCATAGCGTAATTTATACTTAAACGAACCTTCCGTTGCTTCTGCCTCGCTTTCTTTTCAGCCTTCTTGTTGTCTTTCTTTCCGCTTTGATTGCCTTCGATAAACTCCAACAACTCCTCTAAATCTCGTTGATCTCGTTGATCATGCTGGACCGTAGACGTCGTTGAAATTGGAGTATTTGACCTGAGAATCGAATTTGTCGCGATTTTGGATTCGGAGTTGGCATTGGGAATCGACGATTCCGACGGACTTTTTTGCGGACTACATCCAGCTGCAACGGTCTTACATTTCTTGGCTTTTTTCTTCGTCAGAAGTTGTCGCAGTCGTTCCCGCATTTCCTTATAGTTTCGACTCACCGGCGCAACTGATGGCTAGAAAAAACGCACTTATCAATCCCCGCCGCTTCTCTAATTGTAAGCCAAATAAATGCGTCTCCACGCGTGGCTTTTTTAAATATCTAACTCACCATTCCATGACCGAAGACCTCACAGTAGCAACAGTCGCAGTGTCTCATATTGGCATCTCTCTGTGCGGAGCTACTAGTGGAGCACGAGTCCCCCTGGCTGCTCCCTGAATCCGAACAGTCTCCATCTCCTGAACTCACTGAAACAAATGCAAGATTAAAATGTAATGCACGAATGATAAGTACAACTTTGACAGATGTGCGCAATATATATCCGTTATTTACTAACAATCGTTACACGACATTCTCTTGATATGCTCGACGTTGGCTTGCTTGTGGCACGCATGCGGTGTATGATTAAGTGGGCGAAGTCTAGGGTGAGAACACGGACCTGTGTTTTTCGTCAGATCTGGTAGCGGTCCGTGCGAATGAGTGTTACCTATGATTGCGTGAAGAAAAGATGTATATGAGCATGCGCACATAATAAATGATGGTAAAGATGCAGAGACGAGGTTAATCAACGGCGATACAACCGGAGGAACGACTCGCTACTTACACCTACCCTGATGCATGCTGTGATTGTGAGTTTGCGTTGTAGAATGCCTTGTCTGAGTTTGGGCGGATTGCGTGGCACCAGTCTTCACGACGGGTTTCTGGCTCGGTTCTGGATTAGCCTTTGCGATAGAAGTCGGTGATGTCGCTTTCGGACGACCATTCGCTACGACCGTCTCAGGTATGGCTATTTTTTTTTTTAAACACATTATATCACTTAAGACACATAACTTTTTTTTAATTAACTGGCTAAATTAAATAGATGAAAATCTCCAGCAGAAATCTTTTACGTCACTTACATTTTGGTAAACAAGGGCATATATCCCACTTGCGTCTCGAATTCAGCAAACAAGGACAGGGCGGACTTTCTAGAATTTCCTTCTTCCTTTCCACTAATTCGTGCGCGTGTTGATAAACACATAGACAAGGCTCCGACTCGGCTGACTTTGAGCCGATAAATTTGTGCAGAGTATCACGCATGCCCGACTCTTTTCTCTTTTTGTCCTCGTCATTTAAATTATCTACTTTCTTTTTAACTTGCGTTGCTGTACAACTCGTGGATATTTCTGAAAATGCGTTTATCTGTTTTTTTCTCTCCGAGATAAAACATTTTTTTCGTTGATAACATATCTTAGTCGCTTACCTGGAAATCCATTACTAAGGGATGGAAAGGAATTTGTCTCGTCTCTGTCAACATTTTCGTCTTTATGCATATCCTACAACAACAAAAAATTATTTTGTCAGTGTAAATCACTTTCAAAAAATTGTATACAAAGTATGATACAAAAAATTATGTATAACAATTTTCACTTTTGTTTAAAAATTTTATTCTCAAACTGATGTGTTAATTAAAGTAGGTAAATATTAAAAATAAATAGCAATTTTTACTTTACTTTAATAAAAAAATAATTCTATCTTTTAAAAACTACTAGTTTTATTTTAATATATTTAGAAAAAGAATATTAAAAACTTAAAAACACGGAAAAATGAAACCATTATTAATGAATTAATAAGATTTGTAGCATAATCTCTTTACCGTACGGCCTACTCCAGTTTCATTGCATGTATAACATTCGCATCCTTTTCCGTTCTGAAGTCCGTTCTCTGTGTCACCAGAGTCGTCATTGTGAATCCTGAAACAAATTTACATATTTACACATTACAAAAATAAGTAAAAATCGAAATAAACAATTCTTCAGATATCCATATGACGTACCTCACTGATCTGATGGCATATTGCGCCAACTGACAGGTTGCACGCGTGTAATCGTCACAATTGGAATCTTCTTGTCCAGCGGCGTCTACTTCGGTGGCAGTCAATGCCCCGGCTATATCCGCTAATTTTTGATGCTGGGCTTTATTCCAATCATCTAACAATATTTGAACTATCTCTATGCTCGATGGCATAGCTATGGAATCCGAACTAAAGTCCAACACTGGACTTAAAGGTGGACTGTCGCTTCCAGATGTATGCGCAATGAGCGACGAAAACTGTCCATGAATCTCTTGCATTTCACTGAAATATTGATTGCAATAAATTAGCGAAAAACGTCAGAAAAGAATTTTTTCAGAATTTTTTTTACATATGCACACATCTTACTTTCCGATATCGGACGTTTTGTTTAACATACTGCGCTCCATAAATTTACGTGTTGCTGTAAACAATTCCCAGGCTTCTCTAATTTGTCTAAGTCTCGTCATACGAACGGCTTGTTCTGCACTAAAATCATACTTCGCTTTTATAATCCTATTTTTCGATCTTTTGTTATTTAACTTTGTCGAGTTGTCCGAAATAATAATATGAATAGAAGGGGGGCACTGTTCCTCAACTTACTTATATTTGTCCATCCATAACTCTGTCTCAGGCCATAAATTACCGATTCTCGTCATCTCGTCGTCGAAAGATAGATATCTATGAACAAGAGCTTGATATTTGGTGCCTTTGAACGGTAGAAGTTTTCTCAGCTGTAAATGCAAACGTGAACGTTTAGATTTATCGACTCACACAAACTCGTCATTGAATATTTCTTCAATAAAATATCAAGTATTTTACCTGGCCAATAAACGTAGGTAAATTGTTTTGCACTAAAGCATCATTATATACATAAATCTGATATAACTTTTTGATAAAGCAGTCCCACGTCAAATTAAAGTTGAGGCACTTTTTTAATGGTTTTACTAATTCAGAAATTAGAATAGCTGTCGATACGAGAGCTTCATAGTCATTCAAGAGACCTATATTGTAAAAAATCCAAATAAATTTTGTATATCTATTATATAATAAATATTTTGAATAGAAATTTCTGTTTTATGAAAAATAGTACTAACCAGAGAGAAAAATTTCAGCTAAATTCACATTACGATCGTGTAGAAGAGCGAACAAGCGGATTTTTACTTCTATCACGAATTCTTGCGCTTGGCTCACTAATCTCATGAAAAGTTGATGGGAATCTCTTTTACATAATCTATAACAAAAGAAACTATCACATAACAGTTCAACAATAATGGTGCAAAGAATTTCAATAGGCAAACGTTTCTTACTGAATAACCGTATTGTGCATATCGGTAGTAAATTTGCGATGAGATTGCGGAGAGTTGAATATATGAGTCGTTTCTAAAGCGACGTTGAAGTCAGTACGTATGTACTGCCGCAATTCTGTCCACAGATTTTGGAAATTCATAGCCTTTTGCAGTTCCTCTCTGAACATGTCTCTGCACATACACAAGACACTTGCAATTAATATCGCATTCTTACTTCTCCTCCTTATACTACTCGAGATTCTTATTGCTGACATTACCGTTTAGCTTTGTAGTCAGCTGTATTATCACAGGAGCACAACTCTTTTCCGAGACGTGACTGACTTTCCATAGCTGCTGCAGAGGAATACAATTTGGCAAGTGCATCGGTGCTCACTAGAGACGACTTACGACGATTTTCATCAGCCGCTCTTGCACCTCTGATAAACGCGTCGATCACACGCTGATCGGTCGTCCCACACTATTAAGAATTTAATGGATGTATTTAATGGAGTAAATCTATTTACGTAAAAAAAATTTGTATTCGCAAGCAAAGCAACGACAGCTGAGCATTTAATTTATCAAATTAATCACGAAATCCATGTTTATGGTGTACGTATTGAAAAATTATGGTATTAGGAATTCTTATTGTTAGTCAAGATTATAGTGAATAGATAGGCCTATCTGTGTTCATTTGTCACTATAGAAATATATACCATGTATGTATTATTTAAAGTACATTGCTTTAAAAACATTTAAAGATAAAACAATATACTACTTTTAAATGAGATGGTTCTTTTTGTTATTACCACAAGTTTTTTTTTGTTAGTTGTCCCTGAGTCATTTAAATTTCTTTCAAATAGTAATAACTGATATATGGTTCAGTCAGCTAGGGTTCCAGAATAACTGACACAAGGAAAATTGCTGTAACATAACATGAACAAACGTCTATGTATCGGTCTGTTGAATAAAAAAATCTCTGACAACTGTTTTTCGTGGATATCACCTATGTACATGTATAATATTAAAATTATATTAATAGACAGTGTGTTAAAAGAGAAAAATATCGTGCAATCGACTGAGTCTACAAAGATTTTTTTACTTCAAGAAGGTTAACAGTGGAATTTGTTTTCGCAGAGATTTCGGAGCACGGCGAGTGTCGGTCATTAAATTATGTAAGAATTATTTTTTATTGAAATTGAATCGTTCGACCGCGACATTCGGTTCGCGCAAAACGAGGAGGCAGAACGAGGCAGACGACGTACCCCGGTGGGATCGTAGTCCGCGACCGCGGGGAACACGCGGGCGTCCCCGTTCTCGTGGTCGCTCGGCGCGTCCGTGTCCCGGCGCGTCCACGCGGGATCGGCGCGGCTGCCGACGACGGCGGCGTCGGCGTCGCTGCAGCGTCGCTTCGTCGCCGTCGAACCGCCGTCGTCGTCACCCATCGCTTCCTCAGCTATGCCCCTTTCTCCAGTGATGGTGGCGACGGTGGTGGTGGCGGTGGTAATGCTCTCGCGTCGACCGTCCTCGCCGTCGCTGCCGCTCATGACAAGCGCCGCTACGCCCGTCTGCAGGTGGAGTACGCGCGTCACGACGCACCGTACTCCAGGCAACGGCCCAGGAATCGATGCGCAACTTGTATCACGGCCTTTACCCGGAACCGCGTAAACACCACAGGTCGCGCATTCGCTCGAGAGTGCTCGACAGTGCTCGACACTCACAGACTCTCGCAACCCCTATCAATATGGCGTCTCGCGTGCGACCGTTCCTGTCCGCGCAACCGCGCATCGACCACGGTCCGATACGGTGGCGCGACATTGCGGCGCGGTTTTGAAACCGCATGCCTTCTCCGCGCTACCGTCGCTCGGTAAGGCAGATCACCTCTGTGATTCTGCACTCAATCCTTTTGTAATTAATAATTTTGAGCTGTATAATATATATATATATATATATATATATTTATGATCTATAATGACAATACATATATATATATATCATTTATATTATTAACTTAAAAAAATCAATTATATATTTTTAATTTTTATATTTTTGTTATTTTTAAAAATGTGTTTATTTTATATAACGTATAGAAAATTTATAAGACATATTCCACTTATAATGCAGACATGACAAGATACCATATATATGTATACATATGTGTGTATATCTTTTACGCCTCGTGAAACCTGCACGCGGCGCGTTTTTCTTTCGAATGCAAGAAGAAAAATGTGATGCAAACGGATCATCGCGTATGATCTTCATATGACTCTCTCGACGTGACGTAAAGACGAACGAAGGAACGAGCCTGTAATTAAAAATAGGCTTTGTTCCTCTCAAGGTTAGCGCGGTTAGTCGACATTTATTCTCTCGCTTCGCCGAAGTTTATTTCTCGAGCGTCGACTAGCAGATCGATCGCGACGTATATATATTATATTATATTATGTGTATATACTTCTCACCGTAGATTATATGCGTCGCGCTGCAAATGGTAGTCGTGAACTAAAGGTGCGTTCAGATTCCCGCTCAAGTACCGTTTAGGTATCATGTTTTCTTTATTATTCACTGAATGTTAAACAAGGATAAAACGATAGTTGAGAAGCATTCGAGTGAGAATCTGAATTAACACACCCTATAATAGGGTGTCCGCTACACAAATCGATAACTCGGCGAAAATGTTCCTAAAAAATACCAGAGCTTGGTAATTTCAATCAAACCAATTAAATTGTAATAAATTATAATCATTAATGGCTGCGTTCCGCAAAGCGCATCATGCGCATGATGTATCATGGTATCCTTGTTGTTCACCAAATGTTAAACAAAGATAAAAAGATAAATCTTGCGCATGATGCGCTTTGCGGAACGCAACCAATATTGCTTGAAATGTCAAAATTTTGCACTTGAATTGAAATAAATTAATAAAAGTGCAAAAGTGCAAAAAGTGCAATAAGCAATACGAACAGACCTATAATTAATTTATTAATTATAATTAATATATGTATTATTTTATTGAATATAAATGGAATTATTGTTTTGTTCAACCTATGGATAAAGAGGTTGGATTAAAAATAACAAATAAAATAATCAAAAATTTTGTTTTAAGCGATTTCGGTTGAATTAATTACTAATTAAATTAATTAGAGTTTGATTGAAGTCACTCGTAAAAGAACCACGACATACGATAAAACGTAGCAGGAAGTGGCAGCAAACGAATTGACCAATCACAATCGAAAGTTTTTAAGATGGCCATCTTATGCCTCCCGCACAGGACGCGACGCTTAACGTTTTCAATAATTCTCGATTTATGATTGGTCGATTTCCTTATCATTATAGTTTTTCCGCTAACATTTTTCCATACGTCGTTGCTCGAACTTTTTATTTTGGTGGGGAAATTCAATTAGTTCAAAACCGCGTCAGCTTCTCTCTCTCTCTCTCTCTCTCTCTATATATATATATATATATATATATATATATAAAATATATATACATATGCGAATAGCGGCTAAGTTCACGTCTGTTGGACCGATTATTCGAATGACGGCCATGTTTTAGGACGCGTCTGCCAACCCATCGCGGTTCACGAATCGAGTTAACATTTTCCAATATTTATTTCGAATTTGCATTTAGTAAAGCAGGTGTCACAATGCTGTAGAATCGTCGTGCACCCGTCGACCTGGAATTCCGCCGTGACGTAATTGATACCGCACACGCCACGCCGCCGCGGTACAGTCGATACGAGCGCTTCTCGCCGCGATGGACGTGCGCCCAGTGCATCCACAGCCAACTTCAGAGGCGTGTCATGTTTGCGCTCGGCGCGTTGCTTCGTGATCCGGGATCGTTGCGTTTTTCGTCGTCGGGAATCTATGAAAGATGCTGTCGCTAGGCCCGAAAAAGGACGGCGGACCCAACGCCAAGTTCTTCGAGGCGCCGGAGATTCTCACCCAGCTCGATGGTGTTAAGCAGTGGCTTCTCAAGAACTGCAAGAAGGTACGCTCGTTCCCGTGCGAACATGGATACCACCCGGCGTCGTCAACTCGTCGCGCGGTGTCTGCGTGCGGGCTTTCGCTTCCTCTTTCTCGCGGCACGCGCTATCGCCGATCACAACTCTCCGCGTCGGTGATCGGTGTCGTTTAGAGATAAATTTTCCCGAGAGAGAAAAATTTCACGAATATTCTCGCGATGCGCCAATATGTCTTTCGGCATATACTGACGCGGACGCGAAAATCATCCCGATGACTGTACATATTCGTGAAATTTATTAGTGTTTATAACTGTTTATTTATATCGTTTATAATGTGTACTTGTACAGTGAAAATGTGTAAAATTGGTAATTATGTACATTTATAATAAATATACATAATTATCAAAAATTTTACACTTTCTGTAACATGTATGTGTGTGTGTTACACATACATACACACACGCATACGTGTATATATAGCTTGACATGAGAAAATAATAAGCAACGGCATCGACAAAATATTCATGTGATTATAAAACGAGAGTAATAATTATATAGAAATTTTTATTAACTTTTGGTTTTATATTATGCAAGCATGTTTGTTTCATAATTTTTTTTGTGGTTTCTTATAGTATGTACAAACGGATCCGCCCACTAATAAGATCTTAGCGACGTTGCTGGTACAAATTCTGCAATTTCAAGAGGATAATCTTGGGAAAAATGTGTCAAAGCCACCTATGACTAGGCTTCCAGTATGTAAAATATATATTAAGCAATCAACAAAATTAATGTTGTTACATCTGAATTAGTTAAATTCATTAGTTAAATTTTTACAGTTGAAATGCTTCCTGGATTTTAAGCCTGGCGGTGGTGTGTGTCACATATTAGCTACCGCTTACCGTTATAAGCAGGAACAAGGATGGCGGCGTTTCGATTTTCCTGGTGGAAAAGTAATTGCTTAATACTCCTTTTATACATATTCTTTGCAGAGAAATATTTTTCCTTACATAACATCAAATCTGCTTTTTTAAAAATTATAAAAATTGGGTAAGCATGAAGCTTCTCACTAATTAGTGTATTATTGTTATTACAGTCAGGGTCCCGTATGGATCGTACGGTGGACATGCTGATGGCGGTGGAACGTGCTTTAATACAGAATAGATGTATGACTGTACCAAGTATTTTCGTGAGACCGGATATCGACAAGAATACAGCTACGAAAATAAAAGATGTAATTAGAAAGCATCAGGGGACGGTCGTGGAGAATGAGGCGGATGCTACACATATTATCTATCCTCAAGTAGATCCGTTGGAAGAGGAATACGCACGACCCTGCATGAGACGCGACCGATCGGTTCTAATTCATTGGTACTACTTTCCAGACAGTTACGATTCCTGGTTGTCAGTGGATCTTCCATGGGATTATCCCGAAGGGACTTACACAAACACGAATTCAAGGTGCTTAGACATTTGATAATTTTTAATGTAAATTAACTGATAAAAGTCAATTGTATCAAGAGATTAACAATTGAAGTTAATTGACACTGTTGATCGATATAATATGTTGAAAGCATTGCTGGCAAAATATTTCTACTTGTATTATATTTACGTATAATATTATGTCATACACATTTAATTTACGTATAATATTATGTCATACATATTTAATTTATGTATAAATGCTAAATTAATATGTTAAATATTGTAATCTATTTCTAGATCAGTGTATAAAGTATCGACTACATGGGCGTTAGACTTGGATCAATATAATGAGTGGATGAACGAGGAAGACTATGAAGTAGATGACAACGGTCAGAAGAAAGTACACAAATACAGGCTTTCGGTGGAGGATTTAATGGCACAGCCGTCTCATCCGCCGCCCGCGAAGAAACCCAAGAGGAAACGATCACCCAGCCCACCTCCGAAACTCGGCAAGCGTAAGAGGTACGGATATTTCCGACGGCAAATTCCAAGTTTCAAGCACGACTTTGACTCATCCTCGAATTCGTACGTTGCCGTTTTTAGTAGCAGAGCACCGTCAGGTATCCAAAGCGCCTCTTCCGCGTCATCGGCGACGGCCCCAAAGAAATCTCGTGGCGGCGAGGAAGAGGAAGATCTGACTCAGGGAATGGAGGATCCGCCCGCCGAACCTCGTATTGTCGAGGTGGTTGCTACGCCCACGAATCCACCGATCACAGGCCAGGGTAATGCAACAACGGGTAACTCCACGTTGACGTCTACCGGTAGTAAAAAGCAAGACAGTGAGCTTCAACCTCTCAAGTCTGGCAACTTGACCGATCTTGATGAACAAATGGAAGGTACGTCCAAACAATCTAGATAATGAAATCTAGACCGGTGATGTAATATCGTGATATACACTGGCGACATCAGATTAATAAAAACGTTTTCAAGTTATCTATTAATTTAACTCACTAAACTAAAAAGAAAAAATGTCGATATTTCATAGGAGACAAAGGAAGCTCTCAAGGTGGCCAAGATAGAGAAGAAAGAGACACTAGTAAAGAAAGAGGTGAAGGTGGTAAAGGCGATGAACCGGAAGACAATGTGACGGAGCAAACGCATCACATCGTTGTTCCTAGTTACTCCGCCTGGTTTGACTATAATTCAATTCATACCATAGAGAAGCGGGCTTTGTCAGAATTCTTCAATGGTAAAAACAAATCCAAGACTCCGGAAATTTATCTTGCTTACCGAAATTTTATGATCGACACTTATCGATTAAATCCAACGGAATATATTACATCGACCGCTTGCAGGTAATATGTCTAATTTATTAATATTTGTACATGTTAAAAATTATTACTCGTTTATTGTTAAATGTAAAAAAAAATAGAAGATAGTTTTCTTTATGTACTTATATAAAATTTTTTTACAGGCGAAATTTAGCCGGGGATGTATGCGCAATTATGCGTGTACACGCGTTTTTAGAGCAGTGGGGACTCATTAACTATCAAGTAGACGCAGAATCTAGACCAACACCAATGGGACCTCCACCGACATCGCATTTCCATGTTTTATCGGACACGCCGTCTGGTTTGGCACCAGTCAATCCAAATCCGCCGAAAACGCCGCAGCCATCCGCTGCAAAGATGTTGCTCGATTTAGAGAAGAAACCACCGAGCGTGACGGGTTCTTTGGGCGCCGAGGAGAAAGCTTCGGCGGGCGCGATGGCAAACTTCGGTCTGAAAATCGATCAATATTCGAGAAAACCGGCAGTCCTGAAGAACAAACAAGCGGCGGGTGCCACGCGCGATTGGACAGAACAGGAGACACTTCTACTATTGGAAGGATTGGAATTGCACAAGGACGATTGGAACAAAGTGTGCGAACACGTGGGCTCGAGGACGCAAGACGAGTGTATCTTGCACTTCTTGCGTTTACCTATAGAGGATCCATATCTGGAAGAAGGCGGACCCGAAGGATTGGGTCCGTTGGCTTACCAACCGGTACCGTTCTCAAAAGCCGGTAATCCTGTTATGAGTACGGTCGCCTTCCTTGCATCGGTCGTGGATCCTAGGGTAGCCGCGAGCGCGGCAAAGGCAGCTATGGAAGAGTTCGCCGCGATAAAGGATCAAGTACCATCTGCCTTAATGGATCAGCATATAAGAAACGTTCAAGCTAGTGCTAATTCCGACGGTAATTCTTCTAACTGTATATATTATAAAATCAGAAAGTGGCTTATTTTTAAAGCAATGCATATATTAGTTGTAGAAAATAAGTATTAATTACTTTTTTTTTATTTTTATACAGGTAAATTTGATCCAGCGGCGGGATTGGCACAATCAGGCATCGCCGGTACAGGACCACCTGAACCGCCCGACGACACGTCGGCTTCTACCTCAACAACGACCCCATCCGGGCCAACAGGTGCGGCTAGCTCTCCTCATTCCACAGCGCCGACTCCCGAAGCGAAGAAAGAGGAACAAGACAAACCTAAAGACGCTATGGAAGTCGAACCATCTCAGGTAGATGTCACGAAGAAAGAGGACGAGTCGAAAGAGAACGAAGAGGACGCAAAGTCTATCACTGATCCAGAGGCTGCTGAAGCGAAGGAGAAGAAGGATAAAGTAAATATCACGTGTGAATTGATTTACATATGATATAGAAGGGAATATCAAAATTTGTAAATAATTAGTTCAATACCATGGATTTAAGATTAATTTTTTTTCACAGGTTGTAAGGGATGCTCAGCTTCAATCCGCGGCGGCGGCAGCGCTAGCGGCCGCAGCTGTTAAAGCTAAACACTTAGCAGCTGTGGAGGAACGTAAGATCAAGTCATTGGTCGCGCTACTAGTCGAGACACAGATGAAAAAGCTGGAAATCAAGCTACGTCACTTCGAGGAATTGGAAACCACGATGGAGCGCGAACGCGAGGGTCTTGAATATCAGCGGCAGCAGCTCATCACCGAGCGGCAGCAGTTCCATCTCGAGCAATTGAAGGCGGCCGAATTCAGAGCACGACAGCAGGCCCATCAACGATTGGCTCAGGAACAACAGCAACAACAGCAGCAGCAGCAGCAACAGAATCAACAACATCCACCTTGGCAACCACCCGGTGCGCAGCAGCAGCAGCAACAACCGCCAAGTCCGCAGGCTCAGCCGCAGCAACAGCCGCCACCGCACACGCCGCCGCAGCAGACATAACTCTTTCGTGAGTTTGAATCTTTAAATAGTTAAGTCACAATCATAAACTTTTATAGATTACATGATATACATATTATTAACTTCGTTTCTTAAATCCTTTTCCTCGTTTTTATTCGATGATTATTTGTCTCAAATTTACAATTGTTTCTATGCGAATTACATGTACAAAGTAATTTTGCATCGTTTCAAGACATTTTCGTGCCTCGAAGGAAGCAATAAAATATAATAGTTTGCAGAAGTTTCTCTGTATTTTTGATTTCTATTACATGGACGCATGTATTAGATTTTATCTATAGGAAAAAATTTTCTTCATACATGTGTATGTAAAGAAAAGGAAAATTTTTCGCGAAACGAATTTTGTATCACTATTTTTTTTTTTATAATATGTTACAAGTATTATGAAAGACATACACATTTGATATACATCATTATTATATATATTATTGTCGATTAATGTGACATCTGATCTACAAAGCCTCATTGTCTATCAGTTCCAACACTAAATCAGTCATGAGTCGGGCGCATTCGGCGCCGCCGGGTGGCGGTGCTTCTGCGGTATTGTGTTTCTCCTCGCTAGTTTCCGTACTACTCGTTTCATACAGATTCGGTGCTTCGTGACTGGCGCACGTGCTAATCGGTAGAATGTCCAATGCCAATCCCAATCCGAAACGTCCGCATCTCCGCATCTCTTCCTTTAGTCTATAATCGTTGAGTAGACGACAATATAATCGAAAAGGTAGTCAAAACCATTCTAAGTCTATACTTTTAAACTTAAAGTAGCAAATATCACAGAATGATTAAACGATAAATTACTTTTAAAGTATAAATAGTGAATTTATTATAGTTATGCGGCGTCTACAGTAAGACTTAAGATTTAAGAAAATTGATAATCGATTTACAATCGATTATTCTTCTCACATGAGATGAATAATCGACTGTGATTGTTCAATTTTTTTTAAATCTTAAGTCTTAAGTCGCATTGTAGACGACACTTTACGCATACACGACTGAATCTCGTGACATTTTACTTACAATTCCCACATGACAGATGGATCTTTCGGCGGCTGTTCCGGATTTAGGACGCGCAAGGAGGACATCAGATGAGAATGATAGTGCTGAAGAAGCTGTGTCATGTAAGCCCGCCTAACAACACCACTTGTGCAGCAGTATAGCAAGTTTGCAAGATCAAGAGCGAGTGAACCGACCCGCGTCAGTTGAAAATCGACTAGATAAACGGCCTGCAGAAGCACAGTATTAAAAATCAAGTCTGTGAGGTTTTCGCAGTGAAACGCATCTCACATTCGCGACAGCCAACAATGTCAGTCTCGAATGTGATTTATAGATCGTAACGCGGGGTAAATATTCTTGCATCGTACATCTGGCGCTATTTGTATTTTTAATGAAATAACTGCTTGAAATTTTGTTCTATCCAACGTGAATGGAAAGCTAAGTGGTTGAAAGAGAATTAAGTACAAGTGTATAAAATGTGTTATTTTACGTTATACATATTACATATCTTTCTGAATTTTTTTTTTACTTTCGAGCATGTAATTATGTAATTTTAAGTTACGACTTTTCCAAAAGTTGAGTCGGTGTCGGACGGTATTTATCTTAATTAAATGTAATACAAGAATCTTTGAATTCAGAATGCAATTATACATAATGCAAGAATCTTTGCGACCGGCTACCAAGTCTAGGTGTGATCACTTTCGCTAAACCAGAGTCTTTTTAATAAGATCGCAAATGGATGAAACATTTGAATCATATAAGAATCTTATAAATTTATATAATAAAAATGTATGGAACAACAAAAGAGTGGTTTCTCGTTTCGTTATCTCGCGTAAAGAATCTAAAAAAAAAAAACAAAGATGATTTTCATCTTAATCATCTTTTATTAAATGCGACCTTTTATTGTAGATATTATCCAACATGCAATGTGTATTGCGCTTTTCTAATTTACTTATAAAATAAAAGATTCACCTCTGTATCTGAGCTTGGTTCATCCTGAAAGAGGAAATTGTTGGTCCAACAATCACCGTGACAAAATACGGAGAGAGGTCCTTGCGCGGAGACGAGTTCGCTCATAGTGCGAAAAAATACATCCTCGTTTAGGAAAGCTTGCAACTTTGTCATTACCTCCTGTCTTCTGTAGTCCATGTGCGAGGGAAGCGCTTCGGACACCATCATGATGGCGTTATTCACGGCCACGCGATAATACTGACGGTACCAATCTTCGTTATCTCGTCGAAATAACGTTTCTTTTATACCTTGATCATGTTCCGGATTCGTTAAATTTGCGAACTCTTCCGGCCTTTAAAGAGTAACATCTTTTTATATTTGAACCAGGAGATGAGCAAAACAGAATAATTTACATGTACAAAAAAATTTTTTTTTTAATTTTATATTTTTATGATTATTAATATTTTTAATTGTAGCGATTCTCTACATCTAGTCTAATTTTCTAAAAAAAAATCTGGTTAATTAACTCAAATTATCCCAACTAATATATGTCTACAATTATAATTAAAGACTAGATACTTACCTGGATTCCTTTAATGTCAAGCTAAGAGCGTGAAAGCCCGCTAGAGCCTTCAACACCTGCTCCAGATTTTCCACTTCTAATCCTTTCCGTCTATCTGCCATCTTAAAGCCTCTATCTCTCAAATCTTCCATGGCAATAAGATCGGCTCTAGCGGCATATATCTTGGGTACCCCGCTGAACACTCTTCTGCCGCTCGACTGCAGCCTGTTCAGCGCGGGCCACACATGTTTGTAAAAAACGACTTCATTCCTGAACAGTAACTCGCTCTTAAACGCCTCACGACGTTTCTTGGATTCCGGCAGTATCTTGTAAATGATGGCACACTCGTAATTAATGTATTCTTCGTTTTCCAATAGCTTGAGTCCCTTCGCTCGGATCCGATACAACATCGAAGTATAGTTATCTCCTCTTCCCGATCCCGGTTCTTCTTCTAAACTATCAATCTCCACGTTAGGCTCGTCCTCGGTAATTAATTCACGGATCTCGTCGAGCATGAGTCTATTGCTACTATCGCCGCTGTTATCCATCATTCTGATCTGTCGGAAACTTCAATCTCTACGACGATGATTCCGATGATGCCTTCTTGATTTTTTCGGATGGTACCGACTTTAACATCCTATACTTCACGATAGACCAGAGAGTTGTGCCGACTGACGCAGGAAATGAGTATTTGAGCGGCTGGAGCGGTCGGAGGGTTTGCTGCCTCCCACCGTTACTGACTTAATTCATTAATAATTTACGCCCCCCCAGCTCTAACGAGACAAGGACATTGATACATGTCAATCATATGCCTCATCGTTTAGATTCCCCGCTTTGAATCTTCAAAACGCGGCGCGGGTTCGTCGCGCGATATATGAAATAATGATAATAGAGAGCTTTCTTTCAAATTGATATGTTACAGTTTTGTTCAATTTAGAGAGAACATATAATACAAAAATATATTTTTAAAAAGATTTCTATATTTTCTATATTTTATAATACAAATTTTTTTTCGAAGAACTAATTCTCATCGGAGATCTGTAATTGGAGAACATCGTTACCCACTAAGCTGGCTAATATATTTTTCTGGTTGGAGGTAAGGGATACGGTTTTGTACAACTTTCCAGCCATTTCTCCGGCTCCGTCTAGATTGTGGACAGTGACGTATTCCAGGAGTGTCTGGAAGCGAACGATGTTTAGCAAAACAATTGATACCGATATATCTAACGTAAAAAGAATGTACACTTACGAAAATTGCCGGCACGTGTGCTTGTGCTAAACACAGTTCGAATATTTCGTTTATATGCTCCGTGGCAAGGGTGTCGTTATTTTTAATTAAGTGCGGCGAACGGACCAATGACGATATAATTTCTACTGCTTTGTCAAAATTATTTCCACGTAGCAGCAACATTATAATATTGCCCGCCACTGTGTTGGACACCAAGAAGTGCCTTACCCTTTTAGTATTCTGAGTCTGTGTTAAAAAATATGATATAATCATTCATTGTATATTATTATAATATTCATATATCAATTTGGTCTCGAAAATAAAATCCCATAATTAGAGACTTTAATTTTAACGACAGATTTGGTCTTTCTTCTTCAATCGCGCATAACTCGAAAGATATTAATATATTAACACTTGTGCTAAGGAAAAACTTATTCCAAATTTGCCGGAGAATCTGTTGTTAAATGCAAGTTGTAGGGCATCCTGTATAATTAAAAAAGTGATTTTAATTACTTGTATATGATCCCAGACAGTAAGCGCCATCTCTGCAAATTGCGTATTTAACGGAGAATCAGGTGCGGGTTTACAATGTACGCTCATCAAGTGCAATATATTCTCCAATAACTCTTCCCTGTCCAGATGACCGAACATGATCATGTGCGACCAGAGTTTTGGTATATATTGCGTGGCGGTCTCCGCGGGATGTAATTTAAGAGCTTCCAATATAGTACCCATCACGGCAGGTTCCGGTATAGTCACGTGAGGTACAAACTTGCTGTAGAGCTTGAAGAATGTCTCAATTTCTTCCGTTGCCAAAATTAACTCCAAATACATTCGGTAATACGTATGTTCCTGAATGAAAGTATGAGCTTATACCAAATGCATAATACAAAATATATAATTAAATGAATGTAATTTCGAGAATAGGATTGCAGAATAACCCAGCATAATGTATAATAAATTTTGTATCTCAAATAACTACTTTAAAATGCATTTAAAGAATAATTACTTTTAAGTGCATTTTAACTCTCAGCAAGTATCATAAATCCTGTCCAAATAATGCCATTAAAAGTATTCATTGAAATTAAAAGCTTTTAAAGGGAATAATATTAATTCCACCCTTTCATGTATATTTTATTATTAATTACACAAAAAGCAAAATTATTTCAGAATTTTCTGGACAAAGTGCTAATGTGTGTTAAGGATTTAAGGAACTTACTTTAAAATTGTCACCGATGAACTTGTAATTTTCACCGGTGAGAAGAAGCTCGTTCACCATTTCACCTGCTTCACGATTACAGAACTGATAAGATGCCATTTCCATCGCGGTAACGAAGAAATGTAAATCCTTCTCATTTTGCATAGTAAGGGTCTCCTTTTTCAAAGACTCTAAGATTTTCATAAAGCTGCTATACGATGCGTCACCTGTTTCAGCGAACAAACCCGTAAAATAACATTCGTGAAATACACAATACGTGAACATACATGAAAATCTTCGTTGGATAAGAAAATATATAATTACCGAATCTACTTAAAATTCGCAGTAGATAATAATATGTAGTTAACGACGGCTTCAATTCAAATTTCTTGATATCGGCGAGTATGTTGCATGTAAAATCTAGAGCTGTTTGATTCGATTTCATAGTAGTTGCTACATTAAGAACGCCATTAAAAGTTTGTATGTTTGGAGTGATCCCGTTTGCAGCCATTGCTCTGTATATGTCCATTATCAATGATTTTGATTTATCCTTTTCTTTTAGCTCTGGTGCCATCGATATTATAGCATTGTATCCATCAATGGATAACGGTATACTTTTTCCTTGACTTTCATCATACAAGTACCAAGCCTTTTCCGGCTGAAAAATCAAATTTTTATTGAAATTTATAATAACAAAGCTCTAAGATATACAATAAGAAAAAAGAAAATTAGGCAATAAGAACCAAAGAATATAGTTGACAGGATGTGAATAATACATAAAATTTGACTGCGGTATTCGATGATCATCGAATTAAACATCATTTGACCATTTTTACTTTCTAACATCCCGAAGAAGGTCCTAATCTTGGATTAAAACATATATTTATTATAAAGCTCGTCAGATTGACTCTAATTTTTCTTTTTTCTTTTTGTTAGCGCGTCTTTACGTATTTCCTTTTAATCAAATTGCACTTATGACTAATTTAAGAATTATCTTACACTGAAATGTTTAGCCAAACCACATATCATCGCAGTATATGCAGCCGCTGCTACTGTGGGTTCTTGTTCTTTCAGAAATCCGAACAGTACATCGATTTGAGGATAATTTCTGTAAATCGCAACAAAATACAAAGTATTATTTTAAGAGTTAAGGAAAATACATATTGACAAAGAAAAGGTGATATATTCAACTTTCATACTCACATCCATTTGTTCTTTTTACTCTGACGATTCAATTTATACCAATTAGATTCCAGTAATTCGTCGTTGATCTTTTCAATATTATTATAAAAGCACAACAATTCTAAGAGTGCCTGTTTCGTTGATACTGTTATCTCACCTTTTAACAAATCATATATCGCGATAGAATTGGCAACATGACCATTTGATATCTCATACAATAATGTTTCTTCTGTCACTTTACTTTCCTCTGTGTAAATGGGAGGCGGTACGAATGCCTACAAAAGAAGTAGATTATGGTACGACATGTTAACTGAATTTGCGAATTGATAATCAAAAATGGGATATTATATAAAAATTGGCAATAGACAATTCGATATAGACATAATGCTTGATTAATGACATTATTTGTAATATAACTACCTTAATTTCAGGTTCTGCTACTTTATGCTGAAATAAATCGCGGTGTTCTTCACGAATCCACATTGCAGCCTTCTTTCCAGACTCCTTCGCCAAAGCGTACGTGCGTTTGAGCAAGATTGACTGCGGCGTCAAGTAAGGATCGTCATGAAACTTATAATGTGGCGCCATATAATCCCTAGATATTGTACTTTCCAAAGCCTACAAGACAAATCATATGAAACATTTGTAGAAGCATCATTCCAGTAAATCTGTTCTTACTTTCAGCTATTAAATAAAAGTGTAACATTATTTACCTTAAGAATATCTGTCGGACCGCGTTCTATCCTGTTTGGAATATGAATATCCGAGGACGAGGTTGGCGTTGTGGCTGTCGATTGCAACCGTATCATCAACTCCTGGCACAATTTTCTGTAAATGTTTAAAATACAAAATAAAATTATAGAATTATTCATTCATCCTTGAGTATCCTTTCAAAACTGTTTAAAAAACAAATGTATTATGCTCTCAAATAAATCACCAGATATTCGATTAAATAATAAAAAACATTTATTATGAATGGAAATTAAATCGTGCAAAATATGAAATTATTGCTAAACTAAACAATGACCAATTATTGAATTTCCAAATTTACTTTTCAATATTTCCAGGTTATTTCGAATACTCTCGTCGTATCTTCGGTATGTGTATAACGAAATCTGACCTCAAAACATTAATTGATCTACGTACATAAGTTAACTGAATCGTAATTCGTTACGTACCTACGCGAAATCCTTGCCAAAGAATTCATGATGCCAATTTGTGAAAACGAAGGAAATTAATCCTTTCTATATCTTTCTCTTCTCAAACTTTACAGCCACAAGATTTGAGGTTAAGTCATTAGAGATCGACGAGCGATCGTAAGATTAGGTTAGGTTAGGATTAACGCGACACCGCATGTTGTAGGACTTGTAAGTTGTGTAACGAATAATGAGCTCTCCGACAAATCAGCAATTTACCTATCTAATTTTTCTCTTCCCACATGTGTCAAACAATAAAACAATTGTGTTCTTAACGAAATAAAAAGATAATTCTGATTGAGTTGATCAGATTTTTCATCGATTTTTTTATCGCGCTACTCCAGAAGATCAACAAACAGCAGATGTTTATCTCGAATTAAATAATGTCCCTCAATAAGCAGTTTTTTTAAATTTGCACGTATGTATATAGTTTTTTAATTTAATTTTATGCAAATGGATGATAAAAGACCAGTTTCAATATTTTCTTTAAAAACGTCAAAAAATGAAGTATTAAAATAATGACGAAATTCCGTCAGTGTGAATCAAGTTTCAATCTCAAGAAAAAAAAAACACGCAGATTCCATGTATGTACATACATATTATAATACATATATTTATCGCGCGGTGCAACATAATGGAATATATATAAGAATATGCAGCTCGATATACATCTCTGTGCACCAATTGCGTGATATATGTTACAGTTCCACCTGGCCTGTAATGCATTTACAAGTATCGACGCGGATCAACCCCGGCCGGTTTACGTCAATCTCTCGTAGCGCAATGGGACATCTGGTCGGTTGCCTATCCGCAGGCTTCACCTCTTATAATGGGAATGTGTATCACATATAACGTGCTCAGGGTGCTCCCTGTGCTTTTCTGCCACGTAGTGATTTTATAATATTGTAAGAGATTCAATTTTTCGATCAAACTCCGATTAATTCAATCATTCAATCGATGATTAACTATTTGTATTGAGTAATAATTTTATTTGCTAATGGATATGGATAGAATTATTACAATCTTTAATTAATTGATACATGACAAAGAGAATTAAATTTTAGAGACGATGAATTATATTGTGTAGAATACCCAAGCACATTTGAAAAGAAATAAAAATGCATACATATATAAAATATAAATTAAAAACATACATTAATACATATCAAAATAAAGAAATCATATATCCTAAAACCTGGCGCGGATTACAGATCTTTTGAATATAGAACCAAAAGACGTTTGCGAGACGTTTGTTGATGATACTTAACTACGAAGGGATTAACACGTTACAGTGACACGAAAATTAATCCCGATAGAGAAAAAAAAATTAAATTCCCACTGCATTATATTATAGAATGCCCGATGACCCACTTACGGACGCGCTTGCACGGAATAGTGCGTCATCGGCTAACGCATTGTTCCTTCGTTTTAGCAGCAGCTGGCCTCACCACCGATCGTCACCACTACCATCACCCATCACCACCACCACCACCGCCACCACCACCACCACCATCGCTGCCACCATCATCGCCAAGCAGAGGGTACATCTTGCACCCTTCTTCATTAAATAGCTCAAGGTATCATCCTCTCCTTGGTTTTTAACGGCGAAGGTACTCTGCCGCTCTCGGGCAGCTGCTCTCCTCTCTCGGGGAAAAGGAACATACGAAGAGAGAGAGGAAGAATGGTAGATAGAGATTCGTTTCTTTCAACGAATTTATTTGTTTAGCATATGAATGGCGCGCGCGAGAGCACGGCGTTCACGGTTACGCACGGTGGACCCTTTGGCATATTACAAAGAATTCAATAAAGTTCGTAAGGAAGCCCGGAGGGAACCAGTCTCAGGCCGGAGAGAACGGGAGACGAGAGACAGAGAAAAAGAGAGAGAGAGAGAGAGAGAAAATGTGTAAAAGAGAGCGATAGAATGAGAGAGAACTCCCTCTTCTTCGTGAGAACGCGCTGTACCTTATTCTGGGCCCTATGCACATCAACGCGGGGAGCAAAGAGAAACCTTTTTTTTTTTTCAGGCAACAGATATGAATTCGCTTAGCAAACTTTGACACAGTATTTTATACTGGTGTTAGATATTTTAGGATATTTTATACTTTGATACATTTTAATTGACGATTCGGATGTTTAAGTATTCAAATTTTAAGAATTATGATATTCACATGTGCAGAATTGCTACTTATTTTTTCTTTTATATCGTAAAAGATTTCTCTGTGACTTATGAAATATGTAAGATAACCAAATGATTTTCTTTTACTAATATCACTTATTATAATTTATCTCGACTCGTATGTTATCATAATTTTCTGTTGTGAATTTGGCAGTAACATATATAAACACGCACGCAAAGTGTTTTATGGTTTCAACTCACTTGTTGAAACACTTCGCGAAATTAATTCAGATGTAATTTTATCGATCTTACAATTGCCCGAAATTTTTTCGAATTCATTCATCGAGCACGCTCGGCGTCGCGGCACAATCGCGGTAGGGTGAAAATGTATTTTCCCTTTTCACTACAGGCAGCTAGAGCTTCAACGACGTGTACGTGTGTCTGAAACGTGCAGGGCACAAGACGCGTGCACCCATGTACGTACACGCGTGCACGCGTACGCATACATGCAAGCATGCACGCGGACGGACGGACGGGCGGGCGGGCGGGCGAGAAGCCAGGTGTTTTATTTCAAACCGTGGGACTCTCCTTAAAGAGAGGGATGCTTTTGCGCGTCGCGCAGCGCGCGTATACACGCGCTTTCGTCCCGTCCCGTTCGCGGGAGCGAGACGGAGAAGGCGTCAGGACTGAAAAACAGGATTCGCGTCCCTCCGCACCGCTTCCACGGGCAGCCCTCACTACTTTTATTGTGTTTCCTTGTTCGATCGAACGTAACGTAACCCTCCCGCCGCCCCTCTCCGCTCTTCACGGCCGCCCCTCGTCCTTTGATAGCGGGTTTTTCCTCTTCCTTTTTTTTCCGCCTTTTTCTTTGTGCGCCTCCGCGCACCATCCAGAGAGAATTGTGAAACACGCGCTTCGCGTTCCATAGGGGTACGTTTTACACGTGGCGTCTCTACACGAAGAAAACAGGGCGAGAAATAGGAAATCAGAAAGAGAGAGAGAGAGAGAGAGAAAAGGAAACGAAGCGAAAGAAATATACTGTGTATATAGAGCGCACAGCTCTTCTCTCGAGAGCAGGAAACCCAAGTCCAAATCCCGGCGAGCTTGCGAATTCGGGCCCGCGGTAAGCGGGCGATCCTGTTGGGGAGAAATCCGTTTCCCTTGCCCTCTCCGTCCCTCCTTTTTTTTCCTGCCTTCTTCCTTCCTATGCCGTGTGACTGTTTCGGATGGAACGGTTACGTGAGCGCGGTACCGCACAAAAGGATGCGCGGCTTCCTCTCCTTCTCTCTCTCTCTTCTTTCTTTCTACCTTTTCTTCCTTCCGAATTCGTGTGCGATCGTTAATAACCGCGCCTCACAAGGTGACGGAAACACGCTGTCGTCTACCTCGCTCCCGAATCGACCGGAAATGCGCGGGAACGCCGAACATCCTGGAGAAAAAAATGCTGTCTTTCTCGCGAAGAGTCGCACGCAACACGATGCCATGTGCATATATATTATTATTATTTGCGAAATGTTCCAATTACAAATCTGTTACATTTCCATCGACAACGCTCTGGCTTTTGCGATCATTTAAACAGGTAGCTAGAGTAATTTTTCTCATAAAGATCTCGTAATTTTCTCGCTCGATTTAAAAAGTTACTCTGAAATATTCGAATAATTTTATCTTCTTGAAATTGGTCACATAAAGGAAAATTGGAGGAGATTGTAGGAAGATAAACAGTGATTTCATATTCGAGGCGATTGTACGTGATTTTATTGAATCTTTATTGTTTTCTATCTTTATGCAGTAATGTCACTTTTACAAAATACAAAAGGCATTCTTTGTTTTTACATCTGTGTAGCTTAAACATGAATTGAAAGAATTACGTAGTTAACATTAAGACAATAACAATAATGATAATCAATGTTGCTACAATTGGAAAATTAAAACATTGCGTTGTATAACATACATATTACAACAATAAAAATCAATAAGACATCCCGTGTATTAATACCATAAAATGTTATAGTGTAAAAAATCTCTTCGAATCTCGAAAGTGAAACTGACTAAATTTACAAACCGGTACTCACGACTTTCCGGTGTTGCGAATTAATGTAAAAAAAAAAACTACCGAGATCTGGTTTCACCGGATATGCTTTTCTATCAAGACCCTTATCGGAAATCGGCCAACACGTCGATATGTCGAGGAGATCCAGCAGGCCGGGACGAGTGCAATTTGGATTTTAACTATTCACAAATATTGCCCCCATCTCCACCTGCCCGAGCCTCGAAAGATCTTCTACCGCGAACGCGGCTATTCTCGAGGAGGCAAATTCCTCCCAAATAGCGTTCTCTCCCACTCTTCCTCTCTCTCTCCTTTTCCCACCTGTCCGCCCATCGGTTTCCCCTTTGTTTCGCTCCTCGACGAAATATAATGCATCCCGATAGGCCGGGACTAGTGCAATATTGTGAAATATATTCCCATTGAATATTGACACATATCTCGACCTATCTTTTATGCAACATTGTAGCGTCGTTCGGTCTCCGGGGCGCCGACGAATCGGCCGAACACCGACGACGATATATACTTTTCGACTCGACGGTAGTCATTCCGCTCCAATTTGCGATGCAGGATCGTGCGAGTCGAAGCCCAGGGCCGAACCCGTCGAAGGCAACTCTCGTCGCCCGACCACGTGGCTCGTTCCTCCGGAAGCTGTAAGAACAAGATGTAATTTCTAAGTGAGCTCCTTAGCAGATTTTTTTCTTATGTAAAACTGCAAAGAGCTACGCGGGATAATCAAAAACATTTGTACAGTCGGTTTGGGGAATTACAATCGATAAATTTATCGTAAAAGGAAACGTGTCGAGAACAGCAGCGTTCTAAAAAAAGTAGATTTTAAATTAAAATTGCAAAACAAAAACTTTTTACCAATAAATTAAATAAAAATAACAAATATAGAATACACAATTAAGTTATTTAAATTTCAAATTATTGAAATTAAAATATCACGTTCCGTCGATTCTTTTCTCGGATAAAATTCGCGAGTTAAAAATTTGCAAATCGAGGAATCTGAGTGATGCACGCAAGTGCTCGAGTTAACAAAAGGTCGACGGTACCGCAAATCGGTTGGTAAAAAAATCACAATTCCCAAAAAGCTACGCGGACGAGACGCGCGCGCGAATGAACTTGACGACGAATTTTCTGCTTCAGCGATCGGCCGGCGGAAATCGCGCGCTAAGTCCGTCCGTTTCGCGATACGCGCAATTCGTTGGAATCACGAGAGATTACGCACGCCGCGCTGCGTAACACGCGTTCGCCCATTGATGGGGGCGAGAAATGCGTGAACGCCGCGTGCGTGCGTGCGTGCCTCCCTTCCCCTCATATTCTTCTCTCACACTCTTTCTTTTTCTCGCTCGCATGCACGGGGCTCCCCGACGTGGCCTTGGCGGTCAGTCTCCAAATCGGAGAGCCTCTAACATCTAGCGTCTACTTCGAATCACAAATCGTAGCCCCGAGGTCGCCTCTCGTGGACCATAGGTCGTTCACGGACGCTTCGCGTTGCCCGGTCCTCGAAATAGGGCCTCTTCTTTCTCTCTCTCTCTCTCTCTTTGGCCGAGAAATAGGGATACCCGCGCGCCGCCGGAATTTCTGTGAAACGAGAAACCGGGGGCACGCTAATTCGTGTATACGTATACACGCACACATACACACACACCCACACATACGCGTGCACGCACAAAGAGACACCATGCGCACATGCACGCGCGAGAGAATCGTTCTCTTCAAAAAGCAGCGTACGAAACTTCTCGAAAAAACCAACGGATTTGAAATGCTAGCGGGGAGACGTTTGTACGATTTACTTTTTTTTTTTTTTAAAGGTTCCTCGTAACAATGACGTAATATCTTCGAAACTCGACTTCCGATGCCGACGCCGCCGCTCTCGGGAGCGGAGACGGACGCGGCGCGCAGATATTCGCCGCGCGTAAATACGCTCTATTGTTTATCGCCCGCGACGTTTCTCGTTTCTCCGTAACGTGTAACCCGAGCTCTATCGCGGCACTCGGTGCGTGCGTAACGCAAACAATGTCTCGCACCTCGCGCTATACACGTATATCGAGCACCCGTCTTTTGGCGAACGACGACGCCGCGCCGGTATTTCGCGACCGAGTACCTCTCTCTCTCTCTCTCCCGCGAAAAGTCACCACCACGATCCCCTCGTCACGAATTCTTCCCCCGGCACGATGGTCACGATCCGTCCTCGAGATTCCGCAAGGTCGGAAAACAAACGCAAGAAATCAAAATAATGAATAAGTAACGCGCCGTGAAATAAAAACAATCGAGAGAGACGATGTGACCTCGGGTATCTTTCGGCCGTTGACTAACGTCGACCTTTGATTCCTTTGTCGCGTGGCCCCGTTTTTCAGTTTCGAATTTCGATCCTATTCTATCATCGAAACGACCGCGGAATCCTTTCAATCTTTCGTCATTTTGTGTTATCTTTTTTTTTCCCACTAGCAATCAAATGATGATGATGATGAAATCAAATCAACCTTACCGTCACGAACCTTACCTATAGGTCCTAGCCAGCAACGAACACGTTCTCGTGTGCCGTCCGTATCGCTTCCTCTTCCCGGTGAAATTCCACGCTGGTCACTCACGCGGCGTCCGGTGTGTTGCAGAGATGCGGAGATGCGGATCGACGCCGCCGACGTCGATCATCGCCGTGTCAAACCGCCGTGACGCGGCTCTCGATCCTCGCACCACAATGCCTCCTCTTCATCTTCATCTTCCTCTTCGATCGTCGTATGTTCTTCGGCACGTGACGTGCCGGGCGGCGCGCTCGATCGAGGTGCGTCACACGCAGGAAATAAATCGGGCGCGTCGTTAGATCGTCGTCCATCACTCGCGATAGATCACTCTCCGTTTCCCTTTCTTCTCTTTGTATCGGCGTCTCATCTTTCTCCGAATTTTTTATATTGTCAATCTTCCTCAGGGATGCTTTCCGTAGTCTTCCTCGATGTCCACTGCACAACACTACGAGAGACTACGGGAGACTAGGAGAAATCTAGGAATGCACGCGCTAAGAGGACGAACAAGGATCTGACGAGACTCGGAGCGGAAAGGGAGAGACTTCTTTGGTAGACGAAAAGCTGACCGGCGGCGGCGAGGTCCTCGAGCAAACTGCGACCACAGCCAGGTGTCCCGCCTCCTTTATTCGTTTTGGGCCCCAAGTAGTGGGGGACCGGGCTTATTCTTATTTAACAGCAATGCGAGAGCAGCAGCAGCGACGGCAGTGACGACGACGACTACGACGACGATGATGATGGCAATGCACAACACGACTCAACGGCCGGGGCCCCGAACGCCGAAGAGAACCTCCCTCTTTCTTCCTTTTCGTCCCTTTTCTCGAGGCCCTCTTCTTTCTCTCTCCCACCCTCGCTCCCTTTCCCTGTCTACCTCTTCCTCTCCTCTTGTCGTCGGCGTCCCTTATGCATCTCTCTCTCTCTCTCCCCCTTCCCCTCTCTCCGATTTTCCCTTTTTTAGTCTCTCCCGGCATTATTCCGATCGCACGCGTTTCACGGAGAGCCCGCCAAAATTGTATCAGCTGTCCTGAGGATTTCGCCTACGGCTCTCCTTTTCACGGCGATGTGACGCGCGCGCGGTAGCGGGTAGCCGCGCGCGATCGCCCCTCGTCCTTCTTCCATCCCAGGTCCGCACCGTCCAGGTTCCGTCCAGGTTGCTCTTCCGTCCAGGTAGGTAGGTAGGTAGACAGGCGGCCGGCGACCAATCGGAGACAGGGGGACATCACGGTGCCTGATCGCACCGTCAGGACCCGGGGGAGAAATCCCGCCATTCGGCATCGGGGAAGGGGAGGGGGAAGAGGAACGATTAAAATTAACGCTTAACGATTATACACGCGCACGATGGCCACGATGACGGTTTGCGCTTCGCCCGCCGTATACGTGTGTGATTTACGACGAATATGACAGATATTCGCCGCGCGGTAGGACAAGTCCTGCCCGGCCTCTGTCTGCCTCTCCCTACCGGCCTGCCTTCCTTCCTTCCTTCTTTCCTTCCTTCCTTCCTTCCTTCCTTCTTTCTTTCCTTCCTTCCTTCCTTCCTTCCTTCCTTTTCCTTCCTTCCTTTCAATCGAGTCCCATCGATGAAAAGCTCGCGTGCTTTCTAACGGAGCACCGGATTAAACGTGATTTATCGAAGCGAAAACTTTGGAAAACCCTACAAATGATCGATATACGTGCAAGATTCAACGCGCACAAAGATGTAATATAAAGCCTTAGACGATTTGTATAATACGCCTTAGATCTCAGGATAAAATTCCATTTTCAATATTATGTGCTATGTATTTTTATATACTTATGTATATTTTTATATGTGCAGGTACATATTTTAATTCTTTAAATTTTTGTATTACATGGCACACAGATTACAAATAGAATTTTATTTTGTGTGCAATTCTGACTAAAATTATACACAGAATTATACACAACGTCTAAAAAAAACTTCGGTGTGGCGATTTACTTGTCAATTTTTTACAAATATATACGTATATAGCCATGTATAATAATACGAAACGAAATTCGTATGTATTTTGATTCCGCTCAATAGTAACGATATAAATAAGCAAATAAAGATAAGACAACGAATGTTATGTCTGCCTAATGTTTATAAGCATTTGTTCCTTGAACCATTATACTAGGCACTGACGATATAATATTTCGTATAACAGTTAATGCATATTTTCCGGTAAATTTATTTTCATCGTGTAACATCGACCAATTTGTCATGCTACATAACGAAAAACGCCCTCTCTTTCTCTCTTTGTTAGCGTTTTATAAATAATGCCTCGTAATCCGCGGGACAACGATTGCCCCGTCATCTCACTAAGGTGTTTAACCCTGTTTACTCAGTAATTTTACGCATCGCGGAACGTACACATGCCCGTTTTGTTCGCCATGTCGCGTTTGATTATGCACCTACAAATAGGTATATATGTAAATAAGATAGCCTTCCGAAAATTACCGAAAATATAGTCTAGATAGCTTTAAAGTATTTCATCGTTTATACATTTATAAATTGACTCGACAATTAATTACATTTCTAAAATAATTAATTGCGAAATACAGCATTATAAGCAGTTAATAATAATGAAATATTCCTTGGTATATACATATAATCTCATCTTTATTTGAAATTCTGACGTATTAATTGTATTAATAAAATTTTGATATAATTTACTGATGTTTCGTAATTTTATTTTATCAATAGAAAGATTTACGCGAAACTTCTGGAATGTTCGGTTCTTCTCGATCGATCTGCGATCTTGCATAAAAGTCGAATTACCCCGCGAGAATTTCAGACCGACCATGCAGAAGTGATTGATCAGATTGTAAATCGACGAAAAGTAATAAGCATAAGATCTGAAAGATTGACGTTTCAATCGGGCGCTGCATCGATCGCGAGACGACGCGATTTCAAACAGCTCGGTCGCTTTGTTGGTCCGTGCACGTACACACACGTCCCCGGTATCACCTGGAACAGCTGAAACTTACGTTCACCACGTGTTCGCGTCATTAAGAACGTAGGCTCCACTTTGTAACAGGTTGGAACGCTACTCTCAATATTATTAACAGCACGCTCCTCGGCGTTTGGCATATTATCTTTGCGTCGTCCTCATGATAAATTCCGTAAGTGTAATATTTTTTTCTAATCCCTTACTCGTTTTTCTATCGCGTTTCTATCGAAAAGTCCTCTGCTCGCTGCATATTTTTTTCTATCACGTAACGCAACAGCCGGCTCCGCAACAAAATTCCTCCGAATCCGCCGAAGGGGCTTGATCTGTTGCAGAAATACGCAGTAACACGAACAGGTATTATTTTTTGGACAGGCGTATTTCGATCGTACGCGTATATATTTCTCCATCGCGAGAGACACATATACGCATTATATATTTCTCGCTTTACTCCATTTTCTAGCGTCGCGCTCGTCTTCTCCCCCGTGCGGACGAGGGAGAGGGAGGAGGAAGAAGAGAAGGCAGGGATGAGAAAGAGAAAGAAATCGCTCGATCAGCTGCGACGCGAATGTTTATCGAGACGAAGTGTAATCGTCGCACAGCGATTTCCTTTGTGTCCCGAACTCCCGCGCCCGTTCGGCTGCGGGAGAGGGTGGCGAGAGGGGGTGGGAGGGGGCAGGGGGGGAAAGGAGAAAGAAAAATCGAGGAAAGGGATGATTGAGAACCACTTGTAGGAGGACAGCTGCGCTCTGCGAGCGCATCTGCTGTCGGTTGCGCGGGCACGCGCTCACATATACTTACGCTTGTGCCCACGCCGGTGCGGTGCGGTGCGTGCGATGAGAGAATGCGCGCGAGCACGCATATACGAACGCATACCTACGCGAACAACCATCTCTTCCTCCTCCGCCTTATCCTCTCTACCACCTTCTTTTCGCCGCACTTTTTACTCACCGTATTTCCATGCCTCTTTTCTGCTTCCTCTTTCGATCGCGCCAGCGCGATCTCTTTTCCTAAATCTCCGTCACTTTTCTTCTCCCCCCCCCCTCTCTCTCTCTCTGTCTCTGTCTCGAAGGATGTCGTTTTCTTCCTGAGCCACTTCGCTCTAACGCGATTTGCAATCCGATTTGTAATCGTCTCATATATCTCGTTTCTCTCGATCTGTTATCGAGTTTGTTTTCTCAAAGTGCCTTTAATCTATAATTAATCGCGTTAATTAATGATTACGTTTTGTATTTTGATATTTTCAGTATGAAACAGGAAATCTCTAGAAACGATACACACACAGACACACACGCTCCCTCTCTCTATCTCTCACGTTCAAGAGAATTTCGCACACACACGAGGTGCATCACTTTTCGAATTTTCTACATTCGATTTGTCCCTGCCCTTTTTTCGCAGAGTACTTTAAAATTATATAACTATATTGAGCCGCATTATGCTTGTATGAACCATATTCTATTTTATTCTATCGACCTTACATGAAAGTGAAGTGGCTTACGCCCTAAAACGTCACATAAACTATTCCCTATTCTATTCGATGCCATTTTGTTTGGGACCCAAATCGTCTCCGCTTCTTCCTCTGCACGCTTTCTACCCCCTCCCCCTCCCCCCCATTCTACATCTCCCTCTAAGCCCGAGATTGTCCGCTCCAGCGCGGTTTCCGCATGTACCTCTTGTTGTTTTCCACGTGTGCCAACTCCACCACGTATACCAACTCTCTGCACTCGGAGGGTTGACGGGAGCCAGTTCCTTCGAGCATCCCTCTTACCGGAGGAACTTGTCCATCTAGAAAGAAGAAAGAACCGGGATCGTTTATGATGTACATAAACCGTTGCTGCAGTGCTATCTTTCTCCCTTGTTTTCCCTCTCCCTTACTCGTGCAGCACCCTTCAATATACAGGGAGACTCGTAACTAGCTCATGAAGTTCAAGGGCACGGGGCTCATTCGAATCTCCTTACGGAAAGATATCGAAACGCTGACAGTTTTAGACTTGCGAATAATGTACGAAGAAATTTGATATTTTTAACAGAGTACGTTTTCAGGCAGAATTTTAAATCTATATTTTTAAGCGACGGAATATTTTATGTGCGAGAGATTAAAAGATTACGATGAATATAATAAAGTTTGAGTTTCATGTTCTTCCATAAGGATCTTTTGCCTACAATTTAGTTTAACCGAAATCTTAAAAGACTGCAATGTTGAACATTGTGTCCGTAAGTACTATGTCATCTTTGACCATTAGAATTCAACGGTCCGTTCAATGCATGCTGCTTTTTTCTCTGACCATTTGATATATACTCCAGAGAATTCCTTAAAGTCCTTATAGAATTTTTGGATATACAGAATGTACATTGATTTGTTTATTCAAAATATCATAAAAATGCCGAGCTTTTCAAAAAAAGCTCTGGGTGGTATACTTGAAATATTTGAGGCCTTTCTTAGGTAAATCCACGGCAAAACATCTTGCAAGGAAAATTTTAAAATTCAAACGATTAGCGTATATTGACGTTTTATAATCATGATTATAATTTTTAGCAATCACTATTAATGATTAATGGTTGCATTTTTTACTTTCAACGATTAACTATTTTGTGAGGTAATTAAGCTATAGGAAAATATCTTCAATGTAACATTTCAATTCTTAAATAATCGGAGACTCGTTTACCGTGCCTGAAGATTTTCAGGTTTGAAATTTTCAACGGTCGAACATCCGCAAAGCCTTGACGAAGCCTTGGGGTCTGAAGCTTAAATTCCTACCTTTTATTCCCTAAAAAAAACTGTTTCCTTTTTCCGTTCCGAAAGGTTCGTTTTTCGTCGATTGCGAATCACCCTGTATACTAGCCTGCTGCAACGCGGCTTATGTAGGACTTTGTGCATCGCGCCTGTCAGCGACGCGGCGGTGCGGTGCCGCGCGGTGACGTAGCTGCAGCTTGCCAGCCAGCCGGTACATAACACCGGTACCGCCGAAAATTTCCTTTGTCCCCCTATTGTCCGTGGACACTTTTCATCATCGGAACAGCACTCGTGGAACTACCGAGAAAATTTCAGATTTCAGCTCTGTCGCTCTTTGTACCTTCTCTCCGGCTTCCCAATCCGTCTTCTCTGCTTTGCTCGCATTTTCCGCTCGCAGGAATTTTGTTGTTCGCATCTAACCCGGCATCGTTGTCTCTCCCAAAATTTAAGTTGAATTGGAGACAATTGTTTTTTTACAAAAATGACAAAATATCAGCAATTCTCGATTCTTCGATCTTTAAGAGCGAAGGGAAATCCGAGGAAGGGAAACTCAATTTTTTTGGGATGCGAATGTTATTTCAAGTGGTCATATAGTAGTGTTATTTGAAATGGATCTTTTTTCTCTCCGTTAGAATTTTAGAGAATATGTAGAAATATTCGCATCAATTTGCATATTAAATATGTATAATGTGTTAAATATAAAGCGGTTTGCTAAATATATTTATCAAATATATAATCCTTTCTATAGATCTTTTTAAAATCATAATTTATTTAATACACAATTCTTCAATTTATTTACTGTATACAATTGCTTTTCTTGCCGCTTCTTCACGCGTAAATAATTAATTGCAGCGAGACACTTTAATATAGAAAAAAGAAAGTAGAAACTAGATGCTCCGAAGAATTTAGATCCGAGAAAAGTCGAGAAAACTGACCTTTTTTTGTCGGGCAACATCAATGGAGAGACAATCGTAGAAAAACCCTCAATTTTTCTCTGGAATTTGCGTGCTTATTGAAAAATTCTTCTTCCCTTTTCCCTAGTGATGGTCAGGTATGAATCTCTATTTTTCGCTCTAATACAAATGTGTCGTTTGAAAATTCATTTCTTCCTTTCTTTTCTGTTGTCCACTCGTTCATTCGTCTGTTCGTTTTAACAATATTACATATCGGATTGTTGATGGAATGTACATGAGTTTAACACATGAGTTTGCACACATATTCGAGGTGCTTACACGGAAAAAATGATTTTGCTGGGTCTAAAAATTTTGCTGGATACAGATCTGAAAATAATTCTTGTTGGATCATCAAAATAATTGTGTTGAAAACTAAAAAATGATAAGGATTGCTATAAAACGTTTTTATATTCTAGCAATCAGTTTGACTTTCCAACAAAATTATTTTGATGATCCAACAAGAATTATTTTCATCTAACAAAATCGTTTTTTCCGTGTACCTAAATATTCGCGCCTCAGACTATCGACTATTTAATAATTTAATAATCTGTGTATATATATGTATGTATATAGAATTATTACATACATATATCTTTTCTAATAAAAAGCGTTACAATTGTTATTTTTGGACATTAGATTTAAATTTATTGTCTCGTTTTCTTCTACTCCTTCCATGGATATTGCGGTTTCTTTTGAAATCCTAACGTTTTCCTTTTGCCTTCCGTTCTGTAAGTCTTGTATAGTCTTGGCGAAACTTTTAGGAAAATGCCCATATATAGTCAACTCGCCTGGTGGCAAAGCGGTATTGATGGAAGGTCAGCATATTTCCGATGAATGGTTTCAATTGTTTCCCTTGGACGACGATTTTTTATTATGAATTCCGTTACAAAATATCGACTGTTGTATATCACTGATTTAAATTGTCATATCGTAATCATGAAATATGATACTATATTAATCAAATAATTCAAATGACTTGGGATTTTTGTGACACGCTCGTACGAAGTTTTTAAAAAATAACATCATATCACATTGGAAGTTTTGTCAATTTATCTTGGTGATCATTTGTTAAATTATATTATTCTTGATTCTGGACGCCATTATTTTATAATGATTTTATTATATGACGCCGCGTTCTTGTGTTATTTTAATTGATTTTCCGTTTAAGAAAATTTTAAAAATATTGTAGATGACTAACATCATTATAGTTTTATTTATTTATTATAGTATTGTATATACTTTTCACAGTTCACGGGTGTAAATTTAGTATGATTCTAAGTTAATTATTAAGTTTGCGAATGAGAAAGATTTAGTAAGATTGAAACTAGTTTCGCTATTATTATGCCTATGGTTGAAAAAGTGTTTGATCGATTTCGGAGCAACCGAAATATACACAACGAAGCAACGTGTATCGAGAGATACGGAGAGAAAACAGGGAAAATGTTGGGGGGGGAAGAGGGGGTTCGAAGTTTGGTCAATGTCAACACCTGCCGAACGTGGCGCGTGCCTGTTTCTGTTTGCGCACTCGATTACCGTGATCATAACATTGGAATATTTTTGAATTTGAATGAAATTAGGTATGTGTATATATATATATATAAACTAACAATAAGTATGTAGGAGATATATTCGTGATTCGTGTGAAAATTTCATTAAAATATACGCGAAAACCAAATTGTATAATGCAAAAAGTAATATAAAAATATAAATCGTCGTTATACAGGACGTGAATTTAAATTGATTAAAAAAAAAGAAAGAAAAAAAGGGGAAGGAGGCGATTTCTTGCAGCGTATATAGAGAGACAAGTAAAAAATTTAGAACAAATTTTCCTCGCACGAGGTTTCTCGCGATAATTCACCCTGCATGTAAAAGAATATCGCATCGCATCAAATAGATATCATGACGGTTCATTAATGGGTGACGACCGTCAATTATATATTTATATCTCATTCGAATAATCGTGTTGGGAAATATCGCGGCGCCACGATTACGTACGTCGCGAAGCATGCAATTTCGCGACCTTATCGCTTTATAAGCGCACTCGGAAATCTCGAGGGACACCCTTCGATACCACCGGTAACGTCAGTAGACCGTATGGACCTTTGCACGGTAGGCAGGAGCCCAGATGGCAAGCGCCCGGTGGTACCCATGCTGAAATTTTTGACCGCGGGTACCGAGACGACGCGCCGCTGCGCACGCCGCTCCTTCGTGCCACCTGCTGCAACACGTAAATCAGCCCCGCTCGTTAAACGCCACGATTTTCGACGGATACGAGTGCAATTCCGATGACAGATCCTACTCGATTCTTCGCACGATTAAATTATTCCTTTCGCCCACCGCGTGTTGCAAGTCCCGAATATCCTCGAAATTCAGCTCGGAACTTTCTATATACCGTTCGTTTGTCGAATCTTTTCGCTGTCAATTCGCACATTTTATTTTCTCATTTAGATCTAGAATTATACTTAATGCTAGATAAGTGTGCTTTAGAATTATATATAAATTCTATAATCCTGAAATTATATTCGTAAAAATTCGAACGAAACGAAGCCGAGAACGAGCTGAGATCGACTCACGCAGCGAACTTGTAAATACAATATATTGACATCGACATCGACAATATGCCTATATTTTCCTAACACAATGATAATATATACAATTTAACAGGGATTGTAGATCAGAAACAATTATTTGTTGTCGGGATTTATTTGCTTTCTCGAAGACGTCCCTTTTAGTAGCCTCGCGCTTCGCTATGAAATTTTCTTTTCTTCTCTAAACAGCAGAACGCGTTTTGTATACACTCGGCGTCCGATCGATCGCGCGCAGATCGTTTCTCACGCTTTGATTCTTTTCCCTTCTGCCGTGTGTCGCGTAACTCGTATTTCCACGTGCACACGCACGGGGAAAGAGGGATGGAGAGAAAGAGAGAGACAGCGAGAATGTGAATCTGGCCGTGCACGAGGAGCGACGCATGCATTACGTATAATATTGACGAGAGGGAGAGAGAGAAGGAGAGAGAATAACAGCATCGGGAGTATTGAGTTGCATGCGGAGAGAGCATTTAGAAACGATCACTCTCTCGCGCGCGCGCGCGCACGGCTATGCGATGTTACAGTTCGGGTACGGGTTTGAAAAGATCTTTGTTCGAGCGTCGGAGCGGCCGCGCGAGGAAGTGGGTCTGCGCTCGCGTGCGCGCGCGCGCGCTCGCACGCGTGCATGGGTGCGTGTGCGTGCGTGAGAGCGCGAGCGCGCGCTGCCGGAAGTCGGAACGTGCATCATAATGCCCCTGGGTGCGCCGCGGCCGCCCGTCCGCTCTCTCGCTCGCTCGCTCCCCGGCTATTTCTCGCTTCACTGGCAAATAAAAATAATATAACACGAATCTCTCTCGGATTCGCCCGACTCCGCCAAAAGAATCGTACCTATCGCTTTTCCATCTCGAATCTTCGACACGCCGGCTGTTTCCGCTGGACCAAAGTCATGCCCGTACAGTCTTGCGTTTTCGCCGTGTCTCCCTTCATAAATCGACGAAAATTCAATCGAGGAAAACAACGTGCATCCTTCGCGATTCGATGCGATGAGACGAATGCAGTTTCGCATGTATGGTATCTCTATACTTTGCCGACGACGAATGTGACGCCCTCTATACTTTAAAATTGCGACGGGTGATAAGGCGTTTTCTTGCTTTACCGACGGTCCAACAGCTGCGCACGAGAGATAACGATACCGGTCGGATAATTTGATCAATTATCCATCGACGATCGTCCGTCGAACATTTATATTTTATCCATCGCTGATTCGAACAATTCCTTCAATTCGGTACTTTCATTGACAGCACATATGGGTATATATGTATGTATGTATGTATGTACAAAGTTTATATACTAATGCGGACCACGTTACGCGAAGCATGTGAAAAGATGTAGGATGTCGAATGGTAGATTAGAGCCTTTCACTTTTGGGTAACACGAGCCTCCTCCTCGTGCCAAGACGATGACAAGACTGGAAAGCCCTTCTTCATTGTGTCTTACGATTTCACGGCGGAGCTGAGAAATATATATTTAAATAAGTGTACATTATGTAATTCGACAAGAGATAATCAAATTCGCATGGACACTGGTTGCTTTGGAAATTACAGGGAGTATGTACAATCTGCTTCCTGCTATCGGGAGATCCTCAATGATTTGCATAACAGTCGTCAACTGAGTGGGAAGATATGAACATTCTATAAAGGCAGTAGAGAAAATATAAAATTAAACAAAATTTGTATACGAATTTGAACAGTATAATATTGTATAGCAAAAACAAGAAAACATGAATGAAAGTAAGAATAATACAGTACAAGTGGTGTTTATATCCTTGCTGCTGGATCTCCTAGCGTTTACCATGATACTGCCGTTACTGCCAGCTCTCCTGGACCATTACAAAGAGATAGAAAAGGGGCACGGATTGTACTCCGCTATTTTGAACCATGTCAAAAGCATACAAATATTCTTTGACGCACCAGACAAAGTCAGCACAGTTCTTTTTGGAGGTTGGTATTTATACTTACTTTTGTTTAAAACATTAAATCTCATGTTATATATATATATTTTTTTAAGTATAACCATCTCCTTCTGCCTCACAGGTTTCCTAGGCTCCATGTATTCCTTCTTACAATTCCTAGGATCACCAATCATAGGAGCATTATCAGATATTTATGGACGAAAGCCTTTGATGTTGCTTTGCTTGACAGGCATTTCGCTCTCTTATCTCTTATGGGCTTTGTCCACAAATTTCGGTATATTTGTATTGGCCAGATTCGCAGGAGGGATAAGTAAAGGAAACATCAGTCTATCGATGGCTATTATCAGCGATGTTACAGCTCCAAAAACGAGAGGAAAGGCAATGGTAAAGAGACAGACAAGCGAGGATCTAATGTATAGATGAATTGCATCCATATAAAATAAATGCCATTTAATTCTAAATCACAATTTCTCTCATTCTTGCAGGCACTTGTCGGAATAGCCTTCTCCATCGGTTTTGTCGTGGGACCAATGATAGGGGCATTTTTTGCATGGATTTCCAGTGGTAATAGAGAAGGCACGTGGTATGTGACACCAGCGCTATTTGCGCTCTTCCTTGCCCTGAGTGACTTACTTTTTGTTGCTTGCTATCTGAAGGAAAGTCTATCGTTGAAACATAGAGCGACCACTTTGGCAAAAGGATTATCCGGGGCAATTTCCTACATTAATCCTGTTGATCTCTTTCAATTTAACGGAGTGTTGAACTTGAGTCGGCAAGGTATTCCGGCACAGAGAATGTCGCGAAAACATTCTCTCTAATAATGTATTTTATAATCGATAATGTTACTGTAATCATTAATTATGATTTTATTTTCAGATCAAGAAGACTTGAAGATATTAGGTCGAACGTATTTTATATACCTTTTTATATACAGCGGCTTGGAGTTTACTCTAACATTTTTGACGCATCATACGTTCGGATTTACGAGTATGCAACAGGGTTGGATGTTTCTCGGGATTGGACTGGTCATGGCAATTTTACAGGGCGGTTGGGTGCGACGTGTACCTCCAAATAAAACGAAAACCATCAGCGAGCTGGTAATCCATCATTCTTTCACATCAATCTTTCTACATACTTCCCCATTATTAAATGACACCTCTTTATTTAATGATATTTTTTTTATTATTCTAGGGTTTATGGCTAATAATTCCCGCATTTGTATTTATCGGTGTCGCTACCAATGTGCAGGTGTTGTCTATCGGGATTTTTCTTTTTGCAGTTTGTAAGCATTATGTTTTTGTTTATTGCCGATTTAGAAATTAATAAATTCGAATTTATCGTTGAAATACAGTACATGCGACAATATATTTGCACTAACAATTGCTTTGTATTATCTCTTGCAGCCACTGCGATGGTTGTGACTTGTATGATGACTCTGGTGACGCGTATTGGACCTGAACATCAGAAGGGTGCGATCACCGGCATATTTCGTTCCCTGGGTGCATTAGCTCGCGCTTGCGGGCCTATCGTCGCTTCTGCAGGTGAATCCAAGTGACTTGAACTCGCGAAAAATGCTTCTCCTTCGTCGGTTTCGTTTTCTTGAAACGCACACATTCCTATTTCAGCGTTTTGGTGCATCGGGAGTGCCACAACTTATCTAACTGGGGCTCTGCTACTCACGCTACCGCCGCTGATTTTGCACAGCATGCGTACTTTATAATATTTGTCATAAGCCTCTCAAATGTTATGCCGTCTACTTTTTTTCATCTTGTAAAGATATACTCTAGAAACAGTATTTTTATATCTTTTTTTACATTACAGTTTTATACAGATTTAAAAAAAAAATAACTTTTTATAACAAATCAGTATTTTATACGTTATGTTCGCTATTTAGATATATATATATATACATATATATATAGTGATATCAAGAGAATTATTTCCAAGTGAATCTATTAATAGATTATCCAGACATCACATTTGTTATTTATATCTAGCTTGTTACACATTTAAGAGCCTATAGTCCAAGTAGCAAATGTATTGTGTATGTGTACTTATATACAACAAATTAATTTGTTGTATTATATTTTATATACGTACTATACATATTTTTGTGATATATATATATACATATATTATAAAAAAAGTTACATAAAAATTTATAAATTATATTTGTATGCGTTATACGCATATATCTTATTTGTAATTAAAAATACTCTAACGTTTCAATAAACTAAACATTTAAGAATTTTTTATATAGCCATACACGTACGTATTATTATGTTAAAAATGTTAAAAATATATCCGCTTGACGGAAAAATTGTTCTCGAATCCGCATGCATTCTTTTTATTATAATTATTACTTTCTACACTTTCTTTCTCCGAAATCTAAAGGCCAAACTGAATAGATTTGCATAATGGTATAAACATATATCTTGCGCGGAGAAACCGCGCGAATAAATCAAGATTTATGATCGATAAACGATACTTCGTTAGATTTCTCTTTTTTTAAATGTGTCTATAATTATTTACAATTTAGTGCGCGCGCGCGAACGAGCGAGCGCTATTATTTCGTTTATTTCAGCGCGGCCGCGGAGGAGACGATCGAATGCGAATTGTGCGGAGGAAAACGCGCGGTAACCGCGCGAGGGAAGAAAAACAGACCCGTCGGTGTGGTTTATCGATAAATCACGGCGCGCGCGATCGCCGCCCGCGGTGCGCAGCCTGCGCAGGTCCGGCGGCGGTCACGTGACCCGTCCCACTCCCACGTTCGCCCCCACCGTCGCCCGCCGGCGCCGTTTACGGTAGGAAATTCCGAGAATTTCCACCCGTGTCGGTTCATTCCGTCGTCATCCGCGTCGACCGACGTTGCCCGACGGCCTGTGATGTACGCGGCCGAGAGGACGGCCGAGGGAGCGGATTGGAGCGGAAACGGCGGTAGGAGGACTTCTTCGGGGTGTAACTTTCGGGAGAAGGGACAGACAGGCAGGTCCCGAACGGGCATTATTGATGGCAGCGTGGGTGTGAGTCCGATTGCACGCAATAATTACTCCTTTCCGCGATTATTGCGCGGCCAGTGCGGATTATAGCTGTCGCATCGCGCGTCAGCGATACGTTCAAGGTCGCCGGCGCGAAACAACAACGAAGAAGCGAGTGGAGCGAGCGAGTGGTAACAGCAGCAGCGGCGGTGGCGGCGGCGGCGGCGGCGACGGCGACGGCGACGACGGCGACGACGTCGACGGCGACGATTACGCCGTACGTGTATTGCGTCGTATAAACGTCTTCGCCAAAAAACATCTGTTTCTCAGGACGAGGGAGTAGCAGGGGCCGACGAGTATCAGGTGAGTTTCGGCGAATTCCGGAGCGGTCTTCGTTCGCTCTTTGCCCGCTGTTCGCTCCGTCCCCTTCTTCCTCCTCTTCCTTCCTTTCCCCGTCCCTCTTCCTCTCCTCCATGCCCCCTCCCCCCTCCCGCGTTCTTATCTATTTGCGCGTTACGTCGCGCGATACGTTTTTTTTCCCCCCTCTCCTCGACGCACGATAGAGCTTTTCGTCGCGAAACTTTTCAAAGAACTTTCGTCGTCAAACTCTTTTTTTTTAGACCGCTCGGGAGCAGACTTCCGTTTCCGCGCGATTCTCGCGCGCGCGGCGTTCTCCGTTCTCCTTCGAAGTTTCAGCGCGCGACGTCGTGTCTTCTCCTCGAACGAGCCACCCGTTCGATCGCGATAAATTGCCGCGCGGACGATAAAAATAAATCGGCGAGAACGCGCCTTTATTTTTTTTTTTTACATAAATTATAGACGTAATTGCCGAGGATGGATATGTTTTGCGAGACGTCTCGAAATGAAGTATTTTCCGAAGCCTCGAAGAGTAAAAACCACGCGATTACTGATCGTAATATAGGATGCCTCTGGGATATCTGACTGAACTTTAGTAACGAGTCATAGTCCTCGATAATCTGATATGAGTAATAATGGATTACATAATGTTTTTGTATGACCATTTATTTGAATACCGGGATTCTGAAACTTTCCATGCGGCTGCAATGTGGAAAGGACGTTTGCAAGATCTATTTATGATATTCTTTTGACAGCGCAATCCGTTGAGAGAAGATGCGTTTTGTCGATCGTTTTCGAAATTTTTTATTTTGTATCAGAGCGGCTTCGATCAAACTCCAGTTAACTTAATCGACGATTAATACAGACGACAAAATTGCCTATATTAAAATTTCTATTTTATCGGTCCTAATTTAAATGTTTTTCTTTTTGCATCAACAAAAAATTAATTGATGATTGATTGATGAAAACGGCAGAATTGCCTACTGCAAAATCTCTCTCCATTTCATTATTTAAATAATAAATTTCAAATTATTTTATCATTTCTAATTTAAATGTCATTTTTTATCAACAAAAATGAACGACTTTATCCATGTTACAAAACAAAATACTATTACCTGATCAGTTTAATTAACTCACGTCAAGTGATACCCGCAGTATTTTATTATCGTGGAATTACCAATTTTTTTGTCTGATACATGGAAAGAAAGATTAGATTAGCGACGATGAATCGTACAGTTGGAATTTCTGCTGTAAGCAATTCCAGGTTGAATTAAAATCGACGATTAAATTAATCCAAGTTCGATCGGAGTTACTCAAGATTCTATCGACCTTCGTGAAGGAATATCTAATTAATGTAACACGGACATTTTCTTTGCATCAGAAAGATTACAATTATCTCGCAAAAATGGCGCTGTGGTTGAAAGCACAGCAACTGTCGCAAGATTCGTTGCAAAAGGTGCGCAATATATATGGAGAACATTTTCCGATTGAAGTGAGACACTTCTTGTCATCATGGATAGAAGAGAAGATGTGGTAAGCATAATGTATAAACCCTAAGGAAAGCACTTTCTCACAGTAGTTTTTGATGAATAAGAATTTCTTGTTCATACATACATGCACATACATATAAATAAGAAACTCTTGTTCACCAAAAAATTGCTGTAGAAACAGCTCCAAATCTATTACATTACTAGTATATCTCATACATCAACTCATAATCACTAGTTTTTTTCTTTACAAATCTCATTTTAAATTTATTTTTAAAATTAAATAATATTATCAGGGTTGCTGATATTCTTTTTATTTTATCTAATTGTCAAAATATTTTATCGGTGTAACTCAGGAGAGGATCAAACAAATTTTTTACTCATATTTAAAAATTCTAACTAAATCAATAATGACAATTCGTGGCCCCTGTCAAGATATTACAGCATTATATTCAATTTTAAATTTTTTAATTACTTTAAAAATATTTTATTATTCTAGTTAAATTTTTATGCTCTATTTAACTATTTAAACTATTAAACAAATTTTTAAAATAGAAAGTAATGTAAATATTTTATTTTTTATTTTTTTTTCAATTTTCTGTAATAAATAAAAAGTTTTAATTTTTTTTGTTTTTATTCAGCGTTCCTTTTAATCAAGAAATTTCTTCAAAAAGTGATTGTGAAAACCGGGAAAAGTCAGGGGATATTTTTTTCTCTAGCAGAAAATGGTTGTGCAATCTGGGGGAGATAGTGTTATTTCAAAATTAATTTTTTAGGAATAACATAGAACCGGAAAACCCACAATTTGAGCATTATGTAAACAACTTTGTCGGATCACTAATACTCGAGTTAGAATCAAAAGCAAACACTCTTACCACCGAAGACATGTTTGTAACAAAGATGAAATTGATAGAGGCTGCTACCATGTTTCGAGTGAGTTATACATCATGTCGTTATATATGTTTATTTTATATAATTTAACTGAATTTTAAAAATGTTGCTCATATCTCTGTTGTTCTTTTATAGCAAAGATACAGCGAAAATCCAGTGTCACTATACAAAATAATTAGACACTGTTTGGGCACGGAAATGAAATTGGTCGCAGAAGCCGAACATTTAGGAGGTTTAATAAGCAGTGACAGGGTCAATTTAATGATAGGCGACACGGTTACGGAAATAGCTCATCAGGTCGATATATTACGGCGAAAGACATACGAGACCGGAGAGGACTTACGAAAGATAGAACAGGAGCAGGAGTCTTTCGCTCTTAGTTATCACGAGTGTACGAAACTGAATGCCCATTTGCAACATATCGCGATGCAAGTGCAGAATCAGCAAAATATGGAGTTAGAGAAAAAGATTAGAAGGTAAAATGGTTGTTTGCAATTTAAGAATATATATTATAATTCCTGTTTATTCATGAGATATAAGATCGATATTCTTTATTTAGACAAAAAGAACAGCAAGATTTGCAATTGAGTCAGAAAGTAAACGGTGTGGTCCGTCTACGTTTGATGCTCATGGAAAAATTGGATGATATTATCAAGAAATTGAATATTTTACAATCGAGAATTCTCGACGATGAACTTATAAGGTAAAATATCGATATATATTTAAAGACAATAAGATCACATTTTTTTTCTCTTATCGAATCGTTAATGATCCTGATATTTCTTGTCTAAGGTGGAAGAGAGATCAGCAATTGGCAGGTAATGGTGCAAATTTCGCATCCAACAATTTAGACTCCATTCAGGAATGGTGCGAAAGCCTCGCTGAGCTAATCTGGCAGACGCGGCAACAGATTAAGGAAGCGGAACGTTTGAAGCAAAAGTTCCAATGTGAACCGCCAGGCATTCGAGATACTCTTCCGAGTTTGAACACTCAAATTACACAATTTCTCAGTTCGCTTGTTACAAGTACCTTTATTATTGAAAAACAACCACCGCAAGTCATGAAGACCAACACTCGTTTTACGAGCACGGTTCGTCTTCTTGTCGGTGGTAAATTAAACGTTCACATGACACCGCCACAGGTAAAAGTGAGCATAATTAGCGAAACGCAGGCAAACGCTTTGTTGAAGAGCGAGAAAATGGCTAAGTGCGGTGAGGTCAGCGGCGAGATTTTGAATAATACAGGCACAATGGAATATCATCAGGTGCGCGAGATTTTTATTTTATATTAAATATATTAAACAAGATTGACACAAATATTTTAAGAAGCGTCACTCTTAATGTCAATTCAAAGCTTCAAAAATATCATTGCGCTTACATAACATACCATTTTGCAGGCGACGAGGCAACTCTCGGTGAGTTTCCGCAACATGCAACTGAAGAAGATAAAGCGCACAGAGAAGAAGGGTACAGAATCCGTGATGGACGAGAAATTTTCATTACTGTTTCAATCACAATTTTGCGTTGGCGGGGGCGAACTAGTATTTCAAGTCTGGACTCTAAGTTTGCCCGTGGTCGTGATAGTACACGGTAATCAGGAACCACATGCATGGGCCACGGTCACTTGGGACAACGCGTTTGCCGAGCCAGGTAGGCAACCGTTCCAAGTACCGGAGAAAGTGCCGTGGGGACAAGTGGCCGAGGCGTTGAACATGAAGTTCCGCTCGGCGACCGGCCATCCTTTGACCGAGGACAATCTTCGATTTCTCGCGGAAAAGGCATTCCGAAGCAACGGCAATTCAGTCCAGGATTATTCGAACATGCTGTTGAGCTGGGCGCAGTTCTGTAAAGAACCATTACCCGAAAGAAACTTCACCTTTTGGGAATGGTTTTACGCCGTCATGAAATTGACTAGAGAGCATCTGAGGGGTCCGTGGATCGACCGGTACATCCTTGGTTTCATCCGAAAGAAACAAGCGGAAGAGATGCTAGCGAACTGCACGGTTGGCACTTTCCTGATGCGTTATTCCGATTCAGAACTCGGCGGTATTACCATCGCTTGGGTTGGTGGAGGTAAAGTATCGGAAACAAAAATTGAGATAAGTTTCGCGTGAAAGAAATGCATAACTGGTGTCTTAATGTTACCAGATCAATCAACAGATCATGTCTTCATGTTACAACCGTTTACTAGCAAAGACTTTGCTATTCGAAGTTTGGCCGATCGTCTTGCCGATATGCAACATTTACAGTATCTCTATCCAGACATTAGCAAAGATACGGCCTTCGGCAAATATTACACTCCATTCACTGGTAAATCTAACACGCAATGAATGGATTGTATGGTTCGTGGCTAGTTAATTAATAATTGATTAATTTCCATAGATAACCAAACTCAAACGTCAAACGGGTATGTCAAGCCATATTTAGTAACGCACGTGCCAGGTTGGCCTGCTCTGTCCAGTATCGGTGGTCAAACGCCATCGCATTCATCCGTAACAGGCATGAGCAACAACGGTCAGAGTGGCCCGGGCGGAAGTTACCCTGCTACACCGCAGACCGTATTTCCACCGCACAGTCCGCCAGATCCATCCACGCGGGACACGCCATCCGTAGCATCAAGGTCAGTCTCTTGGATGTAATATTGGATCAGTGATCTTTACTTGATATTTCTATTAAATCAACTTTGAAATATCGTGATATCGATATGCCTTTACATTTGGTACTTTGTTATCCTTGAAAGAGAAACGAATCTCAGATTATGCACGATGTCCAGTGAATTAAATAAAAGATATGCAATACATTTTTTTAATTTTCGAAAATGATTTTTCTTCGTACTTTAAAATTTGTTTCATGAATTTGTTTTTTATTTTTTTTGTTATTTTCTTCATGAGATATCATCTCCTAATCATGGTTGTGGCATAATTTACCGGACATCTGTATATCGATGTCGAACATATCATCCGCATTTTATGAATAATAATCTTAAAATGAAAATTTCAAAATTTATCGATAACTGTTAGAAGCGTATGATTAATTCTACTGCCGTATTAACAGACGTTGAATCTGTTTTTGTTGACGGCACGAAAGATTTTATTTCTCTCGTCATTTAAATGAAAAATGAAACTTTGTAATAATATACCAAAGTACCATATATTACATCCCTCCGGCTTAAAAAAATGAAAATCGAAGACAATAATTTATGTGAGCTTATTGCAAATGAGAACAAGTATTACACATTCCTTGCACTTGACTCACATTTTACATACATCTTCTAGATTTTCTATTTTTTGCAAAGACGGTCAGTATTTTTTTTTTCTTTTTTTATAAGTGTTTTTTGACACAAGGAATTTTATAGAAAGATGTAATGATAACTGCGCGATTGTACTTTTTGTAAACGTTTTTACGAAATATTGTACGTTTAATATTATAATTAAGGTAGATGAGCGAGGAGAAAAAAAAACGAACAGTATATATGATAAGACACGTATCATTCAACGAATTTTATAATGACTGAAGGTATGTCTTACGATATATTCAGTTATCCGGGTATGTTGTTGTCCGAACAAAGCAACTGTGACGTGAATGCAGATAAATAATCTTTATCTGCTGAAACGTTTAAAATATATGTGTAAATGTATGACTAGTGACGCCATAAAGTAACAATCATGTTAAATCATCAATATTAACGTTCTTTTCTTTTTTAACGGTTTTTTAATTATTTTTTTCTCCCTTTTGTATATTTATTGTGTGTACTCCAGTATTTTTGTCCAACAATAAGGCTTTATTCATACTATAAGTAATATATGTGATAACATTCTAGTTGCATTTCAATCATTTGCTCAAAAATATTCTTCAATGAAACACACACACTCACACAAACAAATAGGATTTATATTAGTCATGTTTAAATCTTGATATCAATTGTAAGGCTTGATATGAATTTAGCTTTACAATAATGAAAAAAATATATTTTATTACAAATATACCGTTTCTCACACAGCTTTATTATACTAATAATGTGAATGTCCGTACGGTCAAACTAAAGTTTTCAAGTAAGCAATTATAGTCGGTATTTGTAAGATTGTACGTACAGCTACTTTTTTTTATTATAATTTGTTATATTATTTTTTTTTTTATTATAATTTGTTTTCCAATTTTAATATAAGTTTGGTTAAAAACAAATTGAGATTTTAAAAGTATGTATAACGACTAATGTCGTAATTTGAACAATTAAGAAAAAAACTCATTATGTATTCAAATGTATATATATCTTTAATATAAAAAATATATATGAAGATATATGTATATGTATATACGTACTGTATATATTTTAGATTATATAAACACATTCATTAATTAACAAAAATATCCAATTAATGTTATTTTGAGGATGAAACAAAGGCAACTGGATCATTACCTATAGCGTGAACAAAGTCTGATTAATCAGCTATCTATAAATTTAGTATTAAAGGGCATTGCTACCATGCATTAACTTATCGATAACGCAATATTAGTAATTTTGAGAAGAGGTGAATTCTAAGGTTCTAAGTGAATTACTGTAATATTAAAAAGTGCCTTTACGCACAATTGCATTTCAATTTTATATATCATTAAATTTATGTGTTTAGTTTATGCATTAAGTTATATAATTGGTATTAGAAATGCGATCTCTGTTTTCTACTTTAATTTTTAGTTATTGTTTATTTTTTGACACACAACACTGACACACAACACATTGTATAACCACACGAAAATTTTTATAACCAAAAAAAAAAACAAAGAATTTAAAATGTATCAATAAATTTAACGAATATAAACAGATACTTTATTTCAGCAGATTTAATTCGTTTTTGATCGTTGAAATGATTCTATTTCGACTATTCGTACAATCATATTGTGGACCATTGAGAAATATCGATTAGAAATTAGGATAAAATTAATTTTTCGACTGTACTTTTCTATAATTTATTTTTCTAATGCAACGTCTTATCCATGGCTTTAATGTAGCTTTTATATAATTTTTTTATGCTATAGCTTATAATATTGCGTACGTAGCACAAACATTCGCGTGTTAAAGAGACATCACGTTCAGCAAAACAGGTGCGCAGATATGCTACTCGTATAAGATAGCTGTGTCTGTAAAAGTAAAAAAGGGCAAAGGCCTGGAGCAAGCCGGTACAACCACAACAGAATGTTCGATACTATTCTGCAAAATGCAGCTCCAATCACTCGCAGCTGGCAATTGAGTAACGTTATTGCTCGCGGATTCATTGGAACAACATTGTCGTTTCGTTGCTCTCGTGTAGCGTCGCACGAGTCGAGAGGTAAACAACGGGCAAAAAAACAAAAAAATCATTCACGATTTCCATTTTGCTTTTCTCGGAGACGACAAGTGACCGATGTGCAAGCTTAGTTCTGGGTTGGGCTCTTGTGGTTGTTATACTCCCTTTGCCGTGTTGTACCGGCTATTCTGGCTCTAATCGGTCACCTTCAAAAAAAGTAGCGAACGATACGTATTCCCAGACGAATAAAAAAAAAACAAGAGAGAAAGGAAAGACACGATGGGAAGAGAGGGACAGATTTAAGCCTACGATAATTTGATTATCGAGGATTGCCAGTGATTGGGGTTGTGTTTTGATCTGTGGTAGCTACGCTCCGGGTCTCGGCCAGTCAGGCGTTGGGCAGCCAGGTTCGGACATGGACTACATGGAGACAATCATGGGTAACAACGAATTGCCGATCGACGAAAATCTCAACTTGGATCACTTGAACAACTTCGGCTTCGACTTCATGCAGTACAACCAATCTACCAAGCTGCAATAGGAGGTATGCCTATACGGGTATGCACCGTCGTTCTCGAGTACGATGGCACATCCGTGATGACCGCCATTGCAGGTCTCCCCCGATCTTTCTCCGATCTCTATTTATCAGTCATGCCGAAGCGCACCGGAGGCAATCGAAAATGTATCGCGAATTGTTAACAGGGGAGGGATATTAATGTATCCTAGAATGGTACAATTATATATACATTTCTTTTTCTCTCTCCTTTTATAAAAAAAAACCATAGCCAGTGTTTTGTAGTTACGAATTGGCTTTCTTATCTTTAGAAGATTATAGAAAGATCAAGTTGTTATCACTTTTATCTAATATGATATATATGTAATATATCTCTGTTGATCTTGTTCTCTTATACTCAAGTTGCAATGACCGAGCAATACCTACATCCGAGAGTTCTTATGTATTGATACGTTGATGCGACTCATGGCTAAATAGATACGAAGATATTCGTATCTATTTAATGAGTTGACCAATCGTTACAACAAAAATTGTGATTTTTCGTCAATATAATTTTTTTGAAATGAAAAAAAAGCACAAGCGGTTTTTAGATCCATTGTTTCTATATTCTAAATTTATATTTATCAATTCTTTTCTAGTAAACAACTACAAATTGTATGTTTTTTTATATTCGTTTCCATTGACAATTTGATTAATTTTCAAGTCCTTTCTTTAAGTTCTTTGTATCTATCTTTTTTTTGTAACGTTTATCATTATAATTTAAGTTCTTACACGATGTAAAAGAGACTTAGTACAAAGATTTATATATTATTGTCTATAACATGTGAAGTGCTAGAAGAGAGCATATGTAATTATAAATAGAATTGTATGTCGCTTGTGAATAGCAGATTAAGCTACTAAGCAAATATCTATATTACATATGTAGAATTACATATACAGATTGATATAACAATTATTTTTGTTAAACAATTAGATCGTTTTATAGAGAACATTTTAGCGAAATACTATAAATCATGTTATTTCTTTTTCTTTTTTTAAATAATAATTTGTATAATTACGATATTGTGGTTACAAATTGATTTACGTTTTTAGAGGATTATAAAAAAAAAGCAAAATTATTGCTTGCCTAATTCAAATGTTTAGGATTAGATAATGATAGAGACTCGTTAAAGAGAAATTTTTAAAGCATACAAACAATGCATAGACCATCATTTCCATGATCACCTAGTCAAATTGCCATTTATACGCATTTTGGATTTTGGAAATATAGAGCAGCCATGGAAAACAGGAGACCGATTAAATTTTTTTTATGTTGTCGTATTTTATTTGTTCAGTTAAACAGAAAAGTAATGTTAAAAGGAATGATAGCGCGTGTTACGTAGATGTAAAAGTGCATTGTGTGATGTGACCTAAAATAAGTGCCTTGCGCATTTTTAAACTTTGTATTCTATAATTTTTCGGCAAGTTCTGCAAAGATCTCGTCGATTTAAGATTATATTGTTTTAACTAATTTTTAAGAAATTTTTTTTTATTTCAGTGATATCTTAAATTTCTTGGACTTCTATAGTATTTCGTCGGGAGATAAGTTGTCTCTGAAAAATAATTTAGAATGTCCTTGTGAAGATTCTTTAGATTGTGAAATCTTAACATCAACTTTTAGAATTATTTTTAGAATTAAGGAATATTTTTAGAGATATAAGACAGAGAGAAGGGAAAAAGTAAGGAGACTAATTTTCTTAGAGTTTATATAAAAAAATCTCCTTACTTTTTAACTTAAATCAACTATAATAACTTTAGATTATTATAGTTTATTAATTATTATGGTGCCCTATTCCCTCCCCTGTATGTTTTACGATTACGTATGTTACACGTGACACGTATGTTTAAATGCGTACATAATAAAGTACATTGTAGAACAATGGTTGTTTATTCCTTTTCTTAATAGATATCCATCCTTATTGGGACAAAGTAACTAAGCAGTTTTGTGACGTGTAACTTGTAATTTGTTACAGTTTTCAATACTTGTTTCTATTACAGTAGAATAATATTTTTCTATAAAAATTTGTTATATTACAAATAGCAAGGCAGAGAAATTAATCTCGGGTATTTTGCTTGATAGGCGGCTACCGTAAAGGTATCCAGTAGCCCGGCTGTTTATTGCTGCAGCTATATTTAGAATAGAATTCACACGATTTGCTCGACGTACTTTCCGTATTCAAAATCTCGAGGAGCAAGATGTAAATTCGTTCTTGATTTTATCTGCGTTATTGCAATATGAAAAAGTAATAATTGCTGATGCAATTATTAGTTCTTATAAAGCAATTATTTTTATTGAATGGCACATCTTTTTAGTCATATATTATCTTATTATCTTTCTCGAAAAGAAACTTTAAGATACTCGAAATAAAGACTGCAAAATGATTGCTTTTTATTCTAAAATAATTTTATTCATAATGAGGTTTTTGTTCTAAAAATAGGAAACGTTGGCCACTGCAGGTATAAAATAATATCAAAATAGATTGCAATTTATCTTCAGCCTACAGCAGGCGCTATTCAATCCGAAAACATTTAAGACGCTTCTGTCGGAGCAGACGAAACGTTATCCTGTTCGTCGATCGGACAAGGACACTCCGCGCACGAATCGTCCTCGACATAATGGCCTGGCACAGGATAACTCATGTGATAAACCGTATCGCTGACCATCGGATGTTCCGGAGCCCGATATTTGCTCTTTTGAGCCCATGGGAGCACCTCTTTAGGTTTCGGCGTCCACGATTGGTATGATAATTTATTTATCGTCTCGCAGTCGACCTTAATTTCCGGCCTGCACAGAGCGTATTGCAAGATCGATTACGACTTTATAATTCGAAGCACCATGAAAAGATTTAAAAGATGGAACAAGATACGAATAATAGCCGGCGTTAATTAGATTATTACGCAAATAGCTAAATTAAATCAAAATTAAAACAGTAAACAATTAATCATAAAGTTACGCGAGTCTTTTAAAGGCGTCTTCGGAGGAAAGTTTTTTTCTGAGAAAACGAGTTCTCGCCGCATTATAAATAGATCGTCCTTTGGACTGTTTAGACTTCACATATATATGTTTCTCCTTCTCACCTATAATATTGCATAACGGGCTTGTAGCTGCGAACAGGTTTTATCACGTCGGGTTTTACGTAAGATAATCCGGTAATCGTGTCTCCCTCCAGCGGTATGTCGGCCGCGCGGATATTATCAGAGGGGACGATAAGTTCCGGGCGTAGCGTCGTTTTCGCTACGTACTCGCAACGGGCCGTTGTTTCCGATTGCATTTTAGCGGTCGACAGCATGGTCCTGGTGCGCGGCAGATACGGTTTCCGCTTCTCGGTCCAGACCCGTTGATAACTCAGCTGCAAAAGATAACTCGCAGAATGAGAATTACGAGAGTTGTAAATCGATAAAAACTATCGGTTTTTTTTTATCGCGTGACTCAAGAATAATCAATTAGGTACGACGTTACACCTTGCTGGTCGTATCGGCGGACATCCTTGCGTCGGAGACAGAGATACTGCCGCAGGGAACAATCGGCACCGCGCGCTCCGCGTCAGCCGGTAGATAGCTCTCCTTGTAGATAGTTTTATCCGCAAATTCCGCGCCGTAAGGCAATACATCCGTCGTGACGGGAAGGAAGGGCTTCTCCACGGAAATCGCATCGTTCTCCATATAGCTTTCGGAATACGTGGTTTTGCCGCACATCGCGATGTCCGGTGGCCTTTCATTTCAACATTCAGATTAATATAAATTTTTGTCACAGAAAATGATCGTGCGATAATAATTACTATAATTGTTGCTCTGTCATATAGAGATAGAGAAATTTTATTATTTTAATATTCAAATTTTCTTAATTAAAATATAATAGCTTTTATTAATAAATAAGATGATTTTTTATATATAATTATCAGATTATATGTATATATCTATTTTACATTGTAGAAAATAATTATAGAACGTCTGATTTTGCTATTGTCAGAATGCAGCACTTAAATTCACGTGCGATACGTACTTGTACATCGGTTTCTGCGCCCAAGGATGAAACTCTTTCTTAAGGACGACAAAGGGCTGGTAGCTGAGTTTTTGCGTCGTCTCTTTGGGAAGGGGTTGACTTGACGGACGGTACTTTAATATCGGTTTGAAACTGATTGCAGGTTCAATAGGCCCTGGAGAAACGTAGGACATTCGTACCATCGTTCTGTCGTCCAACGGAGCTGAACTTGTGCGAATATTTCCGCAGGGTACAATCATCTCTGGCCTCTCCACGTGTTTCGCCACGTAGTCGTGACGGACTGTCGTCACAGTTTCAATCGTGCCTGTGCTCAGCAGTCTAGCAAAATTATTACATTAACTTACTTCTATTTTTTATTATAACGAAATAAAAGAAAATACGCAAGAAAGTCTCTTTTCTCAAGGTAGCTCAAACTTGATCTGCTGAACTGAAAGACAAGAGAAACGAATATATGCGAATCTTTTTTCGATCCGAGCTTTTATGTTCCTAAATCCATAACTTGTCATTTATCTCAAGGATCTCGACGTATCACAAACGAAACTGCTTAAATTCTTAGATATACAAGAGATACAGCACAATTTTTAATATCTTCACGCAACATGAAGATCCTGGTCGTACTTATAGGTAAATTTCTCTTTTTGCGAATGTTATGAATATCGATACGTATAATGATAGAATATAGATATTTTGTCTTACCTGCGTTTCGGTAAGATAGGTTTTGCTTTAACGGTCTCCCATACGGGTCTGTAGGACAATTTGTTTGTTGTTTCGTCGAAAAACTTGGCAGTACTCTTCTGAAGACTATGGACTGGCCGAAATGGTTGCAGCCGCGCGCAACGCGCCGCTGCGCGATCCACATCTAGATAAGACAAGTGATACGTCGTTCTGTCTTCTAATTGTATCGACGGTACCTTGTATAATCGCTCCGGTGCGAAGGATTTTGCACGTGCGGGCTGCACGTATCTTTTGTACTGTGTTAATAGCATAAATTAGTAGTAACATAAACGTTTAAATTGTATAATATTAGTGATAACTGATATTGTATATTATATAATGTATCAGAATATAATGTACCATATTAATCGGACATTAACAATTATAAATTATGAAATATATTAATTTCTTCAATCTATCAATTAAATTTACTACTATATTATAACGAAAAATTCAACATTCGTGGAATATTAATCATAATTTTGCTAATAATAAATTTTTCAACACTATATTGAAAGCGTTAAAAATAATTGAAAATTTGTAAGATATCGATGAAAATATTGCCGAGTCGGCAATTACTTTGGTCTTGCATGGACATGTCGTCGTTTTGGTGCATGGTGGAATTTTCCTTTTTGAGCAAGTCTCAACAACCTCCATATTGCAGCTTTAAATCCCCTTTCTTATCGTCTATTGTATATAATATATATGTACAGTGCACAATTGCATTAATATTATTCTGCTTGTAAACGTTGTGTCGTAATAAATATTAAAACATTCAAAATAATATCGGAGAATCAAAGTTTTATGACATTTAAAAAATCTGATTAAGATACGCCTGACACATGGTCCAGAACTAACTTCGTGTTATCCTCACATGATTCTATTTCACCCACGACACGGCGTGCATTACAAAAGAGAAAACAGGCAAAAATACAATTTCATAACAAATTTGCTAGAAATTCTATTTCATCTACGTTATTCCAGTAGCAATTTTCATTTGTACTTAACGTTATGTATAACTACATGGAAATCCTGTTGTCAGTACAATATGCGACGTGACGTGACATGCGTACTACATGCGTATCACAGTTTAATTTCCAAAAAATTTATACATCATTTTTAAATATTTAGCGATCAACACGTAGAACTGGAATAACTAATGCCACTTTCTCGACACGCGAGAATAGAAGAAAGAAAATATCTTATATCTGTTACACGAGATATACAAGATATTTTTATCTTTCAGCTATTAACTTTTAAGTTGGAGCATGACATTAGTCGTTCTCTAGGTATTGATCTATGCACTCCTTTCACGGTACCGATTGGCACAGACTACAACGTGTGTGTGTGTGTGGTGTGGTGTGTGTGTGTGTGTGTGTGTGTGTGTGTGTGTGCGTGCGCGCGCGTGTGGAAGACACGAGAGAGACATTTCGTACAACTTGCATCTGTATCTTTTTTTTTGCGTTCATAGATCATATATTATATCTAAATTTCATACGCCCTTTTTTACAATTTGTTCGCAATTTAAGCGCATTAAAAGAAAATGTTTTAACATTTTATATATATATATATATATTTACTGTATACAATATAGTTGTACGAATATCTTATATCCCGATTAAACTGAGAGAGAGAAAAGGAGATTATAAATACAAGGCAGCCTAAAAAGAGTGACCGCGCCCTCCTGATCAATTTGCAGCCGCATTGTAGAAATAAAACTTAAGAGAGGTAGAAATATAGGATGAACTTAGAAAAGTAATAACATTTTTCGCGGCGGAGAGGACAATAACACTGATATCACTGACACTTCACGAGCACTCGATTCTCAAGTCAACGAATTCGCGTTTTCAACACCAGGAGAAGAACGGACTCTTGTTCTGGAAGCGCTGGGTAAACGTGTCAGAGAACGAAAACAACCTGGGAGTGCCGTTTCCTTTGGCTCTAAAGCAAAACAAGGCGTGAAATTTGGTAACATTCATTGCTGTATATATCTAAAAATGGGAGCAATAAGTAAAAAAAAAATATATATATATATATATATACTTTTCCACAATTACAGCCGGCATTTGTACCAATTGCACAGGACTTTTGGCGTCTTTCAGAGCCTGTTGCAGATTCAAAATTTGGCCGCGCATCACGCTCATTTGCCTATCGAAGTGATGTCGGTCGAAGCCCTTATCTTGCTGCGGAAATAGACGAGCAGATTATGCTTGCGTCAAAATTATTGTTGCACAAACAACGAACGGAATGCGATACGCTCGTTCTCGTCGAATATATGTAGCATACTTTGAACAGCTGATACAGATCGTCGCAGAGATCCTGTACGAAATTCTGATCCGAGAGTTGCGGCAAAACTAGCTCCCTCGTGACTTCGCTGAACGGTTGTTTCGCCTGCGTCAGCCATGCCCAGTGATAAGGATACGCCCTCCAAGAATCTGGATGCTTAAAGGGGAAGGCCAGGCCGTTGTCGATCGCTGCGATCTTCACTTCACCCTGTTCAGATCCGTTCTTGCTAACGCTAGTGTCGTATTTGATGAGCCAATTGTCGTTACCTACGGAATATTAATCGTGAAAAAAAAGAGACCACATATAGTTAACGCTTTATTATTAGGCAGAAGCAGTTTTATCCTTTACCCCTGTCTGTATTTCTGATAATATAATCCAGGATGACCAAACGCTCGAACTGAAGCTGGAATTCTCGACTCAAGCGCGCCGGCATGGATTCGTTCTCCCATCGCCTCAACCAGAAATCAGCGTCCTTGTAACCATCCACGAAGACTTGAAAGGAGCCGACTTTTGGCGGTAGACCGATACGATTGAAATGCGACCCCACCGTAGGGAACTGGTCCATGATGGCTTGCTTCATGCGCGCCTTCTGACGATCCAGACGAGGATAATTGAACACCTCGCTAACGAGTTTCACCACTCTGGTGTTCGGTACGATTCCGAGGCCCAGCTTGCGATCGACCAGGCTGGCGCCTGCCTCGCTCAGGTAACCCTGATTTGGAATCAGGCAACTCCTGCCGAAGCAGCACGGACAGCAGAGCTTGTGCATCCATTTTGTCCACTTTGGATTTAATCTGCCGTAAGGTTCCTCGTCTTTTGGCTTGAATACACCTATAATTTTCTGACAAGACAGTATGGGATCATTGTTGCTTGCATATCACTGTACGTACCTACTTTAGAAGCGACGGTAGCGTCAAAACTTTTTGTTACTTTTGAGCAGATTAAAAACTACACCTTACCCCCGCTGGATTTTTGACAAAATAACTCCCGCTGGAACCCTGGTATATCCTTTCTGGGTAAACCCCATTGTCTATCGCGCACTCAGCCTGCCACACCAGTTCCGAGAACTGTGGATCATCTACAACAATACGTACGCACACATGTAATGTCACGCGTAATTTCATATGCGTGATAACAGATATGAAAAATGACAATTCTTAGAAGGTCACGGGATATCATGATTCATCAACGGACGTATGTACACAGTACCCGGGAGAGGTAAGGGGACACCAACAGCGTTGCGGCCGGAAACGAACCTGGAAATCTGTTGAACGTGACGTCGAGCTCCAAGCGACCGAGGAGAGGCTGGCTCTCCCGGTCGATCCCGGAGGAATCTATGGCTAGGGTTTGGTCGTTGCTCAAACCAGGAATGAAGTCGACGTCGGGTAGCAGGTCAGCCGGCGACGGCGGCTGGTCGTTCTGCAACGACAGACGCTGATGATGGCTGCTGCTACTGCTGCTGCTGACGGGCGCGATGGAGAGATCCACCAGCGCGTCAGTCTCCACCAGAGCAGCGGCAGCGGCGGCGGTGGCGGCTGCAGCGGTGGTGGCGGGGCTGGTATTGTTCTGGCTATGGTACTCTCGGTAAGGCACGTGCAGCTGCTGCTGTTCGGAGTCGCTCATCACAGACCGCTCGCTCTCGTGACGACGATCCCGCTCCGCGAGGATCGAGACGGCCGACCTCGCTCTCCGATTTATCCTCCCGAGCTGACGGCTCGGGTCGGGTTCCTCTAGCCGGACCAATGGACGATCGTCACCCTTACGACATTCCCGCGTGCTGCTGCTGCTGCTGCCTTCCGCCTGTCAGCGACACGCGCTCGTTCCCTGCAGTTTCTCCCGGTCGCTGCGGTTATACGTGTGCGTGTCAGCGTGCGAGGAATGCATTAGCATCGTCGTCGATGCGTCATCCAGATCACACACGTATGTATATTGTCACACACGTAGCGTTAGCGTAGGTAGGCCAGCACGCGCAGCCTGCCGTCAGCGGCGAGGACGATGACAGGACGGCGGGGGGAGGGGCAGACGCGGGGATACCTATTGCGATCTAACCCGATTAACCAAAATGCGATCCGTCATCCCAGCGGCGGATACTATCAGCTGATAGGATTACCGCCATGTTTGCGCGACGCGTATGCATTTTCTCTTTTCTCTCTCTCTCTCTTTCTCTGCTTCTGCCCTTCCTTCTCTATCTTTCTTTTACACAATTCGCTGCGGTTACCGCATTATTTTCTACGTCGCGGCATTCATCGCCGCAATTGATCCCGATCGATTTCTGTCGTCGCAATTATTTAGCTCGATCGGATTTAAATAATCGCGACAGGTACATACAAGTGCACTCATCGAGGATGAGTTTCACGAGCGAGTTTCGAATCGTACTCGATTCGAAACTCGCTCGTGAAACATTCGGAAGGTTATGGTCCGCAGCAACTAATCAGCCTTGTTTAATTATTTTCACTATTTCTATATAAATAATAATGAAATAATATCGTCATGTCTAAATATTTGTACGTAATGATTTGTACGATCTCGAAGTTTGTCTTAGTTAATTTAGCTAAGAGGTGCGGCTTTCCAAAGATAGAGTTATAAAAGAGAGGGAGAGATAACACGTGCTCGAAAACATGTGCGAAAAGTTAAGCGTATATATACATATATATAAAAAGAGTATATCGACAGATAAAAATAAAAATTATATAAAACGCTAAGTTAATAAATATACAGAACATTATATGTGATCACTGATTATGCACTGATAGTGCACAAATATTCAGACATCATATATATGGTCAATAAAAGCTGTGCATAAGTTAGAAATCATTTATGAAGTCATTTATTTTATGTGTAAAGAAGTGTTAAAAATAAACTGTTTTCTAGATTTTTTAAAAAACAAGTTAACGCCAATAGATATCCACTTTATCTTATTCATCCTATTTAATGTTAATAAAATTATAATTTATAAAATATGGGAAAAATTCACAATTATAAGATCTTTTTGTAATGAAAAATTATTAGATGGCCCGTGAGAATGAGATATACATCTTTATAAATACACAATATTGTCAATATTGACCTACTCCTCTAACGTTGTTTCTTTGTTGTTATTGTAAAAATGTAAAACATAGAATGTCAGATACGTAACACCGAAATAGAAAGTGAAATATATATATTAGGAAACGGTGTGGTATATCACATATGTCTTGTATTTAATATAAATCAAGACTATTAAGTAAGTTTGAGCAATTAATTGTTGAAACTTTACATTATTTTTTTTCCTCCAATGTCGAGATTACTCAGTAAAGCATCAGTGAGCATTTCTTGTCAAACCAGTTGCGCGTTTCGTCAATTCTTTGAGATGATGTACGTATAACGCGAACAGTATCACGACGGGATTAAAAGAGATTTTTCATTTTGCCACCATAGTCGTTCGTTATCAGATGCTCTGCTTTCGAGCGACGTTTTCTCGGTGTTAGATTCAATCCCTCGTAGTTTACATCCGGGCTGCGCGATACGTTTCCTGAAGGTACACGTCATACGCTAGTTTTTTAATCTTTTTCAATTTGTGGAAATTTTAGGCAAATCGGAATATCAAAAGCTGCGACAAACCTCCAGGCCGCTTCAAATGCAACTTAGAGTGACATAGCAATCGAGAGTACAAGGACGAAAGCGGCTTTCCTTTAAACGAGATTTGCTCGCACTTGACAGAACACGCGCGGGGTGACAGCCATCCGCTCATGCTGTTCCAGGAATTGCTCAAGTCCGACGAAGGACTTGAGCAATTCCTTGCAGGTAGCTCGCACAGCGGACGATATTCTCGTTTGTACCTCTTAAATAAATGTTTGCGTTTGCCTGAAATTTAAACACACCTTTGTGACGTTCGCTCTCAATTTCCGAAATGATGCGATTTTTAACGAGCTACATACCTTTCGTCGGAGATGAGCACAGTCTCTCATAGAAAAGATCATCATCCGTGCATTGATTAAAATTGAAACTGACCTTTGGAGATTGCAGTAAAATGTTGCGGTTTACAATTGATGCGCTGTCCGCGTCGAAATAGACGCTGACATCTTTAATTTCCCGCGACGTGTATCGCTCGTTTCTGCACATACCGTCGATTCTCGTGTTTAGCGCGCCGAACAGCGTCTGCAGAGATTTCATCTTTTTGCAAGCGTTCTGAACGAACGGTAGACACCGCGACAGATCGGAAAGATCGGCGATGTTTCCGTGATGATGTAATATTTGCGTGAATGTCAAGTGCAGCAGCGACAGTAAAGAGGAAAACACGATGGAGCCATTTGCGTGTAAATTGCGAATTAAATGCTTGAATGAAAAAAAAAGAGGGAAATAATTGACCGCAAGTACAGCGGACAAGAAATTTTTATTTGATTACCTGCGTCTCGGATTGCGTATATAATAAACTATCGCAGCGAATTTCGGGAAATTTGTACGCCTCGATCGTCACGGAATTCGAGTTTATCCTCAAGACAAGTTTGCACAAACGACTGCTGGATTCCTCTAATTCATTCAATTCTTCATTCTTTCGGTATATATATTGAATCTTCTTGAAAATGCTTCTTCTCCATACTGCAACGCGAGAAGGAATATCGTGTAAGTTATCAATGAAAAAATCATCGAAGAAAAAAATATTTATCGTGCACTAACAGTCTGTGACGTTAGAATCTTCGACGTCTATCAATCGCTTTTGAATTAATGGATGTGCCGGCAGATCAAGGACCAGTTTTTTTATATTCTCCCTTCTGTCGAAAATCTCCGATTTACACGCATTCGATCTCTCGATCTCGCTGCTAAAATATATAATGCATAATTACACACATAAATTTGATGTATTGCTTTTCATTGTGCGAGCAGCGAAAATGTTGATTTACCTCAGGAAATAATTTGCGGCCTTCAGTATTTTCTCCGTCTTTTTATGAGTCCCCATTATGACGCTGCATTTTTGCGCGATTATACTATTGATGTACGCTATCGTTAAATCCTGCACTGGACTCGTACACGGCGCGTTCAACAATTCTCCTTGAACTGCGAAGAAACCGCAATTCGGACGTAATAAATGAGAAAACAAATAAATGAGTTTTCTTTCAACATTCAGCACATTTACGTACGTTCCCTGTTCACGTGAGTCCTGAGAGCGAGTTGCGACAGCTTCCACATAATAATCTGAAACTTGATTCCTCCCGACTGGATCAAGTGGGACATCAGTATCGTTGGGAAGTTGAGGTCGGGATTGTCTCGCGACAGGACGCACAAGAGACTCTTCATTTCAACGCGATACGTTGCCTCGTCCGTTTTGCATAAGATCGGCCATTTGACCATTCGCTTGAACAGCTTTGCGTCGCACACGACTGATAGATAATGCGATACATGCAGGAAACCCGCCGTATTAGGCTTGTCAAACATGCCCTTTTTGCCCCCCCAAAAAATGTGCTCGCATTAATAATTTTTAATTTAGTTATAAACATAATGACATAAAAATTTAAATGTTAGAGAAATGTTTTTGTCCTTACCTTTTTAAAGTGCCGTTGAAACTCGACTGACGGTGGTACGACTTGCGTAAGCAAAAGTACATTTTTGTAAAACGATGAACTAATGGCTGTAATTAATTGAGTTTCTTTTAATCTGCTCATTGTTATACGCCCACAGTGAATTCAATTAGTCGCTGCTTCGTCTCTGCGGTATTTATTTTTACGCTATCGAGCATGTTTAATCTACATAAATACACAGTCGTATAGTGGTCTCAATTATTTTGTTATCAATATTTGTAAACACGTATATATATATATGTAACATACGATTGTCGCGCCGATAATAATCAGATTCGTTCGATCTTTGTACTTGAACTTTTTGCACTTTCCGTCTGTTTTATCCTATCTCGATACAATTGTTGTGAGTTTTGGAACACAGCGCATCCCAGATAACAAGATATTTCCACGGTATTGGTACGGTGAGCGTACGTTGTACTATGCGTACCAGTATCGTACCTACCACGTACGTGCGTACTGTTGGGATACATTACCAGTACACCGTACTATTGGTACACGATACGGCTATCGTACTGTAAATTTGAAATAGGTTATGATTGTCATTTACATTATATCCAAATAGGACAAAAATAATTAAAATAA